TCTCCTACCTTCGTCGGTGTGTTGGCGGGCGAGCTCTGCTACGGCATCGCCCACCTTTGTCCGTACCGAGGTGTCGGTTTCGTTGGCCAGGCATTGGAGCAGCTTGGCGCGTATGGCCTCTCGCTCAGCGGGATTGAGGGTCAGGAACAGGTCAGCGGTCTGGCCTGAAGGTGCCTTTCGAGGCTTGGATGACTGTCGCCTGAAGATGACGGCGGCAAAGGTTCGCGTCTACAGCATCTCCGTCAGCCCACAATGCCGGCCCCCCCCGCCAAAGACGTAATCTTACCGATGTGTCCTGGGCCAGCTCAATCTGCTCAGAGAGGCCCATCAAGAGCACTTCGGGCCTCTGGGCGACCCATTCTTCATTCAGCTGCTGCTCTGCTGCGGTGCGCTGGACGTTGTCGGGCGACTGGAGGCCCTGCAGCAGGGTGGCCAGCGCCGTGTGGACCTCTGCGGGTAGAACAGACATGTTGCGAGCGTGCGTGTGCGTGTACGTGAGCGTGAGGTATCTTTGTGGGCAAGCGGCCCTATTGCATGTAGTCTTGCTCGCAAGCAAGGGCCTACCAAGAATGGAGCGGTGGTGGGTTGGCCGGTAAGTGGTTGCGGAGCGCGCGTGACGTGGTTACCGTCGCGCCCCTACTGTAGATAGATGCAAAGCGCCCAAGTGCAGTGCTGCGGGCAAGTAGATAGGCAACACAGCTAGGGGGTCTGTGAGAGGGAGAGTGAGTGTGAGTATGTGTGCCGTAGCTTCAGGGTTGCCGTGGAAATTTCACAGCAATGTTTTGGCGGGGCTGCGTGCAAGCCCGCGCCCTTGTCCAAAAAATGTTATCCAACCACGGGCAAGGATGCTCGTAGAAGGCTTGCCTGCCCCGCCTCGTCATTGGCTAGCAGCACTGACTGGGGCTGCCTCAACACCGGCTTCACTTCACCCGCGCTCGCCACGTACATGTACATATACATGCCGCTGTGCCTGACGTATTTTTGTGGCTGCATGCTTGGGTAGGCCATGTATATAAATTCGGCTACCCACGTTGCTATAATTACCCAGGGATCTATGGGATATCAAACTCTAACAAAGGAAATAATACACTCCCGTTGACGCTACAATCTCTGCCCTACTGCTACTACCCACGCCTCACCACCCATGTCTTTACCGGCTCGAGGCACGGCCAAGCACAAACACACCAACAATAACGACGGCTAGCACACCAATGGCTCCGGGCAACAAAAGATCGTTCGGAACACCGGCAATAATCTCGGGCTGCTGCGACAGTGGGATGGACTGGTGCCGGCCCCTCGATCTAGGCTTCTCCTCGGCGTCGTCGTCAAAGAACTGCTTGCGCTCACGAAGTGTAGACTCGGGTGGCGTTATGGGCTTGGAGAGCCCTGGCTGAGGATTGACCTCGGCAGACATTGGCGGCTTGTCAGGGTGGTGAACGAAGAGGTCGACCTTTTCGCGGTGCGCCATGCGCGACAAGCTGACGGCCTCTACAAGATCGTCGTTGGTCGTAATGGAAATGGTGTCGCCTTCATTGTCAAGGTAGCTTAGAGCAAAGCCTTCCCTGGAGAGCCTGCCGCCCTCGAAGCTCGGCGCACCTCCTAGGCTTTCAACCTCGCTACCCAGCTTGTTGGCCACACTGTTGATGAGCTCTTCGAGACCAGCAGAAATGACGACCTGCAGGCGGTGGACACGCCCACTTGGAGCCTTGAACTTGAATGGGAATGGCATGTCTTCCATATGGACAGGGTGGTTGCTAGCGACGGCAGATGGGGGCGGTGAGTCGTCTCCGTTGTGGGATGCAGACTCGTTTGGCATCACGCTGTCGCCGCGATCCATAAGACCTGGACGGTCGTGGTGCGAGATGTACGAGCGGTGGTCAGGATGCCGGCTTCCTTCGCCAGACATGACCGACTCAGTCTCATTGTCAAGAGAGAGCCAGAACTTGTTCCATGCAGGGCCCTCACTATCCGTGGTGCTGATGTTGTTGATCTTTGCCTAGTTAGTGTTGTGGACGTCTTCACCCAAGAATCCGACATACCTGATCAAGCGTAGCATAAGTCAGCTTGAGAACGTCCACCATGCCGACAATTTCGCCAGCATCACTCATAACTGGCAAGTTGAGGTAGTGTCCATCTGTATATTGTTAGTGCATGCTTTAGACAAGGGTTCCCTGTAATCTACGCACCATGCATCTTGCGCAGAGCAGATTGAATACTCATGTCCACTGGTGCAAAGTCGGGATGCGGAGTCATTACTCGCACAACGCTGCAAGTCATTGGGTCAAGACCCGCGGCGATAACACGCAGGACTACGTCCTTGCTAGTGAAGATACCAGTGATGGAGCCATTGTCCTGCACAAGAACAGCAGTTGTGTGGTTCTCCTTCATGAGTGCCGCAGCCTCCTTGACCGAAGTACGCACAGATACGGTTGTTGGAGGGAGACCCGTCAAGACAGATTCTAGAGTAGGACCGGACATCTTCTGGCGAATTGCCTCGACATACTGAATAATCTGCTGCGGCTGGCTCGAGCCCATCTCTGCCTGCACGCCCTCAAGAGCATCATACAATTTGCGAGAGGAGGCATACGCCCGCTCCAATTTCTCCATGGCATCGTAAAAGCACTTTGTGATGTCCAGAATACCTGAAATGTCGTGATTCTCGTCCATGACGGGAAGGTGGCGGAAGCCCTTCCTGACCATGAGGTCGAGCGCATCCGTCGCACTTGTATCAGTCTTTGCGCATAGGGGGTTCTTGGTCATGATCTCCTCAATGGTGACGTCGCGAGCCTTGATGCCGTTGCCAACCACACGGAAAGCAAGATCCTTGGCTGTGAAGATACCCGCAATACGGTCATCATCATCAGTTACCAGGACGCAGTCCTCCCGCTTGGCCGCCATCAACTGTGCCGCCTCGGCGACCGTAGTGGACGGCTTTATTTGGAGTGCTGGTGACGGCTTCAGGGCGAGGACGGTGCCGGGCGGGGCTTTCTTGGAGGGCCGAACTCGTCCGCTAATATTCTTCTTCTTATTGAGGTCCGTCTCAATCTTTCGTCGAATAGCCTGTCGCAAAATCAGTATGCAGTCGCACACATGCAGCGGGGCCACTCACGTCGTCCCTCTTGGACATTTTGGCCCGGCTGGCGCTGAGCGAAGAGCCGCCCGCATCGCTCTGGGTGACATGCGAATGGTTCTCCAAACCAGAGGGGCGCGGGATGGCAGAAGGGCTGTGGCCGAGATGCTGGGGCTGGTTACGGTTCGAGTTTTTGGGCGTCCCCCGCATGGCACCAGTATGCGACATGGCGACGTCGTGTGCGTTGTTAACTGCAGAGCTGGTTCTGCCTGGTTGGCGAAGGAGGGGCCAGTAAGAAGGATTCCAGCGGCCTATACGGAGGTCGATGTGGTTGCCAGGGTATAGCTGCTAGACGAAAACAATCCCTAGGGATCAAGCGCTTTGCCCAGACCGCCACTCACCACATTCCCAGTTTCCGCGGCACCTGACGTGTCCACGTCTCGTGCAGCAACAGGAATCGCCATCATACAAGCAAGATCGCATCTCCAATCTCTTCCAAGTCATGTGTTTTGGTTCCCTGATCGGCCTTCTTGTGAGCCTGTGGACGCAGCAGAAGCAGATGCACCCCCTTACACATGGAAAATTCACGCATTGACTCACATCTGCAAGCGTGTCTCCGTGAAGCCACAACGCTTCTATCTTTTCGATTGCATGTCGGAATATACCCAGTCTTCCTTTTCCGATTTAACCCGCCGAGTGTTCTTATACGGAATAGCCATGGGCCCGAGACAGCCAGTCCTCTCATCTTAACAATTGTTTTGTACAGTCTTGTTCAAGAAGTGAAGTTGTCGTTCGCTGAATACAAGTACATGGGATACCATGAAGGAAACTCACAATCACATGTCAGCGATAGTAAGCTCCGACGTTACGCTCTGACAAAAAAAATAGGGGCTACCATCGAATGACAGCTTGCACCTGCAGAATTATGCACAGCATTTCGTCCACGCTCTAAAGTGATTCGGCGGCCCTCAATTCACAGTCGAGGGGAGGCAGTGCAGCCACATGCGGCTAGCACCATCAGTGCCAAGAGATAAGATTAGATCCGCACCTCTCTAAGCGAATTTCGACACTCGTGCATCCCGACTTCACGAATCCGACGTCAGGAACGACTCTCACGACAACACCCCACTGCTGACTTTTAGATTCCACATCTTCAGTACGCACTCCGTGCCTCGCTCACCTAGACATCCGCTTACATCGTTCGACAGAATCAGCCCAACATGGTCAAGAAGCGAGCGTCCAACGGCCGTAACAAGAAGGGTCGCGGCCACGTCAAGCCCATCCGTTGCTCCAACTGCTCGCGATGCACTCCCAAGGACAAGGCGATCAAGAGATTCACCATCCGCAACATGGTTGAGTCTGCCGCCATCCGTACGTCTCACAAACGACCCCCCCGTACCGCACCAAACGGCCATGGACAGCGAGGTGGCGAGCGAATTTTGGATATCCAAGACTGACAAGACCAGGTGATATCTCCGATGCCTCCGTCTTCCCCGAGTACACTGTCCCCAAGATGTACCTGAAGCTCCAGTACTGCGTCTCATGCGCTATCCACGGCAAGATTGTTCGGTACGTCACGCCTCCACAAGGAATTGGTGCGCCCGTATTCTAACATGCCCAGTGTCCGCTCGCGCGAAGGACGCCGCAACCGTGCTCCTCCCCCACGTGTTAGGTACAACAAGGACGGAAAGAAGATCAACCCCAACCAGGCTGCTGCTAAGACCACCACTGCTTAAGCGGGGCGAGGGTATGGAAAGGAATTGATCACGGCGCTTGGTGTGGGTCTTATGGTTCTTTCGGAGTGTCATACTGGAAAATGCGTGAATCCACGGAAGATAGGGCAGGCCAAATGACGAATCATGGTTGAGGCTCGCTCGGAATTGCCTACTTGAGCACCGAGAGCTAGCTATGAACTTGTAAACGAATATCCAAGTCGACTTGCATCATCTTTTCATTTACTATGGTGATATACATGCGTTCGCTCGGCAGGAGTGGACACTTGCACTTGGCAGCAGATCTTTTAATCGGGGCTCCAAAGCTTTTCGCGGTTATAGAGAAAGGTACTCTTGTCTGGTACATGGCGCGAAACAAAGTGACGTCAAGGATGCAACATACGTGGCATACAGGAGGAATATCAATTGCTGCAATATCAAGAGCATCTATCCTCCCACCCCACCAGCGACGGTAGGATCCCCGTGTATCATATCAGTTTCGGTCTCAGTCACTCCGTTTCTTTCCGTCGTCGTCTAGGCTCTTCCTCCCATTGGTGGCTTCAGGCTCCGTCGTCTCCCAATCTTCAGCGTTCTCGTCCCATCGGTCGAGTTCTTCGTCTACCGTGGGTCTGACAACGCCCGACTCTTGTCCTTCGACATTCTCTCCCAACTCAATGTCTCTCTCCTCGTCCCCAGCAACTGCAGTGTATCCTCGTGCAGCTCGTTTGCGCTCGAGCATGCGCTTATGGTACCAATTGCAAAGGCCTAGTGCGAGGAGAGAGCCGAGGACATTGGCTACGATGTCGTAGTAGTCGAAGTCGCGATGTATCTGGACGCGAGTTAGCTTTGTTCGTCATCTTCCTCGCTTGAAATCGTCCTGCAGTGCATGTATGCGTACTGCGCTCTCAGGAACTCCGGCAGGCTTGTAAAAGTCCATGGTAAACTTACAGGCAACAATCCCTGGATGACCTCACTGGCAAATCCCAGACCGAGCGTACAGACGGTAAAGGTTAGCTGCACCACCTTTCGCCTGTTTGTCTCGAGAATCCAGTAGAAGCATAGGGTAAGCAAGAAGAAGGCTGTGAAGTGGAGCGCCTTATCCGACTGCTTGTACGTGGGGATTTTGTAGTCTGGTGGGGAAAAGCCCGCGGCTGCGCTGATGAAGATGAGGCCGACAAAGGCACCTTTTGGGATGTTAGCATGGCCCTATGCAGCTGTCGAGAGAGGAAATTCAAGCGAACAGCATGGACAGTGGGAAGGTTAGAACATGGCCATCTACTGCTCACGCATATGCGCTGTGCGCGGAGAGGTGTTCAAAGCTCGCTGGCTCTGTGGCGTTGGAAGCTACGTACCAGCAAATGGTTTTCGTATCCGCATCATGGGCTGTTGAAGTGGATTAGGAGGTCCGGACAGGTAAATTCATGCTTATGGTACGGGAAAACAACTGTCAGATTCGGGCGCAGCGCGGAACTGCAACGTTCATGTCACAAGCTGGCATCTGGCGAACCTGCCCGTGGCCGGATGAGCTAAGCCCGGTCAGGCAACGTTACTGTCGATCACGTGTGGAACCTGTGAAAATCAACAAACCTGGGGTACTCTGTGCTGGGCTCGTCTCAATTCGAGGATACATGCATGGACCTAACTGAATGGCCTCAAGTAGTCCTGCAGTTGCAGGGGCGCTGCTATGTACGTATGACAAGGCGGCGCTCCACAGGGCCTGAACGTGTTCGCATTACCACGCCCCGTCCGCACAGCCACTTGAGCAGTTCTTTGGGCATGGCGTGTAGCACGACCAGCAGTTGCATGCCTGGCTTTTGGTAGAAATACGAGGCGTTTGGCGTAGCAGACACCGAATTACCATGGTTGCGCCCTGAATGCTAGTGCCGACCAGCTCGCTCAATGGCTTTTTGCCGACCGCATGAAAATAAGTAGCAGCCAGGCAAAGCCGTTGCATGTGCCCTCGAAAGCATCTGCGCGCCAGCAAGTGTCGTTGTGGGGGAAATGTGGTGGCAGAGGCCGTTTGATATTGGGGCGTGGGTGAAGCATGGGGCTCGCTGCGGGAGCATCGCTAACGGAGCTAAGGCGTGCCTACCTAGCCAGACTGGACAGTTGGACCACCTGCTTAAGACAACGACGCCAAACTCACGAGCCGCATCTTCGGCCATCAATAGGCGCGCCCACACCACGTCTTTCATCTCGCAGCCATCAGAAATCCACTCGCTCGACGTAGACCTTCCTTCCATGCTTGATTTTATCGCGTCGCGACACCTGCACCAGGTTGGACGTCGCCCTGAAGGCGGGCCATCCCCGTGAGGCCGCGAACTGCCAAGACCCCCCCACAACCGACGACGACGACTATGTCCCTCGCTGCATCATCATCATCATGTCCGCCATCCTCGCGAGACCGCCCAAGCCATGCCCGCTTCCCGCATCAGCCTCCCAACGCGACCCACTTGCGCACTCCCAATGCGCCGCTGAACGATGAGGCCATGTCAAACGCCTCCAACGCGAACCATCTAGGGGACGGGGGAGACATCACGACCGAGGAGGACCCCCGAGCCACGCGCTGGCGAGACCACTATCGGCGCACCGAAGCGCGTCTGGCAGCAGTACTCAGAGGAACATTCCAGGGCGATGCTGTTGATGCTCTAGATAATGCGCCGGGGCCGTCATCCGATGATGTCCCGGCGGCGCATGACGCGCGCCCGGCTATCACACCCAGGAAGCCCACCCGCGCAATTGACGAAGACGACTACGGCGACGACGACGAGGATGACGACGACGACAGCCAGACCTCACCACTGCAATCGAAAAGCGCGACCAATGGTGCCGCTGCCGCTGCTGCTGCTGCCGCCACCACTCCCAGCACGCCAAGCCTCCTCCGCGTCCCATCCACATCGAACAAATCCGGCCACGACCGGACAGGTACACCTTCTTCAGACCATGCAAAGTCATCAGACGATGTGCGAAAGAAACTACAACAAGACAAGAAGGCCGCCGAAGATGCCGCCAAGCGCAGCTTCCACACCCTTTTTTACTCTCTCGAGAGCGACAGGGACGCGATGCTGGAGCAACAAAAGCTTGACGAACTCGACCGACAGGTAGAAGCAGAGACTTCTGGCGCGTCTGCTAATGCTCCAGCTGCCGCTGCCGCTGCTGCCCCCCAGCAAGGGACCTTGAGCACCACCAATCTTGGCGCGTCCAGCCTGACCCTCAAGCACCTCATATCGCGTATTGATGCCCAAAGAGACCGCGTCCATGCCACGGACGCGCAGCTGCGCAGCCTCATCAGCGAAGTCCGTAAGAACAGGAGCAAATGGGCTAACGAGGACCGTGTTGGCCAGGAGGAGCTATACGAGAGCACAGAGAAGGTTCTCATGGAGCTCAAAGCCAATGAGCATGCCCACCCATTCCTCCAGCGTGTCAACAAACGGGAAGCCCCCGACTACTACAACGTCATCAAGCATCCGATGGATATCGGCACCATGATGAAAAAGCTCAAACAACTGCAATACAAGTCCAAGAAGGAGTTTGTTGATGATCTCATGCTCATCTGGTCAAATTGTCTAAAGTACAATGCCGACCCAAGCCATTTTCTGCGCAAGAAGGCTCTACACATGAAGAAAGAGACCGAGAAGCTTGTGCCCCTCATTCCAGACATCACTGTCCGTGATCGTGCAGAGGTTGAGGCGGAAGAGAGAAGAATGCGCAATGGCGACGCTGATGCAGATGGCGCAGACGACAGTGAAGACGAAGAGCCTATTATGGCTTCTCGGGGCAGAAAAGCCCCAAGCAAAGGAGGCAAAGGCTCAAGCACGACAAGGAAAGCCCATCCAGCAGGCCTGGAGGACACACCAGGACCCGAAACAAAACCACCAGTTCCATCCTTGAACAACGCAGTCTCCAACCTGAAGAATGAGTTCTTGCGGGCAGACTCGGAAATGGAAGGCAGCGTGAATGGTTTCTCAACACCCCCTCCCGGCTCAGGAACCCCATTGGGACCCAACAGTATTTCAAAAAACGGCATCAATGGCAGTCAAGCAGACATCTCGGAGGCTGATGGCACTGGTGTCTCAGTCAATGATGCTTTGGACGAGGATGCAGACTTGGATGACTTGGAGTACAAAACATGGAAACAAGTAACGAAGAAAGACCGAGCTATCATAGCATCAGAAAGACATCGGCTCTTCCGCGATGACCACCTCCAGCCCGATGAGCCAGCCATCCTGCGCACAAAAGCTGGTATGCGGAGATGGTTACGACACAAGAAGCAAGCCATCGAAGAGGAATCTGCAAACGGAGCAGCCACCGCACTTGACGGCAAAGATGGTGTTCAGACAATTGCTGGAGAGTCGCTTGCCGAAGGCATTGAGGGTGAGGAAGAGCGTCAGATCCCAGACTATTATGACCCCGTATGCGCTATGCCTGACCTCTCCGAGCGTTTGCAATGGGTTGAAGACGCTGAGGGTCAAGTGATTCCGCAAGTCGAAGAGTACATGCGCGTCTTCCCAAAAGGACAATTCGTCTCACCAGACAGTGCACTTGTGCATAAGTTTGACAGTAACAACCATACACTGCAAGAGACAAGGAAGATTTGCGCAAAGATTGGCATTGTTAAACAGATGCAACTTCAGTCGCAGGTAAGATATCCGTCAATGGATAAGATGATGTTGATCGCTGACTGTTCGTAGCTGTATCAAAATCAATTTCAAAGATATGAGCCGCAGCCATTCATGGAAGCAGACATCGAGCCAATGGTCACTTCAGAAGATGGTCCGATCATGGCTCCTTACATCTGTCGCGCTGCTCTTCAACGAAGTGTCGGCAAGATATTCTATCATGCTGGTTTCGAAGAGTTCCAGCCCTCAGCTCTGGATGCAGTAACAGACATTGCGGCAAAGTTTTTCCACAATGTTGTTGCAGGTCTTGGGGTCTACCGTGAAACGCCAAAGATGAAGTCCGATGTTCCAATCATGCTTCCAAATGGTCAAACTACCAACTGGACTCCGCGCTTTACACAAGAAGAAGCTGTACTCCACTCTTTGCATGCCAACGGTGTCGACCTGGAGTCTTTGGAGGCTTACGTCAAGGACGACGTCGAAAGACTCGGAACGAAGCTGGCCGGCATGCACGACAGAATGCGGTCGTACTATGCCGAGCTTTTGCGTCCAGCAATCGAGAATGCTGGCGCTGACGGTGCCGGAGCTTTCAATGATGGCAGCGAACAGTTTGTGGGAGGTGACTTTGCTGAGGACATTGGCGAGGACTTCTTCGGATTCAAGGAACTTGGCCTTGACGTTGAATTTGGACTTACTGCCAGTGTACCATTGCATCTGCTCCAGAACAGGGTACACAATGCCTACGCTAGACAGGACAACAGGTATGTACTACAATTTAGTTGTATCATGACTATGCTAACCTTCCCAGCAACGTTGCCACCACTGGTGTTATCATGCCTGAACCACCCAAATTTGAACCTATTACTCTTCAGACAGCGGAGCACCAGATCGGCCTTCTCCAGAGCTGGCTTTACAGCAAGCTCCACGACAACAACAGCCAGCCGCTTGTTGAAGACGACGATCTTCCGCCCAAGCAACGCTTTCCCAAGCCTCGTTTGCCACCTACTGGCAAGATTTCGAGTCCTCGCAAGCGTCCGCTTAGAGAGCAGCAACAGATGGCGCGTAAGAAGCGCAAGCTCGATGAAGAAAAGGACGAGAATGGCAATGATCAGAGTGGTTACATGAAAGGCATTGGGAAACCCATTGGTAAACTAAAACTTGAACCAGTGCAGAGAGACAACCACAACCTGCAAGAGCCAGAAAAGGAAGATGGCAGCGCACACGGGATGCCGAGTCCACCGGAGTCATTCTAGGAGCAATAAGTCTCTAACGAGCTTCGTCGACTTGATAGGAATTCCAGTCTCACCTGGCCAATCTCTCTCACAGGGTTTTATTCTTTCTAAAACAAAATGCTGCGATGACTCTGAGGGACAAGAGATCATGCGTTTTCTTTCGCAATCATTTTACTTTAATCAACCGAGAAAGTTTTTGTTCTTGCTGCTTCCTTCCGATGACGACGAAATTTGGGGACTCATTACGGGTTATGTCATTGTTTTTTTTCAATCTCGCGGTACTATCATCTTATTCTCGGCGTTTTTTTTTCTGCTTTCCCGGTCCTTGTGTGTGTCTATGTGTCTTTTTTTAACTTCCATATTTTCACAAAGCTGACGGGGGACCTGGCTTCGTTGTTGGTCCAGCTGGGCGCTTTTTTTGTCTTACTAGACTGGGAGAGAGAAACTTTGGGGAGACTTTGTGGACCCTGTATACCCATGTTTGCATTTCGCGCTGTGGTGCCCCCCTTTTTCCTGAGTGTGGTTGGTTTTCACGTCTAGGTCATTTTTGATTACCTCGGGGTGCGTTATGAAAATATTGGATTGAACATATTTGTTAGGCTCTTGAGAGTGAATGCCGTGATGAGTGACGTTCTTTATATGTGGTGTTTCAAGGCCGGTCTGGCCATGTATGCAGAGACTTCGGAGAAACAGGGTGACTGCACTTACGTTTGTGTTTGCAGGGTTCGATGTTTAGGTGCTGACGATCTACGGATATGTTGGAAATTGAGTGGTGTTTACGTGGACTGTGCCCTCGTGCGTTTGTTCAGTGTTCACGTGTATCGTTTGTCGATCAACTCAGCGGTCAAGGCAATATTAGGAGAAGTGGCGACTTGCAGAGCTGCTAGGATGCCAGCTGGGCCAAAGAGAACAAACGAAGACGACGGGGTATCATGGAAAGTTGGCAAACAAAAAATCTTGAAAAGTGTAATACCAAGTCCGACTATATTCAGCTGCGCGTTACCGTAGCTGAATCAATTTAATAGAGTTTGAGTAGCATGTAAATGAAGTGCAATGTTTGTGCGAGTGCATCGCCGAAGAATGATAGTTGTTGTGAAGACAACAGCCACCATGAATTGGGAAAAAAAGTTAGTATTTTATAGATGTGAGATAACAGGCAGAAGACACGCGGGATGTTGCAATAAGATGCAATTCTAGAATACGAGGGAGGACGCATGCTTGCTTATCAACAAGTCCGAATTATCCTTACCATAATGCAGCTGAAATGCGACTCAAGGAGTCAGTCCAAGAAAGCCACATTATCGGAAGATACAAACAGGGTGCCTGGCGTTTGCAGTGTCTCACCACAAGGAGTGGATCCGGAGGCGATGATATGCCTCGATTCGATAGGTGGCCGAGCTGAAATTGGAGGTTGTTATTAGCGCATTGCCTTTTCCCTTGTACGCGGACCCTTCTCTCCGTTACAATTCCACTCCCTCATCCAGCTCGGCATGCCTGCTGCGAATCAGCTCAACCTAAGTTTCCATTGACGTCATTTGCTTTCTTCTGAGTAGCTAAGTCCTGCTGCTTGTTTTCTCGCGCCCCCCGGCGACAAGTTGTTGGTTTTGAGCTAACGTGCCACGAGGCGTGGATCATCTCGGATGGGACTTGGGACCTGGACTTTCTTTCTTCACGACACCGACTTTCCACTCCACATTCATCAATTGCGCGCGCAAACCCACGCGCGCTCATTTCATACTTTCAGTCGCCCGGATTTCTTACTGCGCATTTTTTGCTCAGTGCCACTCATTCACGCCCACTTTCCTTAGTCTGTCCTTGCAGTTTTCTATTTATCGCCCAACCTCTACTATCTCTCCGACTTTTTTTTTCTCCGCATCATCATGGCGCCCAACGGTCATTTAGCTTCTGGCAAGAAGGGTACTCGTAAGTCTCGTGATGCCCAGTCCTCATCATGGATGGACAAGCATGGCTTCGAGGAGTACGAGGCCTGGAAAGAAGCAAATCCCGACACTCGCCTTCCCTACGACGACTGGAGGCGGTCGAATCAACATGCCAGCGGTCTCTCGCTTTACTATACGACTTTGCGCATTTTTGAAGAGTCGGATTCCAGTGTGCGTCAAATTTTATCATCAAGTTCATTTTTTGATGTTTGCTAACAACACCAGGACGAAAATGGTCAGCCAGTCAAAGCTAAACCTCAACCCACCAAACCACGTGGTCAGGTTGGTCGTCCTAGGAAATCAGCAGCCATGAATGGCAATGGACAACCGCGTTCGGCTGGAACCGCAACGCCGTCTAAGCCTGGGAACCTAGAAGACTCGAGTCCCTCTGCTAAGAAGAAGCGAAAGGCGCGAAAGAAGCCACTTGTACGTATTATCCACGCACAATGCTCAAAATTGCTAATTTTGTCAGTCGGAGGAGATTATCGCATCAGCGAGTGATAGTGATGACGCTGCCAAAGACCCTGAAACCTCAACACCGGGAGCTGAGACTGCAACACCCGCGGCTCCTACCATTACCATTACCATGAATAGCAAACGCAAGACTTCTACTCGTAAGGCTAGGAAGAAGCCTATTGTGAGTGTGAATGTGCATCTCACTTTCATTCACTAACACGCGTGCAGTCGGAAGAAACCATCTCGCCTGAAGATGAGCTCGACGATCCTATGGACATCACGATCGATGAGGTTACGAAATCCACGATTGCGTCTCCGTTGCCTGTTCGTTCTGGTACGTGTTGCACAAAACCATGTGTGAAACTTCGTACCCCACATTGTAATGCGATGCCGCCTGTTCACCTCGGGCCCTCAACCACCCTTTTTCTATGACTGCGGAATTCTAGATTCCGTTTGCTTTGGTTTTTTTTTATATTCTGAAAAAATGATTAACTAATTTACAGCTCCGAAGTTTCCGGTCACGGCACCAGTTGCAAATCCGCCCAAGAAGAGCCATATTCTCAAACTAAGTACCAGGAAGACACCGAAGAAGCAGGAACTTGTACGTTTTACTCTACCGCTATCAATTCTTTACTGAAAAGTCAAAGTCCGAAGAAACTGTGACAGAGGACGTTGGCGAGGCCAATGCTTCTTCGCAAGCTACACCCAGCACGTTTGGCAAGGGTACCCAGCCGAGAATTTCTATTCATACAGACGCCACACCCAAATCAAATGGCGATCCAGATTCGGCCACTGCTTCACCTGCTTCGACAAGCGCACCGGGATCAACCCGACGTGGCCTGCGCACTCGCAAGCCTGCTCAACAGAGGCCTTACTACCATGATTCACAACTGTTTGAGGATGTAGCGCCAGGTAATGTTGATGTCCATGACCAAGAAACTATGTCGTCTCCTGTCGTACAGAGCAGAAGAGTATCTATCGCTTCGCTTAGCAGGAATGTTGACGATGCGCTACTAGCCTCGCTGGACGAAGAAGCCATGGCGCTGCTACAAGAAGAGGCCGAATCAGAACCCACCAAGCCGAAACATTTCAAGGGCAAGGGACGCGCTTGGAAGAAAGAAGGTTCGGATGAAGATGAAGACTATTCGCTTGCTGCGAAGAAGAAGGCAGCAAAAGCAGCAAAGTTGAAGGCAAAGGGCCAGGTGCCCAAGAAGCGAGGTCGGCCAAGGAAGAGCGGACGGTCTGAGGAGCTTGTTGGCGAAGATACTGACGAGGACAAAGAGAATATAAAGCGGAAGAAGCCCCTTCCACGCAAGAGCGCATTGTCTGAGGAGATTATACAGGATAGTTCGGATGGCGGAGAGGAGGACAAGGAGGACAAGGAGGAGAAGTCTATTGTAGAAGAGGGTTCGGTACAAACAGAGAACACGGCTGAGCAAGAGCATAATGTTGAGGAACAAAAGAAAGTCGAGGAAGATAATGGAGAGAAAGTGGAAATCACAGAGAAAGAGGAAGTACCAGTGGAGAACATGACCATTGTCGAAGATGAGGCGAAGGTTGGGCAAGAAGAAGAGCAGAAAATAGAACAAGAAGAGCAGGACAAAGAAGTAGTGACGGTGGAAACGGATGCGAGGACTGAGGAGGATGAGAAGAAGGTGCCCGAAGAAAAGGTGGCAGAAGAGAAGAAAGCTGAAGAGGTGCAGAAGGAGGATGCAAAAGAGCAGAAAGAAGCCTCAGTGGCTCCAGCCAGCCCGCAAGACCGATCATGGACACCCGAAGGTCTACCAAACCCTATACTTCTACCTGACGACCACGCAAAAGACGAGCCAACTGCCAAGATAGATGATGAGCAGGAGATAGCTAGTCCCTTTCGAAAAAGCTGATTGAGCTGTACCTCAACAGCCTTCTTGTAAGTGATTAACCACTTTCAGCACGCATTGATCTCAGGTTGCTAAGACGACCAATTCAGAATATGTTTTCACAGTTGTCGAGTTCAGACACTTACTTTGTTTTCCTTTGTCAATTCCCCGGGGAATAGAATATTGTGTTTTCGAAGAATGGTTACGATGGTGTTGCTGAGTAGTCTAATAAAGTGGCGTTCCCTGGTTCTCTTTGTTGGGGGGATTACATGCAAAATGGGATTGAGGAAATGTTAGCACTTGGACGTGTGTATTATAGCACATTGGAGGCTGGTAATAGATTTTATGTTGTTTGCAGTTTTTTTTTTCGATCATGGACGTAGGTGTGGTACTTACTGCCTGGTAAAGAGATAGTATGGGAAATTGAAATTACACAAGATTTCGAATAGCTGAAGCTTTAATTTCACATTCAAAACCTCATCCCCCTCAGCTTTGCAAAATAGTACAAAAGCCCAAAAGCCAAACCCCCCAAATGACCCCCATGCGCAATCGTCGTATTCGCACTATTAACAAAATACCCGTCATACACCGCGTAACCCGCAACCAGTCCCCAAAGCGGCACAGGCACAATCCCATAGATATATACTTTGGCATGCGGCGCCAAACAAGCCGCCAAACTACTAACCCCCATGACGACGCCCGAAAACCCCATTCCCCTCACTGTATCGCGCGCGCGGGGGCCCTGGTCCCTCATCTTATATGACCTCGAAAGCAAGTACCCCAGGCTCCCAGACAAGCCCGATCCCAACGCGACGGTCAAAAACCTCGCTGGCGTAATGAGCGGCGCAGCCGATGCGAGGAACTGGCCGAGAAAATAAAACGTGAAGAGGTTGGAAAAGAGGTGGAAAGCATTGATGTGCGTAAAGTTCGCCGTGAGAATGGGAATGTAGTTTCCGTTTTTGAACTCTGAGTAATTGAGCGTCCAGGTTCGGAGGAAGCGGTGCCATGGCCCAGGGAAGCCTTGTGCGGCTTGCTGCTGGATGTACATGGCGTAGCCGAAGACGGCGATGTTGGTGCCCATGAGGGTGTAGAGGACTTTGGTGTTGGCGCTTACTTGGGATTCATAGGAGGGGAGAGGGTTGTGGTAGGAGTAGTGCCGGGAACGGGGGAGGTTGAGGGAGCGGGGTGGCGGCCGGGTTGGGGAGAAGAAGGCGGGGGGTTTGGTGGTGGGATGGGGGGTGCGGAGGGTGCGTAGAGCGGCTGAGAGGCGTAGGAGAGAGGACATGGTGGGTTTGGGGGGATTATTTAGGTGTTTGGTGTGTTTGGGACGTTTGGTGTAGTCCAGTTAGAGAAGCGGTTCAGATGGCAAAGTCCAGATACTTGGTGTTGATGCTCCCCTAGGTAGATGCAGTCTTTTTAGAAACTTCAAGGTTTCTATCGTACTTTCTATCGCAAACATTAGACTGTGCTTCATAGAAAAAATTCATAGACATCTTGCTCACGTGCGTTTTGGTATATCAGAGGAAATGCAATATTGGTCTAATCCAGATACGGCGTTGCGCAGGAAACCGGTGAGTCTGTCCAATGCTACTATCGTACACGAGGCCACACCCAGTGAAGCAGCCTAGACAGAAAGGCTGTAAGGAATGAATTGAAATGCAAGTGAAATAAGGATTTGATCTACAAAGCTTGTCACAGTCAAGGCAGCGACGTCAGAAAGCCCAATGACAAGCACGCACGGACCGTTGCCCTCCCCCATCTTCAAGTTCCTTCTTGCATAAAGCGGCCCGCTCAGCTACACCACCACCACACAAACCACCCCTCGCCCACCCAAAATTGCACTCCCGCTCTTGCGCTCAACCTCCAAAGGCTCTCATTGCCTCCGAATACTCGCAGCACTACTCGCGCGAACCTTTACCTGCACCTACACATCACCATTCGCACCACGTACAAGCGAAACACCAACACTGCGACTATCTCTCTCGGGGTTCATTCGGCTTCCTCGACGCAGCAAACGCACCACCAAACATCTGAATTCACGTCTCTATCAGTCACGAGGCCCGATCACTTCTCTAGCTTGCCGACCCCCACTCTCGTCGGCATACACGATACGAGCTTCCACTTGAAAGCCCCCCACTTCAGCCCGTGCTTCATTCGTAACTTGCGAACCTTGACGTCTTGATCAGCGACCCCACCCTCTGGTGGACTCTACACATACACAATGACTTCAGAAATCACGAACCAACTAGCGGCAACGCAGCTGAGGTGAGTCGGCCGAGAGTGAGTGAAAGGCTGCAAGCACGCGCGCTGACACGTCTAGCGATGCCACACCGTCAGGAGAGGCCAATTGGAAGGCTGGACTGAACGCGCCCGTAAAAGATGCGCGACCACAAACAGAGGTACGGCATGCTCGCACATGCAATGCTGGGGAAATCATATTAACACGCGCGTAGGATGTTACCGCTACCAAGGGACTTGAGTTCGAAGACTTCTTTATCAAGCGCGAGTTGATGATGGGCATCTTTGAGGCTGGCTTCGAGAAGCCATCGCCCATTCAAGAAGAGACCATCCCTGTAGCACTTACCGGCCGAGACATCCTTGCACGAGCGAAGAACGGCACCGGAAAGACTGCCGCCTTTGTCATCCCCACCCTCGAGCGCGTAAACCCCAAGAGCCCAAAGACACAAGCCCTCATCCTCGTACCCACCCGAGAACTCGCCCTACAAACCTCCCAGGTATGCAAGCAGCTGGGAAAACACCTTGGAATCAATGTCATGGTCTCGACCGGTGGTACGGGCCTTAAAGACGACATCATACGGCTAAACGATCCTGTCCATATCATTGTTGGAACACCAGGCAGGATTCTGGATTTGGCTGGCAAGGGCGTAGCAGACCTTTCAGCTTGCCAGACCTTTGTCATGGATGAGGCCGACAAGCTCCTTTCCCCTGAGTTCACCCCGGTCGTGGAGCAGTTGCTTGGCTTCCACCCCAAGGACAGACAGGTCATGCTTTTCAGTGCCACGTTCCCCATTGTTGTCAAGAGCTTCAAGGTACGTTTCATGATGCTCCAACTATCACGGTCCTACTGACACAGCCCAGGACAAGCACATGAACTCCCCGTACGAGATCAACCTAATGGACGAGCTTACACTTCGCGGTATCACACAGTACTACGCTTTTGTTGAAGAGAAGCAGAAGGTTCACTGCTTGAACACCCTCTTCAACAAGCTCCAGATCAACCAGTCCATCATCTTCTGTAACTCTACGAACCGAGTCGAGCTTCTCGCTAAGAAGATTACCGAACTCGGCTACTCGTGTTTCTACTCGCATGCTCGCATGCTCCAGCACAACCGTAACCGCGTTTTCCACGACTTCCGTAATGGTGTATGCCGAAACCTTGTATGCTCCGACTTGCTCACCCGTGGTATCGATATCCAGGCAGTCAACGTTGTCATCAACTTTGACTTTCCCAAGAACGCAGAGACGTATCTGCATCGTATTGGTCGTTCTGGTCGTTTCGGACATCTGGGTCTGGCTATTAACCTGATCAACTGGGAAGACCGTTTCAACCTGTATAGGATCGAACAAGAGCTTGGTACTGAGATTCAGCCCATTCCCCAGGTCATTGAGAAGAACCTTTACGTCTACGAGTCGCCCGAGTCGATCCCCCGTCCCATGTCCAACCAACCGCGTGCTCCTGCCCAGATTCAGCAACAAGAGCAAGAAGGCGCTGCACGCGGAAACCCCAACGCCCGTGGCGGCTTCCGCGGTGGACGTGGCGGTGGCGGTGGCTTCCAGGGACAACGCCGAGGACCTCCACAGAACCAGCAAAACCGTCAACAGAATGGCCAGAACACTCAGCGGAATCCTAGACCGCAGCCTGCAAACCCACCACAGGCCTCGTAAGGCCGGCTGCCGCTTCTAGCGGGACTTGGCCATCTGAGTAGTCTTTTGGTTTCAACAACTGGTATATTTTCCCGTGTCGCAACTTCTTCCTGCTCGGGGGCCGCAAAGCACTTGGCGATGTCATTTGCACATACATATTCTGGCGTTTTTCATTTGTATGCAATTATGCAAGCAGCCGCTGACGACACGATACGGGACACCTGGACTTTTCCTTACCAGGTACTGCGAATCGGATCATTGGCGCAATACGGTTTTAACGATCTGGACCATCTTCTATGTACTATATCAAGGGTTGCCTGGGTCGTAACTGTTTTCTGCTTATTGTCGGTCGGCTGGTCTTGCCGACTTACTTTCTTGAGACGCTTTGTCTCCGCCTTGCCGACGGTACATCTCAACGGTTTTCGCCTACTGCATCATCTAGTTTTTCCTTCATCCTCATTTTCGTTCTCTACTCATCACCATCGGCGGTTGGTATAGTCTTTCCAAAAGCTCGGATCCTTTCTTCATCCAGGATTACAGTTAGTACGATCGTCTTTTGTTCGACCCTGCCCTATTTTCGATGCCTACTGGATATCTGTAGCCCATCTCTTGCTACAGGCCTCTTCTCCCCACCACATCCTTTTAACATCATCGGCCCTGGACACATACTCTTTGTCCAAGGCTGAGCACACCTCTACACTCGATCCGACCCGATACGTTACATGTTGACTTACATGTCATTTGTTATGGAAATTCTGCAGTTCCTCTCCCTCCTCTAGGAATTGCATCTAACGAGCGCTACGAATTGGCTCATTTCAAAGTTGGTCATCTTCTTGTTGGCATTGCCAGCGGGAGAACCGGACTAGTCTGGGAGTTGTCTCCAAACTGCGTTGGAGTCGGTATGTCGTATTGTGGACATACTGTATGAATCAACGTATGTTTTCTGCGAACACAACTATAACGTGGATCTCGGAAGACTATGCCCCGTAGAAAGAAAAAACATCAAAACTCATATTTATAAGATACATAACAGTAAAATTAAGAAAAACCTTTTTGGGGGCCCGGCTGGAAAAGATGGGATTACGAGCATGGCGACTGGCGTCATGGTATGGCTGCTATTGAGAGCGACGAAGCAACAATGATTACCTGACATGGTATCTAGATGAGCTCAAAGCTAGTCTCTACAACTTTTCCAATGCAAATCTCTCTTCCCTCAATTCTACGTTGTTAGTTTCTTTTCTTTTTTTGACCTCCGTGACTTCTATAGCCTCTTCTTATTTAATCTGCCCAACGATACTACTCACCATGACAGCAGCCTCTCTCTCCCAAGTCACTGTCGTATTACTACTACTATTACCTCCTGTTGCATCCTTTGCCAAATTACTATTCCCAGGAAACTGACTCCCCCGATTCACACACTCCCGCACCAACTCCCTAACCTTGTCCTTGTTACTCTTCAGCGTCCGCGCAGACACTCCGCCTCTATTCATCAAATCCTGCACTCTCGGCGCCATATTGGACGCCAGTGTACGCCAGAAATAGCTAGGAAGGGAGGACGTATCCAGCGCTTGGAGTAAGGGTTGTAATAGGTTCGTCTGTTGTTGTTGTTGTTGTTGTTGTTGTTGTTGCTGTACTGACGACGACGAAGAAGAAGAAGAGGAGAGGAGAGGATGCACCGGCGTCTTTATCGACTCCAAAAGCGACTGCAGCGCAACTATATTCTGGCACCGTGCCGATATCTCGAGCAGTGCGCGGTCGAGGGACGGGAGTTGAGCTAGAGCGCGGGCGAGCGAGGCAAGCGAGGATTTGAGTTGGGTTTGGACGTGTTCTTGGAGTGCGGTGAGCATGAGGCTTGGCTCGAAGGGTTTTGTGGAAGATGGTGATGATGATGATGATGATGGTAAGGGGGAGAGCAAGTAGAGCGTCTGTAGAGCGGACGTCGTGCGGGCTTTTGTGTCTTCGTTCTGCGAAAAGGTGGATGCGGAGGAAGCGGTAGCAGAGGAGGAGAGTAACGAGGACATTGAGAATTCCTTGATTACTTGGTTGGCGCGCGAGGCGATGCTGCGTTCACCTGGGTTTACGAGTTCGGCTTTTAGAGTGTTGATTGCGTTGATGCGGTCGAGACCTTCGCCTTCTTCTCCTGGTTTCGAGGCAGAAAGGATTTGACGGAGGGAGAGAATGGTGTCGGTAGAGCGCACCATGGCTCGGTGGTCTTCCTTCTTTGCACTGCCTACGCCGCCCAGCTCTGCCATGCGGACTTCGAGTTGGCGGCCGAGCATCAGACAACGGGCTACTGCGCGCCCCAGCTTGACCGTCTCGCATAGTCGTTCGGCGGTGAGTTGGACCTGGGCAGCGACTTCGTACCGCTCAATGACTTCTTTTTCTAGCGTGCGGTACGACTCGGTCAGACTGGCAACCTGGCCTTCCACCTCGTGCAGGATGCGCGCACTCGAGTCTGCATGTTCGCGCGTGTGCTCCAGCAGCGGCAATGCCGACTTGGTCGTAAGCGTGTCAATGTGCGTGTCGACTTCCTGGACATCGAAAAGAACGCGCGACAACGGTGTCGACAGGTCTAGCGGGGTGTCGGAGGGGTTGTTGGTCGAGAGGACGAGTGTGTTGGCAAAGGACGTTGCCGAAAAGTCTGGGTCGAGAAAGGCTTCATAGTCAATGTACGAGGGTTCGGCGTCGTCTTTGGACATGGCGGCAGCTAAGGGCGAGTCCCGTGCCGGGCGCAATGGAATGAATTGGCTTGCTGGTGAGAGAGCTGCGACAGGGTGCTTATCTTAGCGTGCTGGTGCTCTCGGTATCACGTCCAAACTACCCAGCATCACCATGCGAACCAAGTAGCCAATCGCTTGACCTCAATACTCCGACCTCTCCCAAGCTCGGATCTCACCTGGAAATTGACTAATCTCAAATTCTTACAGCAAATGCTCAATCGGGACATGCTCATCTAAAGTTGTACAAGCGCTTTGACGTGGGTACCGTATCCATTGATTTGACACATTGAAATCGCTATGCTAAAAAGGGACATGAACACCAAAAGCGCCTCCAAGGTATACAGCACCGCCCTTCATTCCGTAAAAAAAAACGTTGCATTAAGCACCTTCACTTCCAAACTCCTTGGTCCACTCAGCACTGCGTTGCAGATCCTCACCACTAACCGTCGGTCTTGAAGCCTTGATGGCCTTGATAAAGTCCTTGACCTTGAGAGGTGGCTCGAGCAACTGGTCGCCATCGAGATCTGTCCATGATTTCTCATGCGCCTGTGGGTCGCCAGGAGAACAGGGCGTCCATTTCGTTTGTCCATCAACTTCGACGGGTTTGTAGTGGGTTGCCGTCTGAATCAGACGTACAGGCTGCATGAGCGCGTCCTGTACTGCAATAGAAATATCGGAACCAGAATATCCCTCACTGAGCTCTGCCAGCTTCCTGTAGTCTGCTTGATTCAGTTCGCAGGGTGTGTTTCCGACCGCAAGTTCAAACATCTTCATGCGCGCAGGAAGATCCGGTAAGCTAATGTGTACTCGTCGTTGGAATCGTCGTCGGATAGCCGAGTCGAGCTGCCATGGGATGTTTGTTGCTCCAAGAATGAGCACGCCTTTCGAGTCTTTGCCTACACCGTCCATTTGTACCAGCAACTCGGTTTTGATACGTCTTGATGCCTCTGACTCGCCTTCTCCACGGGGACCACAGAGAGCATCAATCTCGTCTATGAAGATAATTGAGGGCTTGTTCTCGCGTGCCATACCGAAGAGTTGCTTGACGAGGCTGAAGATATGTTAGTCATGCGCGCCCTGTATAATGAGAGCCATTGTGACTTGCCGTTCTGATTCACCCATCCACTTGCTTACAAGATCCGAACTGGACACACTGAAAAAGGTACTATTCGCTTCGGTCGCAACAGCCTTGGCCAGGTAACTCTTGCCGGTGCCAGGTGGTCCATACAGCAATATACCTTTCCATGGTTGTCTCTTTCCGGTAAAGAGATGTGGAAACTTGATGGGTAGAATGACAGCCTCCTTGAGTGCTTCTTTTGCTGCTTCGAGACCAGCGACATCCTCCCACCGAATGTTAGGTTTCTCGGAGAGAATAGCGCCCGCAAGCGCACCGCGGAGCTTCTTGGAATCAGCGTCCTGTTCGCCTTCGTCATCGTCACTGTCACATGTTAGCATGACGATACTTTAGTGTTGTATTTGCGGCGGTATATACCCTCCACCCTTGCCACTACCGCCTGCTGCCTTGCCATTCGAACCCATGGCTGCTGGTTTCTTGCGATTCGAGGCATCGTTTTGATTCAGGTGCTGCTTGAGCTTTTCGGCGCGCTCCATATATTCGGCGACCTTGCCACGGATCATTTCCTTGGACTTTTGATTCTTCTCCCATTTCAGAGCGAGCATAAAGAGCTCCACTGGTACTCATCAGTATGCGAAAGCCTCAGGCTGTGTTCTGTGTCACTAACACGCGCTGTAGTATAGCTGGTAGGCCTTCTCATATTCGCCCGCTGTATCAGTCTCAATGGCCTTTTTGACCGTTTCGATGGCCCGACCGAGGAAATCCGCATTGCTCATGGCTTGTACCGTGGGCGTGAACCGTGCTCAAATACGTTGTTGTGGGTGGGCGCGTTTGTGTACAGATGAGAGCAGGCAGGCGGGGCACACACGAGCCGTTGAAGACGGTGTGCTTGGGCGAACACGGCGGATGGTATGAGGTCCCGAGACTGTTTTGCGGCACTCTACAGAGTAACTTTGGCGAGGGATTGCTTATGGTAGGTTGTTGTCGCAGGCAGCGGGCGTCGAGGAGACCGTCAAGTTGCCATAGCCTATGGCCATAGCCAAGGCACCTAGCCCGCCCCGCGTTGCTTCTAACCGCTTTGGGAAAGTTTGTTCTCCCACCTGCGACCTGGGAGCATGCAACCAAACTCTCAGTCAAGCCTTACTCAGCATCACAAACACCATGGCAGAAGTACAAAGGAAGCTGCAGGAACTTTCCGAAAAGTATCAAAGCCTCCAAGCGGGTAAGCAATTGTTGCCAGCTATAGTAAAGTGACTGTTAACATCGGAATAGATCTCGGAATCAAAGTTGAGGCACGCCAAAAACTTGAGTCGCAACAACAGGAGAACAGCACCGTCAAGAAGGTAGTCGATCAAGATGCACACATTTCCGACATAGGCTGAGACGCTATACTACAGGAATTCGACATTCTCGACGACGATGCCAACATCTACAAGCAGATTGGCCCGGTGCTATTGAAGCAGGACAAGACAGAGGCAGTCATGGCAGTGAATGGACGTCTGGAATTCATTGACAAGCAGATGTGAGTCCGACTCGCTATTCGTGAGGAGCCGTGATATTGACAGGCAACAGCAAGGACATTGAGAAGCAGATCCAGGATATACAGGAAAACAGCGAGAAGATCAAGGGCGAGGTGCGTCGGTTCGATGCTGATATCCAGGGTAGGCAAGCTGACTTGCCGACTAGATTATCCAGATCCAGACGGGGGCGCAGCAATCACAAGCAGCAGCGTCATAAGAAGATTTGCTACAAAACGAGAGAAATCAATGAGATACCCAATTCATTTGACTTGCTTGGTTCCTGCCGCCTACGCTACATTGTCGTGAAGGACCAAAGCCAAGACTGATGCTGACGACTCGGGCTTCATATAAACTCCAAACTCTAAGCCCTGACCGCTGACGCGCACAAGCGCAACAGCATGTCCCTTGCGAATGGCCTGGGAAATGAATTGATGAGAAAGATGTCAGTGTCGAAGCGTGGCATAGGCACGACCGTCTGGCTACATGGACAGGAGCTTGATGGGGAATATCTAGTACACACAACTAGGAGTGCCAGCTATGAAGGCCAAGCCGTGGTTGCCCTGGGGATCTATGCGTACTGCAAAGCATCTGATGTCAATATATAAGGATTTATCGATTTTTGCACAAGTCGACGCTTCTTTTGGCACGACTCGAATCATGCACGTGGTCAGGCCGAATGCTGGGTGCAGGTGGGTGGCATTTGCCGGGACCCCCGGAGCAGGCAAGCAGCGGGTAGGATAAGCCGTGTCGGGTCTTTTGACCTAGGCGAGTGCTCCTGCAATAACAAAATACGACGTCGTCGGAAGGACCAAGTTGTGTAGTTGTTGGGGGCGCCGAAGGAAGTCGGCTCCTCGAGCCATGAGACTGGCCAGGCATTTATTGCAGGCGGCGCATGAACAGCCAGTCCGGAGCATTTCCTTTTGTTTGCCGGAGCGTTTGATGGGCCCCCCCGCGCAGGCGTTACCAATTGCAATGGGGGAGGGCGCGGCAGGGCCCAGCACCGTGTTACAGAAGGCTTGCGAATCGTGCCCTTTTTTTATTTTTATCTTATGCTTCGCAGGAGGACACAAACACGCGATGCCGAGGGGGAACTGACAGCAGAAGCAGCCGGGGCATCTCTGAGCAGGCACCCAGTACTTGCAACATGGCAACTGTGTTTGGCCGGCACCCGAAGTCGAGGCGGCGATGGCATGGTGCCGTGGCTGATGCTTGCTGGTTGGTTGGGCGGCGTGCCGGGGATGCGGAGGCGTGCTATGGACTTGGTTGCTAGGTACATACAACACACACACACCCACAGCCACAGCCACCATACGGGGATTCGCACGCACAGGCTCGCGCCCTCGCCTCAGGGCGCGCGGGCAGGCAAAGACAGGCGGACAAGCTTTTGCAGCATGGCCGTGGAGGCTCCCAAAGACCACCTGGCTCCACCAGGCATTCGCATCATCTGTAACAGCTGAGGACTAGCGCTGGGCCAGTCGTGCCGTTGCTTCAGTCTTGCGCAGGGTGCCGTGATTGGCTGCACGCTAACGAACCAACGCCTTTTGGAGTCCTGACAAGAGTTCACTGTCCCCTTCTTTACCTCTGGCAGTGACCTTCTTCCGCTGGTCTGCCTCCCTATCGCGGACCTTTTCCCTTCTTTGTTGCTGGATATATTACCCGCTCTCTTCTTATAGCGCTGCTTGCCCGTCCCCTCTTGCACAGCGCTCCCCTCGCCTTCGCCTGCGCCTATCAGCCCTTCCGCGATCCTGTCTCTCCCCTGACACTTCGCACCTCGAGCTCTCTCCTTTGAGGCACAGCTGGGACTGCAGGAGACACTCGTGTGCATCCATTACTTCTCCCTCGAGGCGGTGAATTGCATCCGTCGATACTGTACGTCTCATCTCGACGGCCCGCACCCTCTCGTATTCGCCCTGCTCACTGTCAGCCCAGAATTTCAACCCACCAACTGCCCGCCACGGTACACCACTACCGCCATCATGTCGGCCAGCCACATCGCCGCCAACAGGAACAGCACTCCCGAGGGCTCCTCTTCCCTCCGCCCGCCCCAGGCCCGCTCTTCGCTCGGTGCAAACCACCATCTCCGCGCCTCTGCCGATCTGGGCGGCTTCCCCTCGCCTTTGGCCAACCGCGGCATTCGCCCCGCCTCCGAGATCTACTTTGGCCGCAACAACACTCAGTCTGGCAATCCAGACGAGATGGAGCGTGCTGCCCAGCAGTGGCTTGCAGACATTGACCAGTATGAGACCACGCTTGAGGAGATGGCGACAGCCACCCTTGACCAGGACTTCAAGGACGAGTTGAGCGCCATCGAGCAGTGGTTCCGCGTTCTTAGCGAAGCGGAGAGGACCGCTGCTCTCTACGCTCTCCTGCAGCAGACAACCCAAGTTCAGATTAGGTTCTTTATCCAGGTTCTGCAGCAAATGTCCAAGAACGTGCCCATGTCTGGTGTACTTTCACCTGCTAGCTTTGGAGAAAAGGGTGAGAATTTCTAGTCCTTTTTTTTCGATGCTTTTCCATCCTGACATGTGCTAGATCCAATGACGCAGAAACTGAGCGATGCCATGAGCAAGCTCAACACGGGCGAGAACCGCCATTCTATGGGCCTCGGTCGCCCCCCGCCATCCCCGGGTGCTGGAAAACGCAACTCGGGTTTGGAAACCTCCACCATCAACCGCATGTTCCCGGATGCGGCTGCAGCTATTGCTAAGCAGAAAGCTGAATTCACCGATGTTGTAGGCGTTGCACCCGCGTCAAACCGCAACAGCACTGTCGGCGACCGCAGCTCAATGGCAGCTCCCACCATCTCTGCCCCTGAGGACAACAAGAGGGAAAACAATGCCCCGCCGGCATCTCCCTGGAACGAAGGCGCGAACCGTCCAAAGTCCTCTGGCCAGCAGCAGCAACAGCAACAACAGCCCATGGGCCAGTTCTCGCAGCCCCCTCCATCCGCCGGTCTTCGCTCCCCTCGTCTTCCCCTCCAGAATGATGGCAATAATGTGCAGACTACTACTCTGAATGCTCTCGAGGCAAACTCCAACATGCCACTTCTTTCGCCTTCTTACCAGCCAGGTGGCAGCTGGGCGTCGCAGCTGAGCACCCCCATGGTCGCCAACTTTAGCCAGTCCAACAACCAGGCTGATATGGTTGCCAATGCCACGGCCATGAAGCTTGCTGCACTCTCTACTGTTAACAACCGTATTCAGTTGGACGATGTGCGCAAGTTCCGTCGCGCTCGCTCATCAGACAACGGCCCTATGTCGCCTGGTATGCCTCAAATGGGCAATGGAAACATTCTCATGACAAACGAGATGGGCCAGGTCTTGACTCCCCAGCAAGCGGCTGCCCTTCAGGCCCAACAGTTGGCTGCCATGAACGGCCGCCGATCTCGACCTAGCTCTCCTGGTTTCGCAATGCAGGGCCAGGGTATGGGTATGGGCGCCATGGGTAGCTTCACGTCCCCCCAGGCCAATGGTTTCCTAGCTGCTGACTATGGAGGTGGAATGATGAACAACGGCATGGGTGCACTTAACCTTGCTCAGTTTGGATTGGGTAGCGGAGGCAACAACGACGGCCACGGCTTCCTCGGTGAGAACATTGACCGTGGTCGATCTCCCCGAGGTCGCCGCGGCAGCTCCAAGCCCCCGGAAGATCCTACGGACCCTGGTCTGCTCTCGGATATTCCCAACTGGCTCCGCAGTCTCCGGTTGCACAAGTACACGGATAACCTCAAGGACCTCAAATGGCAGGAGCTCATTGAGCTTGACGATGAAGGTCTGGAGAAGCGCGGAGTTAACGCTCTTGGTGCGCGTAGGAAGATGTTGAAGGTATGAAAGGCCCTATTCGTTCCATAAGCCCTTGGAGCTAACGCAAGATTACAGGTTTTCGAGCAGGTGAAGGAAGCTCAGGAACAGGGCAAATTGCGATAGATCCGCGACCTGTACCTCCGGACTCGCACACGCGAACGAGTTCATCTCAAAACATAGATATACGATGGAAAAGCGGCGACCTCCAGCTGGCACGGATGCAAAATCCGTCGGGTCTGGGAACGCATACGATGACATGCTTTATGCTCTGAGACCCCATTTGGATGTTGTGTTGGCCCATCGTATGTCGAAGGCTGGCTTCCACTGCAGTTTCTTTTTTGTACAAATGTATTAGTGTGTGGTTTTCAATTGTAAGGTTAGGGTAGAAGAGGCCGGGCAACGGCAAAAATTAATCACGCCATTACGCGCTTTCTGCAAGAAGATTCGTGTTCAGCATAAGCATCTAAACACTTGTTCAGCATATTGCACGTCTCTACTTTTGTATAAACACGAGATGAGATTGTTTGGAAAAATGCGGCCCCGACTTGTCATCCGACAGGTACCGACAAGGCAGCCATGACGGCATCTGACACTCAGGTCAGCCTTGCAACTACCTTTCACTTGGCAATAACAGCACTTGGTTAAAGCATATGAACACTCAAGAAACATCACCCCTGCACTGCATAAAACGTCAGCCTCAGCACCTCCAGCCAAGTGATTCTTCCATTTACTCCGTCACACCATTGACCTTTGATGGACCAACCAACAGCCGAAAAGCGTATTGAACGGGTTGTACTAGCATGTGTTCAATGCCGCAACAGACACGTCAAGTGCGATGCCGAGCAGCCGGTGTGCAAAAGATGCAAGCGTGATGGGAAAGAATGCGTTTACCAGAAGTCACGAAGAGGAGGTCTAGATAAAGCAGCCCTTGCAGCACGACGGCTACGATTGCAGCAAGAAGCTGAAAGCGCGCGGCGCAACACACCCGCTTCTCACAGCAGTGAAGGTTCCGACCAGCACCTACCAACAGACTCAACACGCGCTCAGTCGTCGCCGAATCTCTTTTCGAACAACATAACAGACGAGACGTTATCCCTCGCCGCATCACAGCTTCTTCAGCAAAATCATGTGACGTTCCAGATTGACAACAATCGCCTTCTCGAACTGTATTTCGAAAACTTCTGGGCTTCGTGTCCCATCGTTTTGCCATACTCTTATCTACGAACCAGGCGTCTGAAAGAAAATCATGGCACATCAGTCTTGTTGCTCGTCTTGCAATGGATCGGCTCGTTTTACGCACCCTGGGTGCCATCAGAGCCTTATCGTGAAGCAGCTCTCAAGGCACTTGCTTCGCCCACGCTTGAACGCACGCCATTCAACGTCCAATCATTGATGCTGTTTGCACTCGCAGAATTTTACCACAATCTCAAGAGTCAGGCTCGCAAGAGGCTAGAAACAGCTGTTGCCCTTGCCTTAGAACTTTCTATGAACGAAAGGGACTTTGCCCACACGTATGGTGAAGGCGACGCTGTGCTGGAGGAGTCATGGAGGAGAACCTATTACATGCTCTATATTGCGGACCAGCACTTTGCTGTAGTCACCAACACACCCTTCCACTCGTTACTGGCAGTGCCAAACAATGTGGACTTGCCTTGTGATGACGAGTACTACGAATCTGGGGTACGTTATATCGGCATGCTTGGAATTGTTGAAGTGGTAATATGTTTAGCAAATCCCTCCCGTGTCAACATGGGCCGAGTATCAGCTCCGCGAGTTCGCAGAGATTGAGGTAGTATATTCTTCAATGACCTACCTGTACGATGCTGCTATGGTTGTTGCATTCAGTAAGTTTGAGCCGAAAATGCAGGATTGGCATAGGACGTCATGTTGACCATATTAGTCATGAACACATTCATCCAAACCGCTGTGATAAACGAAGCTCTTGTTGAGAGTTGCGATGCCAAATTTGCTATCTGGACGTCTTTGCTACCATCCTGTAAGAAGGATCCACTTCGTCTCAACGGCGAGGTAGACGAGATCATGTATGTGGAGAACAGTTGTATTGAAAGAATGGAACTCTTGCTGATACTTCTCTTTCCACAGGTTCATGGCGCATATGGTTATCGCTATGTAAGTGTCCACCCTCCCCTTTCTAAGAGCATGCTGACATGACGACAGCGTAATGTCGACAATCCATCGGCCTTACTCGTCGCTAGGCTACTGTCCAGGTGAAATGTCTACACGAGGCTTCATAGCGCCCTCGCCCTTTACGCTCGTGCCGAAAGCTGGGCGAAACGCACACACTGCACGCGTGCTGAAAGCCACAGAGATTGCAACGAGGCTACTCGCAATTCCTTGTGCTCTTGAAAAACATAATCCATTCACCGCGTGCATGACCGCACAGATGGCTGCCGTACAGGTAGCTGCGTGCATATACCTGCTTGACGGCCATGCCCTTTCCATAGCGCGCGACCGCGTTAGCCTCAGCATTGGCTTTCTGAAAACCATGGGGTCCACTTGGCCTCTCGGAAAGATAATGGCAATAGAAGTTCGAACCATTGCGCGCTTGAGTTTCTCCGGTACGAGCGTCCAGCATGCTGGATCTATGGGGGTGGAACCTGTGGCTGCGGAAATCGAACTACCGCGCGATGAGTTGGTATCTCCTGTTGATCCTTCAGCTCAGATTGACATCTACGCCGGTCTCACGCTTCCTGTCGATTTGAGCACGACACCTTTTGGGTATCCAAGTTGTTGGGACTAAAGATGGAAAGTCGCAGATATTATTGATACTACTCAAACTGTGGTATTCATGCTGTATGAGGCGAAAGACGGGCATACAGGCGAAGAGCGAGCTAACGCTGTGTAACTCGACTAAATTCGGGATCAGCAGTGTCCAGCCGTGATCAGCGCAAGACGACCGATCAACTATGAGGTCAACCGTGGACGAGCAAGATCGATGTGACAATTCATGGTTTGACAGCATGATTGCAGCAGGACAATTAGGGACAAATCAAATTGGCTAAACAACATATTACTACTCCAAACTAATGCAATGTAGGGACCAGCCGATAAATGAGGTCATTACGTACAGTTGCGCAGGGTGGACACAATATAACCCAACGCATGCCAAACCCCATTTTTCATTCGAGTATTATCTGCAACCTCGGGAGTTGGTAAGCAAGCAAGTCCATCCACCCGCTGGCTCGTTATCAGTTGCCCAGCGGGCGTATCTATGCCATGAGCAAGGAAGCCGTTCACGTCATGCTCCAAGGGGCTAGCGCCTCAGACCATTCAAGTCGCAGCCCCACCGCGGATCTGCAATTCGCTCCAGAGTGGGTCCCTGCACAAGTCGTCTGTTCGTCCAATGTTCGAAATAATCCAACGGATTTAAAGCACGAGTGGCCTTCCGTCTTCTCCCCCTCGTGGCAATGCATTCAGGGTAACGACACGATGACGGGTCCCGTTTTTGGTTGATTTTGCGAAACCAGAAGCAACTTCTCTTTTTCTTCTCTTCTTTTTGCTGGTCCAGGACAACGCACGGCAATCCACGAAGAAAAAAAAGAAGAATCCAGCGCAACTGCGACTTTGCGACGAGTCATTCAGGTTCTTCCGAGGAAACAACACGACGGTTCTGACGACACGATGAGCGACGTTGAGAAACAGTACGATGTGGCGACGCCGGGTGGTGTGAAGAAGGGGGATGAAATTACTGACCAGAGGGATGGGATTGATCCTGTTTTCGAGGCCAAGCTTGTGCGCAAGCTGGATATCTACATTATCCCAGTGGTTATGCTGTTGTACCTGTTCAGTTTCCTTGACAGGTGAGTTAGAGGAGGTTTTCTTGCTTGCAAGAGACTAGACCTTTGAAGGAAAAAAAACCGTGGATTTGGCAGCACCGACGTACTAACTAAAACCCCAGAGTCAACATTGGAAATGCCCGTCTCTACGGTCTCCAGGAGGATCTTAACATGAGCGACTCGCAGTTCCAAACCGCAGTCTCGATTCTCTTCGTCACCTACATCTTATCGGAACTCCCTTCAAATCTGGTTCTGAAAAAGTTTACGCCCTCGCGGTGGATCGCATTCATCACCCTCGCCTGGGGCATCATCGCAACCCTCACTGGTATCGTACAGAGCTACGGCGGTCTCATTGCATGTCGTCTTCTCCTCGGAGCCGTTGAAGGTGGTCTATTCCCCGGCATGGCCGTCTACCTAACCTTCTTCTACACCAAGCGCGAACTCGCCCTCCGCATCGGCTACCTATTTGTCTCCGCCGCTCTCGCCGGTGCCTGCGGTGGCCTCCTCGCCTACGCAATCGGCCACATGGACGGCACCGCCGGCCAGCGCGGCTGGCGCTGGATCATGATTCTCGAAGGCATCCCCACCCTCATTCTCGGCATCGCCACCTGGTTCGTCCTCCCCAACTCCCCCGAAACCGCCTATTTCTTCTCCGCTGAGGAAAAAGCCTTTGCCGCCGCCCGTCTCAAGCGGCAAACGGGGTACACGAAGAAAGCTGCGGAATTCCACTGGGCCGACGTCAAGAAGGCGTTCAAAGACTGGAAAGTGTGGACCTTTTGCTTTGCGCAGTTTGGCTCCGATACCATGCTTTACGGCTACTCGACGTTCCTGCCTACCATTATCCGCTCGATTAATACGACGGCCAGCAGTGCCATGGTGCAGGTTCTGACCATCCCGTGTTACGCGCTAGGCGCGGTTACGTATCTGGTCGTTGCGCACTTTTCCGATCGCCAACAGAAACGCGGCTTGTACAGTGTTCTCCTGGGCCTCGTGAGTATCGTCGGGTACGCGATGCTGATTAGCGATTCAAACTCCAAAGTACACTACGCGGGATGCTTTCTGGTGGCTATGGGACTGTACGTTTGTGTGGGCTTGCCGCTTGCGTGGTTGCCGACGAATTTGCCAAGATATGGCAAGAGGACGACGGCGACCGGGTTGCAGCTTAGTATTGGGAATTGTGCGGGGATTATGAGTGCTTTTGTATGTTCTTTTCACCTTCTTTTCATGTGTGTTGTCTTTGGATTTCGAAGTGCTAATCTTGCTTTATCACAGATTTATCCAACTGCCGATCGACCCCGCTTCGTCAAGGGCCACGGCATCACGATGGCCATGGTGGGGTTCGCTTGTACGTGCTACTGTGTTTTGTGGTTTCATTTCTCGAGGGCAAATGCGAAGAGGGAGCGGGGCGATGAGGATGCTGCGGTGCAGAGTTTGAGTGATGAGGACATTGCAGAGTTGGGGGATGATAGTCCGAGGTTCAGGTATACGATTTAAGTGTGCGTGTTTTTTTTCGGTAGGAAGGGATATGTCGTGGGGGTTTGAGTTTTTAGGAAGACTGGGTCTGTAATGCTGTGTATAGTGGTGTGTATGTGTGTGATGTATGGGGAATAATTCTGTGAATGAATCTACGCTTAGGATACAGCAATTGGCTTGGTACATAAGAGAAAGTGTCCGAAGAATAGTAAGACTACATATGTATCTGTGTAGTTGTTCATTGACATCTCTTGATGAAAATTATTTTGAGAACTCTCTTTCTTTCCATAAAAAGGTGACAATTCTGATTGATGGTAGGCAGGCCGCAGTACGGTGCTTATGTTACCAATGTTTCTGACGTTCGAGTATGATACAAACGAATTCAATTGCCGTAGTAGCCGCTGTCGATAATGCCACATATGTAGGTGGCCTGAAATACCATTCATTGCAGCATGCGCTTATGGAACCCGGCTAATTGCGACGAATTTTCATGGAAAAGCGTGCGTACATGTTCATTTAGCGATGCCCCTCTATATTGTTGCGTCGATCCATGTTCAACCCTGAGCCGTTCGCTTTGCTACCCCAGTACGCTACTACAGGCTAGAATGCCGGGCGATTCTTTGTTTCTAGTCGCAGCACGTCATTGGACTTACGCTTCTTGTATTTCGGCAAGCCGATCAAGTTTCCCTTATAGTACTGATGGCGGAGTTCACGGATGCACCAGAACCGTCTACCCAGCTATATCACCCACTCCAGGATGCAGCGTCATCGGGTTCTGATGTTGATGAACATCTAAGCTGGGGAATCCGCCTCCTTCTTCTCTTACCAGGCGATCGGGATTCTACGATTCAATGCAGTCTATCGGTTTCGACCATGGGTAACAGTTTGGGGGCTTATGAAGCATTATCTTATGTCTGGGGTTCACCCGCTACTACAGACACCGTCATCCTTGATGGTCGACCTGTACTTGTTACTCCAAACCTTCAATACGCATTACGATGCCTCCGTTACAAGACATCATCTAGACTCTTGTGGGTCGATGCGCTCTGCATCGATCAAAAGAGTACGGAGGAGAAGAGCGTCCAAGTCCCGCGTATGTGGGCGGTCTTTACCTTTTGTCGGAGGGCTCTGATATTCCTGGGCGATGAATCAGATGACAGCGGCCGAGCGCTGCATCTCTTACACATGATCTCGCAACTTCAGCCAACGGATCTCGATACAATGGCGAAAATGGTGGGTGATCGTAGTCTGGCTTCATCTTGGAACGCCCTCTCGAAACTGGCGCAACGACCGTGGTGGGGCCGCGCATGGATTATCCAGGAGTATGCTGTTGCAACGAACATCCATTTCCTATGTGGCACACACATTTTACAAGGCGAGGAATTTTCCAAAGCAATCAGTCTTCTTAGAGAGTATCGATTCAAGAGCATAGTTCCACAAGAACAAGCCTACCTAATCCGACGTGTCGCGCCTACGTCGATTCTTCACCTTTGGTCCACGCGAGAAGAATACCAAAAAGGCTTGCAGCCATGCAAGCAAGCTGTAGATATACTCTACAAGTTCAGAGGTTCACAGTCGTCAGATCCACGGGATAAGATTTTCAGCCTTTACAAACTCATAGGCCGGACGCCCGAATTGGCTCCAAATTATGGACAGTCTGTCCAGGATCTTTACCAAGCCGTTGTCAAGACCACCGTCGAATACTCAGGAACCTTGGAGATTCTGTCACATCACAACCGGAATGTTCGCTCTCAGCTTATGTTGCCGAGCTGGTGTCCTGATTGGACAATACGACGAGGAAAGAGGATTTTGCTCTGGCCCAACGGATATAAAGCCTGTGGGTCATTAGAAAAAACTCACGCCCTAATCAAGGAAGACGTTTTAGCACTTGCTGGTGTGCCCCTTGCTCGCGTGCAAGTTCTAGAAAGGTTTCCGGCCAAGAAATTCTACAAGGGCACATCCGTGTATGACACGTTGCACTTGTTGCAAGAGAAGATACGTGGCTGGGTCCATATCGGCTTAGATGAAGCCACTAGGCTGGACATGTTTCGAAGAACAATCGTCGCTTCGAGGATTCGCTTCAATGGAGCCCGGGGTTTAGCTACTATCCTGGGTGAATATCAGGCTGATACACTCTGGGAGGCATGGTCCGCACAAGCAAGCAATTATATCGCGGGTATCGATAGTCTCGCCAAATCCTACAACGATGCGCTCTTCACTGCTCTTTGCGGACGAGCATTGGTTGTTACAGACAACAACTCGTTGGGTATAGTCGACCAACCTGTTCAAGACGGTGATCTGATCTGCGCTTTTCCTGGTGGACAAGTCCTTTTGTGTATTCGTGCTACGAATACGAAGATGAATAGCAAGACGTACCAGCTTGTTGGTGAATGGTAAGCCACATCTTCCCCTTTTCTGCACGTTGCAATCTGCTTACTTTTTCCTGTCTCTCAGTTACCTTCATGGCTACATGGAGGGAGAGGGACTTGACAAAAGCCATGGGGACGAAGCAGACCTGATGGAGTTCGCACTTGTGTGATCGAAGGCCTTTCCATATTGGCTCTATTCTTCTTCCCAATCACCCCATCTAGGTAAGGCCACGATACCGAGAAAAAATTGTCCCTTGAAGTTGCGATTGTCACGCGGGAACAGTTCGTTTAATTGTCTTCATTCCCTACGAAGCTATAAGGATGTGACTGCAACAGGTCAGTCGCCGACACTGATATGGCAGTACATTCTGCTAGAATTGCAAGACTCATTTTGGAGATAGTTTAAGATTCAAGACGAAAGGGCTGGAGCTCCGATATACATACAAAAACGTTTAATGAACTTTGTTAATATAATAATCTTGATATTTCGTAGCATGCAATCCTATATTTCACAGGATCGTAATGAAAAGAGATACCAGAACCCGGCTGCTCAACGACCAAGTGGTTTAAGCTGAGGGAACCTTTCCTCCAATTTAACCACGAATTTATACCTTGTCCTCAATCTCGAGTCATGCACCCATAGTCCAAATAATCCCACAGACTATCCAGCTGCGGAAAGACAGATACTAGTAATGGCTAGCGGCGGCACGATGGAGAGGCTACCTACTGCTACTCCTCGCCCTCCCAGGCACATTTTACCCGCTGTTCTATACCAGTTGATTTCCTTGTGGCAAGCCTGTTGAAGCAAATTCATTAGACTCTTGAGAGCCCTGATCACATCCATGGATGGCGGAACAATGATGTGAGCAAGATCTATTGGAAGATGGTGGCAGTTCCAGAAAATAGGCATGTAGTATGTCCCAGTCTCGGTAGAGTTTTGTATACACTGTGTGTCCCAATTTCGCCATCGGACATATCTGTTCGTCCAATTTCCTCTCCACGTTCTATTTGAATGATGTTGGCATCGCTCTGGATGACGCCTGTATTAAGATCAGGCACTTTCGTGCTGCTTTTTGAATATGTCAACATCGTCCCATATCCCGGGTGATCCCAGAATCTTGCGCCCCTGAATTCATCGAGAAGACTCAGACTAGGATCGGCCCAATGATCGCAGTCTATAACGCAAAGAGCGTAGTGCGCTGTAAACTTCAGTTTGGATGGTTCCTGCACACAATTTATTCTTAGCGCACGCCTCTTTGAAACCATGCTTACTCGGTTGACTCCAGCGCTATGCAAGGACCGTGGGGTAATTACTCAACGTTATCACAAAACAGGCTTGGCTACTGTGCTTCATCCACAAAAACAATTTAGATGTAAAAGAAAATAGGCTCTTAGCAACTTAGTATTATAGTCATAGGCAGAATTGGTTTTCCATTTCGCAATTCGATTTAATCTTGCCGCGCTGACCGATGAGCACATGCTAACTCAGCGGCTCGCAAGGGTAATGTTATCATGCATGACCAATCAACAAGTCGACTGTGCCACTCGTTTGCAGGCTGTCCGGTCAACTGCTTTCGGCCCCAACCCTCGTTCGGCAAATTAACGCACGCAGGCGGATAAGTTAAAAGGCTTGTGCACTGTCTGAGCGATTCAAAGTCCGCTGCTCACCACTAAGCTTCTTCAGTGTATTTCCATCGGAGCCTAGAGGAAGCAATGTTCAATCTGCAACGGCAGAAAGTACTGGATGAGTGTGTATGGAAGCCTGGAGAAGGACACCTTCGGTATATCGAAGCCCGGACTTTTGCAAATACAGGTAGGCCAAACGAAAATAGCCTTCGAATTACTTTGTTTCGATCAGCACGCTAACCTTGGAAACTGCAGTAGATGCACCCACAAGTGAAACTTTTCAGGAGGGAGATCTAAGCGACCTGGATGTAGACGACTGGCTACACCAAAGGGGCCGCTTCATCCGATCCACCAATTCCCCAAAAGGAAAGGAAGAAGGTAACATAAGACTGCTCATTTGTGAGCGATTTGGCTTTCAGCCTCTCCAATTTGGCTTAAGCAAGGCTTCCTTGTTGGCTATCGAAGATAAGTTTGGTCTTCCAATTGAAATGCTTCCATTATTCAAGTTCAATGGAGGTGGCCACTCTTACTACTTTTGCCGTTCGACTTCTCATGATCAAAAACCTGAACAGCTCGGTAAGGCCGAATTCTCACGACTTTCAAACTCGGAAAATCTTACATGAAAGTTAGTTATCACAATCAAAGTTCCACAAATGTACCAGGTTGCAAATTACGGCCTGTGCTTGACGCACTCTTTCAAAACACACGTCACATTCGGCTTCATGTTCGGCTGGAATATGTTCAGCGACAAGCAATGGAAAGAACAAATGAGTATTATGGAGCGTCCCAGATATCTAGAACTTCATGGTCCCCGGATTAGCAAGCTCATAAGATCAGCAATTTCTGATTGGAGGCATCCATTGTTATTACCGGTAATTCTACTTGAAGACTACGTCTACCATGCGGATAAGTACAAAGGATCCGATCTTTCCCGGAGAACAACAAAAATGGAAAAACAACTAGGAGTTACGGTAGCCGGAAGAAACAGTGGCTCTTTAAGTCCATTAGATTTTGGAGCCTTGAATCTTAACATGGCGCCTGAGAAACGACTCAGGACCATCACTGAGATCAACACTCTTGCTACTGATGCGGCCGCTTTCGCTGGAAACTTAGAATGGACTAAAAGATACTGCCAATTCCTGCGAGATATCTCTAAAAATATCCAAGGGTTCACCGAATCGACGCAAGGTAGCAAGCCAAGGCTGGAGAACACTATTGAGACCTTGTCCATTCTTGCTATCTCAATTTTAGAACACACGCAGGCGATAAAGGCCAGACTGGATATACAATTCAATGTGGTAAGAGATTCAATATATTCGACAATTGATTTGATTTTTGACCAGCTGTTTTAGCTGTACAATATGGTCGCCCAAATGGACAGCAACCTCAATGCAACAATCGCGGCGACGACAGGGCTTGACAGTGTAGCAATGAAAGCTCTTGCTTTTGTTACCACTCTCTTTTTGCCTCCAACCTTCATAGCTGTACGTATAAATCGTCTTAGTCAAAACAAGATAACAGATGCAACTAACCAAGTTATTTACCAAAAGACACTGTTCAGTATGTCAATGTTCGATTGGCAGGCTGAAATCAAGGCAAAATCATCAGATTCAAACGAAGAAACTAAAGTTCTCTCAAGGCATTTTTGGATATATTGGGTAGCTAGTGTGCCCCTGACAGTTGCAGTGCTTTTGGCTTGGCGTATATGGTGGCATTGGGAAAAAAATCGTTATCAACACAAGTACCCTCATATCAAGCTGGGTAGCAAGCTCCAAGATGCAGATTCGAGTTTTTCCAATGGATTGAACAAAATGATGTTGAGACGACGAGACAAACTAGAGGACATCGAAATAAACTAGACTGGCATTAATACCCGCAATCGCTCCATCACAGAGATGATTCAGCACGATATATAAGTTGCCAAAGAATTTCTGCTTCCTATTAATTTTCATCAGGCCCTAAAAGCCATTGTTGACGAGCACCTATGTCTATATCAGTCATTTTGGATGTTATATATCGCAAATAGCCATACATAGATAGGGAGCCATAGCAATTGCGTTTCGACAGGCACACTCTAATAGAGGCTCCACATACCCCCTTCTAGCACGCTAACACGACATAGAAATGACCCATGTTAAAAGGACAGTGCGGTGAATACAAGTCAAAGCGCAAAACGCGAAACCAATTCTGCTCGCGACTATACTCTGATCGGGTGCTAATGAGTTAAAAGTAACAGGAAGGATTCTCCACTTACTAAGTGACGAGATGGCTGAAGGCCTATGAACCTCCATGTCGGAAGGTAATGATCACTGCGGGGCGCTGATCACGCTGAGCCGCTGGCTTTGGTGATGCCACCTAGAGCGTGTGAGTATATGGCCTTATATATGCAGTATAGAGTTAGTGACTCTTGGAAAGAGTCCTGATGCTAGGACAGAAGCAACAAGGATATAAGAATAGCTAAATTTCATTATCACTCTCGTTGTGGTTAATTCTTAAATTATACTTTCTTACTAGTATCTTTACTTACGAAGATTGTTACTTGTTAGTCTATGGTGATATATATTAGGGTTTGTCGAAAACCCCAGTTACATCCCTAACTCTTTTCCACTACGAATCGCCAGACATCCCTCACGGAGCTATCCCTTATTCCTACTCGCCCTAACTCGGAATCAAGCCAGAGAAGTATTAGCATCCAACCCTGTGTAACATAACGTGTAATCCGCAAGTAGGACACGCAGAGCGTTAGCGTTCATAAGCATGGAAAGCAGTTCTAGAATCTTCGCTGGCTGTATTGTTTTCAGCTTAGGTAGTATAAATTACAATACTTACAGCACCTGCTGTGGCGTCTGGAGCTTTCTCACTTCCTTCGCCGATTGGTCTACCGAGGAATGAAGTACCAGCCGGGGCGGCAACCATGCATCAAATAAACGATTTCCACCCACAGGGTGAATTATGACGATCTCGTGATCCCTAACAGGTTCATTCGCCTGAGTAAGTCTATGTGTATGTTGTGATACTGCTACAAGCTTTGTTGTGGTGCTGAGCAGATATGGTGGGCTGCAGCGATAGAAAAACCAGCTGTCACAAAACAGGCCGTAAAACGGCAATACAAATGAATTTAACTTTCTTAGCTATCAATAGGCTTTAGAATACGTTAAAAATACACTCTTATGGGAAAATACATAAATCTAGAACAGTATGTATAAGTTTTGTTGCTTTGATGTTCAAGTACCTAAGATTTGTTCCGCTACGAGTGGATGCACGTTGCAAGAAAATGAAAGAAACCAATACATCTCCATAACTACAATTTCTGAAACCAGCGTAACCCCCCCAACCTCCCAGTATGCCTCGCGAAATACGTCCGGATTCTCCCTGACATATTCTTCACAAGTCTGCACCCCTGTCTTCTCTGCACACTCCTCATCCCACACTTTCCCCGCCCACTCACCACAAAACGCCGTGTTGAACACAATTTTCATATCCACAAAACGCTCACTAAAATCGCACCCTGAGCCACTGAACCGCGCCATCGGCGGACCCCAGGTCGATGGATCCGGCGACGCAACAGCCGCAGCATTCGACTGCGAGAAATACTCTGTATACCGCTGCGAATCGCGAGGAAAAAACCACACCGAGATGCTCGATTCCGTCCACTCCATAGCATACACCCCACCCTTCACATCGTTGAATCCCGTCCCGTACGATGGAGCCCGCGCCTCACCCATCTGCACCCCATCCCCGCTCTCCGGCGCGCGAATCGAGCATCCCGCATTCTTCCCTTGGCCGGGGGCATCGACATCGCAGTTCCCCGTCACCATGGTCCCCGTAAACTCGCCAGCCGCAGTAGTCTTATTATCAACCACGCATCCCGCAGACGTATGCAGCGTAACCGCGTTGCCCACAGCCTCATTCACTCCCTCAAGAATATCAATCTCCCCGCCCTCCGGCCACTCCTTCGATGCAGAGAGCATCCAAAACGCGGGCCAAGCCCCGCATTGCGACGCAGGCATATGCCGAATATCGGCGACCAGGAGTCCCTTGTTCCAGCTTTTGGTGCTCTCGAGGCGCAAAGAGGCGCGGCCGGAGGCGTCTTTGGTGGTGTGGTCTACGCCGAGGTAGATGGTGTTATAGGGGGAGAGGTAGCCGAGGAGGGAGTGGGAGGTTGCCGAGGAGAGGTTTTGGTATTGGACGAAGCCGTTGGTGGGGTCTGGAGAGGAGAAGAGGGAGAAGGACGGGAAGAAGTTCTGGGAGCTTAGGTCATCGGTCAGGGTGTATGTTGTGGGGTTGGTAGCATTAGGGGTGGGCGTCGGGTGTGCGGTTGTTAGAATGGGGAGGGAGAGGACGGCTAGGGCCGTTGTAAAGAGCTTTGAAGAAGGCATTGTTGAGCGTTGGAGTCAAACAGACGTTTGCAAAGTATCGGCGGGCTCTCTTTCAGCTTCAATACTACTGCTCAAGTAAGTAGGGGAAATGGTAAAAAAACATTTGTATCGGTTGATGTTGGAGATGAAAAGATATTGTGATGTAACAATGTAAGGGCTTTGCTGGTTCTCATCAAGGATTCACAATAGCTGTGTGTCTTTCTGTTGTCTTATTGATGTGTTGTAGCAGTGAATGTGGCACAGTGAGCTCTGTTTTCGACACACCTAAGCATCACAGAGCCTGTAACCAGTGGCAGTAGGAAGATGACATGGCGGCAATGGTAGGCGCTTTAAGAATGCAAATCTGATTGGAATTATGAAAACTTTTGCTTGAATTGATATGTACCGCTGTTAGACCGACTGGTTCTCTTTGTGTATCAGCCAGTTATTTCTCAGTCACTCAAGAAGCACTTACAAAATACTCAGTCCACGCCGCCACACTCTATCAACCGCTCTTCTTGCTCTTCGGCACAATCTTGAGCGAAAAGTCCACATGTGGCACTCCCTGATGTATACTGCTTGTGCTCACAATATCAATATCACCACAAACATACTTCTCGACATTGTGCTCTGTCAAGCCCCCGCTGACCTCGACGAGGAACTGCTTCCTATCACCAACGCCACGCCCCCACTTATCTTTTAAATCCTTTGCAGCCACCTGGACACCCTCTGGAGTAAAGTTGTCCAACATGACGATATCAGCGCCGGCGGCAATGGCCTCGTCTGCTTCTTCAAAGGACTGACATTCGACTTCAACCTTGATTGCAAACCCACCTGCAGCCTTGGCGGCTTTCACAGCATTGGTAATGCTTCCAGCAGCGACAATGTGGTTGTCCTTTAGCATCGTCATAGCACTCAGATCAACACGGTGTGCGTCCACACCACCAACCAGCATGCCGTACTTTTCCACGAGGCGGAACCCTGGAGTAGTTTTGCGTGTTCCAGCGAGGATATTTGGGTATCCTGCACCACGCAAAAGGGTCAGTAGGCGATGACTCTTGGTAGCGATGCCGGAGCAGCGGGCGAGCGTATTGAGAGCTACGCGCTCGCCGAGAAGAAGATGGCGGACGGGGCCGCGGACCGTGGCGCAGTGAGTAATGGGCTGGAAGGATGTGCCTTCTTTGACGTGCCATTCTACACTGACAGCATGTCAATCCCTAGTACCGAGTGTTGTGGATAGTGCAGGACTCACGTGCAGCCTAGTTGACGGAACACTTCATCGAAAAATGGCACGCCGGCTACTATGCCCTACTCGCTTGTCAGCAAGACGAATGTCTAGAGGAGAGAAATCACTTGCCTCACTCTTGCCCAGTAGCTTCGCCTCCGACATCTCCTCTCCAACTACAAACCCGCCATAATCAAAGCTCGGCGTGTCCTCCTCCAGCCATTCCGACACAAGCCTCTTATACGTTTGCGGTAGTAGATGCGCTACCGCACCATGTGCTGGGGCGCCCTCGGATACCTGCATATTTTCGAGTTGGATGTGGTATGTTTCGAGGCAGCGGGAGCTCTTTTGTCTTACTGGGGGTTGGAGGTGGGCATCAGAGACGAAGGTTGTCGGAACATCCGTCGGAACCAATGTTATATCGATAACGTAGTAGCGGCCGCCACTAAGCGGCCGCGCATCGGACTCGTTCCCGATAGTGTGTCACGTGAGGACTGGCAGGTGATGCGTGGTCTTGAACGGTGAATATTTCTTAAATTGATATATGCTGAATGGGTTATTATGGATATGAAGAGTTGGAATCATCGCTGTTCATTTCAAGTCGGGTTCTACTCATCGCATGTTGTACCATCCAATGCCAACCACCCTAATCGCTTTATATCGTCCTCAAGCTTCATGAATACTTTGCCGCTGTCTTGAGACTTTTCTTGGGGTCTATTTCAGAGTCTTGAGCTTGAAAAAAATGAATGGTAGTTTGTGCTTCATAGATGCCACAGTACGCAATAAGGGATAAAATAGACTCAGTGTACTACGGAAGACGCACATAGCAATCACATTGACAGCTGCCTCCCATCGCATTCGTGTGAATTCTAGTCTCCTATATATGCATAGGTGAAAAGGGAGAACATTGACATATAATCAATCAGTATTACTGCACAGCCTGGAATCAATCCACATAACATTCATGGATAGCTGCGACATAACGTAACAGTATGCACAAAAGGGCTTCTAATGATTCAATTCGCAATTCTCTACCATTACAAACGATTTGCTAAGCTTACCGTAAGATGGAGGGGCTAACAACATCGTAAAGGCTGACTGCAACATGTGTGTTTCTGAGCTTGGCGACGCTTTCTGGGTTGCTTCGGACCGTGGATAGCTGCGCCAAGTCGCCAGTAGTTATGTCAGGAATTCTAGACCAAAGAGACAAGCAGCTCATTGTCCTATGAATTCATCGACCATAGCGCTCTCTACTTCGCATGCAATGCATTGGCACGCTGCTCTTGCACAGCCCCCGTCTTGGACTTTTCGTCATGTTAAGCATTCATCCACCTCATGCCTAGACACACGACATGTCCGTTAGTCTACGACCCCGAATTTTTGCACTCCTTTACTGGATTTACATTTGTCAGTCTACGTGCCGACACAGAACTGCCGTTGTCGAACAGCATTTCGTCCGATAGCATTTCGTCGTCACTTTCGTCGTCACCCTTGTCATCTTCATCGTCACCATCGTAGTCAGAATCAGTAGCGTCGCCGAAACTTTCTGATATGCTCAAAAATTCACCTCCAAAGTATCTATCAAGGCTATTGCTGTCGCTGTCGGTGCCGCTCTTTGGGTTCATGCAGGGGAAGCAGTTTTCTGGTGTCGTACTGTGGTTTGGCATGTTAGCGAGGCATTCGTCTCCGTCATGCTCGTGAGTTACGATAAGTCTAAGGTGTCCGCAATTGTAGTAAACGATATGTGTTACCGACATATTGAGTGGGTTGCTTTGTCCTTTCGCTTATTGTAATTGATGGTTGTTGATTGTATGATGTAGTCCACTGGTCATTCAGGGAATATTTTATAGACTTCCAATCAGCCTCAGTGTTCATTCACAGCTAGAAAAAACACTGTTCGTCAGTTTCATCAAATTGGAACTGTTCATCTTGCGTGCCGGTTATGAGTAGTACTTGTGCAAGCTCATTTAGACACTGTGCTGTCACTATGAAGACTTGATGAGACTCGCATCTTGCCAACCTTATTTCGCAGGTGCGCCAAATAATTTGCACGGCTTTCCACAAGCAGCCAAACAGCCATCGTGACCAATCTGAGAATCAGATACGACTGCGGATGTCCAAGTGCAAGGAAGGAGCTTGATCTAGAGCGCCAAGACAATGCTCCAAGAAATCTGTGGAGATGGCCAAGAGTAAGAAGCAGCGGGTGGCGACAAGACCGCTAATGTAGATGTTTACCGTCGGCAATCCGGATGGTGAGGGACAAAAGGAGGAGGTACAAGCGCTTTGTGGGTGTTTACGAAAGTAGGAGGCGCAGGCACTTTGTGTGTGTGTGTGGGTACTGATAGCAAGGACTGATGCAGCGGCTGTAGGAACTCTTTTGGGTCGTCAGAAAACGTATCACATGAAGGAACAGGATGAGGGAAGAGCAGAGCATGTAGGTGCGACAATCGAAGCCAGGTAGTGATGGGTCACGTGACGGAACAGCCGCAACCGAGGGTATTGCGGAGACACCAATAACAATCAAACCGTAGTCCGGGGTCAAGGAGGTGCCAAAACCACAGCCCCCAGTCGGGCATGCAAGCCAGCAGAGGCCACCAATTTAGCAGGTGTGTTTGTGTGGAGTCCCATGACGGTCATTGCGTAATTGTAACAAGTATCATGGCTTTGGGCGTGTCGCGCTAAGTAGATGCGTTGTGAGCTTCTTGGACGCTTCTTGGACGCCCCTTTGTAGACGGCGTTACTGAGAGTAGCATAGAATCTATGGCTGTTGTTGCGGAGAGTCCCCGGAAGCATGTATACGTGTATACAGCGCATGATTTCATAACTTCCGTGCTCGCGGGGGATTATTGAATTTGGAATTCAAAGTGTCGGAGTATTTTTTTCGTGCCAAGAAGGTTGAGTGTCAGGGGATTTTCCTCTGGTGATTACATGCGTACTTTGCGATAGCCAGAGTGGTATGATGGCATGCGATCAGCATACGACTTTCCCAAGGCGGCGGTGACCTCTTGGCAACTGCTGTTTCAGGTCTCTAAGAGATTTTCGGGCCTATTCACTTGACCTCAACGCATTCGAGATGATGAGGCTCCAGGACAAGCAGTGGACGATCCGGCACTCGGCCCCGTTCTTGCGCTAGTAAAATCGGTTGTATCCGAAGGTCTGACTGCACTGATGTCAGATGGCAATCTGGGGAACAAGTATTAGGGTAGGCAGACTTACTACATGCATTCGTACCGCCCGATAAGCACAAAAGTAGGGCCGACTCATATCCAGACGCTGGGATGCTCATGGGTCTTTTTAAACAAGATCCATATATGAGCTTGCATGATCAGGGACATGCAAGTGGAACAAAAACGTACATAGATACGTACTTGCTGATAGTGTTGAAGGGCTTGAAATGAAAAGCTCGCTTATGACAAGGTCTAAAGAGCCTGTGGGTAAATGCAAATCTCGCAGGCACACATGGACTTGGTGAGCAACGGCGCATGCCAACTCGGATCCAACAAAGTCGACTCGACTTGGTCGCAAGGATACACCATAGTCTTACGGCCAGCAACGCGTGCGACAATGGCAGCTGTTAGCCAAAGGCTTGGATACCTCAACTGCCGAATTCGCCACCAACTAGCATAGGGTAGTATTGACGACAAAATGTTCGTCCCGCTCCGCCAAGGACTGCGCCATTCCTCCCCGCCATCGGCTCAAGTTGCACGAGTCAAGCCCTGTTGGCCAAGAGTCGCCCCGCAAGTTGTCAGCCAAAGAGAGTTTGGTTTGTGACAGTGCGGGCCGGTGTAGGGTTGTTGTATCGACGCGGTTGAATCCTCCCCCGCTGGAGGCGCATCCGGGCCCCGTTGCCGCCAGCTTAAAGGGGACAAGAGGATTGAAGCTAAGTATGTTCTGCCTGCCCTCCCTCTGCGAGCAGAAACCAAAGCAACTGCCGGCACCCTTTTCCTGTTCCCGTGCGACGCCTCATAGCGCCTCTTGGACCAAGACGCCCGCCGGCCACAGGATCCGTCGTACGATCTTATATAGGCAGTCCTCTTCCCCAGATTCTTTTCCCCAGACTTTCGGATAGTGTGGGGCGACAGCAAGTCGACTGAGAATTTTTATTCCTCTGACTGGACCACTGGCTGCGATATCTGCCCTCTCCGACAACATGGTGCAACCAATCAGTGCTATGGATGAACGCTCCCCTGCGGAAATCGAAAAGGGGCAAGACATTGTTTGTATGGCTGCTCATTCCTGACGCGACGACGAGATGCTAATCAAGTTCATTCAGACGACGAGGCCAATGGAAGCGACAGGTCCACCGAAGGCGAATTTTCCTGGACCCCTGAGGAAGAAGCCAAAGTCCGACACAAACTCGATCGCGTCATTGTGCCGCTCACAACATTTCTGTACTTGCTGTGTTTCCTCGACAGGTATGGAGCTTGCTTTCTGCAGTGAGGAGTTGGTTACTAACTTTTTTTCAACCAGAATCAACATTGGAAATGCGCGTATCCAGGGTCTGGGCAACGACCTGAACCTCAACACGGGTGTGCGGTTCAACTGGGTCACATCCATCTTCTACATTGTCTACATGTTTGTCGAAGTACCCAGCAACCTTCTTCTTAAGAAACTCGGCCCCAAGTGGTACCTGCCTCTCCTGGTGTGCGGATTCGGCTTCGTCTCGCTCTGCACTGCCTTTGTGAACAGCTTTGCGGGCTTGCTCGTGGCAAGAGGATTCTTAGGTGTATTCGAAGGTGGTGTCATGCCGTAAGTACTGCTCAATGCGCGTTCTCAAAGTATACCTGCTAAGTCATTACAGTGGTCTTGCATTCTTCATTACTTGCTTCTACAAGCGCAATGAACTTCTCTTCCGTGTCGGCATCTACGTGTCGGCTGCTTCCATGGCTGGAGCCTTTGGCGGTCTGCTTGCTACTGGGTATGTATCCATTTTTGCGATGGAATTTCAAGCGGGAACTGACATGTGACAAAGTCTTGCTCGCATTCCTCCATGGGGTACCTCAGGCATGATCATCCACACCTGGCGAAACATTTTCTTCTTCGAGGGACTTTTCACCATACTCGTTGGTCTTGCCGCCCCCTTTGTGATGCCCCGTAGCCCCGAAGAGTGCTGGTTCTTGAACGAGCGCGAACGAATGATTGCTTCGAGGCGACTTATCCAGCGAGGTGGAGGCGACGAGAACGAGAAGACCCAGCCACACCACATCAAGAGGGCTGTGATGAACATCACCAATTATTTCTGCGCCCTGGGCTTCTTTTTCATCAACATCACCGTGCAGGGTATCTCGCTGTTCATGGTAAGTTTGCGTGTTTTCGAATATGAATGACTTGCTGACAATGCCCTAGCCCACTATCCTTGCTGATCTTGGTTGGACTGCGACAAAGGCACAGCTGTACTCTGTACCTCCGTACGTGTGTGCATGCGCAATCGCTATTGCTATTGCCTTTGTATCTGACAAGACGAACCGTCGTGGAATCTACCTGGCCGTTTTCACGCTTCCTGCGATTGCTGGCTTCTGCATCTTGCGGTGGGCAACCGACCCCGAGACTCGATATGGCGGCATCTTCCTCATCACGATTGGCGCTTTCCCCGGAGGCCCTGGATTCCTTGCATGGGCGGCAAACAACGCTGCTGGGCCTGCCGTCAGATCCGTCTCTACCGCTTATGTTGTTACTCTTGGTACCGCCGGTGGTATCGTGGCAACCTGGTATGTTGAATCGCCTTATTGCGTGCTTGCTTGACTCAAACTAACACAAAAACCGCAGGACATATAAGCGTCAAGATGCGCCCCGCTACGAAACTGGCCACACCATCAACCTTGCTGGTCAAATCTGTGTGTGCCTGCTCGCTGTCTTCGGCATCGTCTACTGCAAGTGGGAGAACAGGCAGCGCGACATGGGCAAGAGGGACCACCGTCTGCAAGGCCTGACGGATGCACAGATCAAGGACCTGGGATACAGGCATCCGGAATTCCGATACATGCACTAGGCGTGTATTTGGATGCACTGACTACAGAAAATTGATTTGAACCCGCTGTCTATTTTTTGGTTTCTTCTCTTTAATCGACTGTTAGCGTAATAGCATGCAGAGGCGTCCGAGTGGAAAATTTCAACCTTTTCCCTTATATCCATGTGTGCCCTATATTGTGTGACATGGTGTGTGTGTGTGTGCATGTGGCAAACAGCAATGAAAAAAAGTTCAAACTATAGCGTAATGTTGAAGGCTTGTTTTCCGGTCATGCTCGGTTTGCAATGTACACGACTTGCTTGCATACTAAGTACATAGAAACGGGGTGCCAGTCACGTGCTGACCGTCAGTGCGTCATTGGCTCGTGCAGAAAATGGCGGCATCGCGCCGTGCATGGCGGGGCATGGCGGGGCAGCGAAGAGGAAAAGTGAAGAGGCGCAAGAATGCCATTGAGGTTGTGGATAAAAGATATGGCAGCACATCGACTGGAAGAGTGCAGCAAGCAATGCCGCCGGACCGCACTGGGCGCGTCCGTAGCAATCCCTGGGCCAGCAAATGCCCGGGCAGCTTGCTCGCAATGAATCAAAGGCACGCAGCAAATATTTTTGTTGGCCCAAGTAGTATGTGACTAACTAACCCGCAACCCGGCCAAGTCGGCTTCTCCATGGGCAGATTGAAAACCCACCCGCCGCCCCGTCGCCTCCTCGCCCGTCTTTTGTTCTCCGTTTCTCACGATGACCGTCACCGTCGTCCTCGGCGCCCAATGGGGCGACGAAGGCAAGGGCAAGCTCGCCGACATCCTCGCCCACGAGTCGCAAATCTGCTGCCGCGCCCAGGGCGGTAACAACGCCGGCCACACCATTGTCGCCAACGGCATCACCTACGACTTTCACATTCTGCCCAGCGGCCTCGTCAACCCCGGCTGTATCAATGTCATTGGCAGTGGCTGCGTCGTCCACGTCCCCAGTTTCTTCAAGGAGCTCGAGGCGCTCGAGAAACACGGCCTGAACACCGACGGCCGCATCTTCATCTCGGACCGCGCCCATGTCGTGTTTGACGTGCACCAGATGGTCGACGGCCTCGAGGAGGTGGAGCTGGGTGGCGGCATGATTGGTGAGCACCTGGCGACCATGTTTGCGCCTTTGCATAGTGCTGATGGCGTGACATAGGCACAACAAAGAAGGGCATCGGCCCAACTTACAGCACAAAGATGACCCGCAGCGGTCTGCGCATGTGTGATTTGTTCGACGAGGCTATTTTCGAGGCAAAGCTCCGGAGACTGGCCACCGGCTTTCAGAGGCGCTTTGGCGACCTCCTCAAGTATAATGTCGAAGAGGAAATCGCCCGGTACAAGGTGAGTGGTCGCGTCGCTGGTGCACATTACAAATGGCTGACGCTGTATCAAAGGGCCTCCGCGAAAAACTTGCCCCATATGTCGTCGATCAGATCCCCCTCCTGGCTTCGGCAAAGGCCAAGAATGCAAAAATTCTGGTTGAAGGTGCCAATGCGCTGATGCTGGACATTGACTACGGCACATATCCCTTTGTTACGTCGTCAAACACTGGCCTCGGAGGTGTCATTACAGGTCTTAACCTCGGATGGCGGTCATTGACCGAAGTCATCGGCGTGGTCAAGGCCTACACCACCCGTGTTGGATCGTGAGTTGAATACCTTGGTAAAGAAAAAGGCAACGTCTAACTTGAGAAGTGGTCCCTTCCCTACCGAGCAATTGAACGAAGTTGGCGAGAAGCTTCAGCAGGTCGGCCACGAAGTCGGTGTCACAACCGGCCGCAAGCGCCGCTGCGGTTGGCTCGATCTTGTCGTTGTCAAGCACTCGCACGCCTGCAACGACTACACCGCCATTAACCTGACCAAACTTGATGTCCTCGATGACTTTGCTGAAATCAAGGTAGCAACATCATATTCGTACAAGGGTCAGACACTTGATGGCTTCCCAGCCAACCCCGAGATGCTTGCCGAAGTCGAGGTACACTACGAGACACTACCTGGCTGGCAGAAGCCGACGACGGGCGTCACCAACTGGTATGACCTGCCCAGCCAGGCAAGGAGTTATATCGAGTATATTCAGAACTTTGTGGGTGTCAAGGTAAAATGGATTGGTGTTGGACCTGCGCGAGAACACATGATTACCAGGGCGTAGGTTGGGATATTATTGACAATGCGGGGAAAAATAAATAAAGACTCTCTTGGCAAAGAAAACATGGTGACAAAAAAAGCCTCTTAGAAATAGAGCTAGACCGAAATGCAGTCATGCACATATTGGACGTTGAGGGAATAGTTCACATGACGATTCGAGCTAACAGTAGCAATATCGCAACACCCATGTTGCTCTACGAAGAATGCGGCTGGGAGAGCGATTGTTACTTCCCGAGCGGCACAAGGCCTGGTTCGGTACTGGTTCGCGCTGCAAGTGACAAGCGATCACACTTGGACGACGCAATGTACCAGGAACACCCGGCGCATCCGATCAAACCCGGGAGCCATCTGCAACGCTAAATGTTACATATAACGGCGGGTGTCCTTTTCTTGACGACGCGTCCTGTTTGCGCGATTCCTTTTTTATTCTCTCTCTCTTAAGCAGAACTAAAAGAAGAAAGACGAGCAAAACCATGAAGACGACATTTCTGAGTGCAGCAGCACTCGTACTCTCCACCACAACCGCAGATGTAGCCCCAGCCTTTCCTCTCCCCGGCGGTCCAACCAACCTCACCATAACCTACAACGGCAACGACACCGTTTCTCCCCAAGGCGAACTCCTCCCTCGTCCCGGTACATCCATGTCCCCTTTCTCCAAGAAAAAAAATTAAAATAAAATAAACGCCCTCCTTCCCAAAAAAAAACTAACGTCAAAAAGTAACCGCAAAAGCCCCTTCCCTCTCGGCCCCCCAGCTCTCCCCAGCTTCAAACTCATCTCTCTACATCCTCCTCATGATCGACATCGACGTCCCCCGAAACAACACTCGCGTCCCTTTGATCCACTGGCTCGCCCCAAACATCTCCCTCTCTTCATCACCCTCCGCCTCCCTTGTGATCCCCAGCCCCAACCCCGTCCCGTACTTGCAGCCCTCACCCCCCGTAGGCGATATACCACATGCCTACAATTTCGTCCTCTTCGAGCAGCCGGCTGGGTTTCAGGTGCCAGCACGGTATGCGGGATTGGCGGGGAATCGGGTGGGGTTTGATGTGAGGGCTTTTGTAGCCGATGCTGGGTTGGCGGGTGTGGTTGCGTCCGGGTGGTTGCGGGTGCAGAATTTGACGGGGGTTGCGACGCCGACGGGGACGGGGTCTGGGGCGACGCCGAGTCAGACGGGGTATACGGGGCCGGAGAGTAATGGGGGAGGAAGGGCGGCGGTGGTGGCGGCGGGGTGGATGGGGGTTTTTGGTGCGTTGGCGGTTGTGGCTGGGATGGTGTAGATGGATGGAAAGTATGTATATAGTGGAATGTGGGTTGTGGAGTGTAATTAAATGGATTAATCTTAATCTACATGTAAAGAAAAAAAAGAGAGAAGAAAGAGAAATCGTCTACATCGTTAACCCCCATCCAAACCTGCATCATTTCTATCAGAGAGAGAGAGAGAGAAAAGAAAATCTACGCAGCATTCGTCTTGGCAGCGGCAGCAGCAACAGCCTTGAGCGCAGCCGGCGCATCATCCCACGGCATCACCAACTCGACAAACCTCATCTTATCCGTCTCTCCACTCGAAAATTCCTCGTTTGCAAACAATTTCTCCACCTCCTCCCGCGTCTCAACCCGGTACGTCAACACGCTTCCCTCGGGCGCGCCAAACACCGCAGGAATATCCTTGTACTTCCACTCTTGAACATCATTGTACGCGTCTTTCCAGCCGTGAATCAGCCGCTCAATCGTGTATCCCTTGTTGCAGATGACAAAGATGATGGGGGCAAGCTTATTGCGAATCATGGTCGAGACTTCCTGCGCGGTAAGCTGGAAGGAGCCGTCACCCGTGAAGAGGATGGTGCGCTTGATGTTTGACTCTCGGGCTGCGAGCACGGCGCCCTGGCAGGATCCTGTGGCGTAGCCGATGGAGCCCCAGAGGACCTGGGAAATGGCTTTTACGCCTGCAGGGAAGCGCGTTTCCCAGATGCCAAAGTTGGAAGTGCCTGTCTCGGTGATGAGGATGTCATTTGGCTTGAGCCATTGGCCGAGTTTGGGCCAGAACCAGGCGTGTTTGATCTTGTCGTCTGAAGAGGTTGTTTCGGCGTGGGGCACGTCGTTGTTGGGTCTGGGGCCGGATTCAATGTTGAGTTGGCCCAGTTTGGCCGTTACCTTGGATAGGACGCCATTCATGCGTACGTTGGGGTACTCGGAGTAGCGCACTTTGCAGCCGTAGCTGTGCAAGTCAATCGTTGTGAGCTGTGACATGCGGATTGTGAAGCCAGCAGTGTTGAAGTCGGATTTGATGGCGCCAATGCTGAGGACGAGGTCGGACGACTCGACGCGTTCGCGGACTCCGGCGTTGGATCCATCTCCAGCGTATACACCACCATAGTTTGGAAGCGTCTCGTCTACTGCGCCTTTACCCATTGGAGCGACAAACGTTGGTATTCCAGACTTCTTGACCAGTTCGTGTGTCTCCTTGAGGGCACGATGGCGGATGGCACAAGCGTCGACCAGAATGACGGGCTTCTTTGCGGCATGGAGGGACTTGAGAACCACGTCAACTACGTAGTCTTCAGCTTCTTGGTCGTTTGGCGGGTATTCCAGGTCAAGAGGTGTGTTGAGCCTGTCGCCGTCGACCTTCTTGGTTACCATGTCGCTCGGCAAAGAGATGTAGACTGGTCTTGATTTGAGATAGCACTCGCGGATGGCATCGTCGATTAGCATGGCAGCCTCGTGCTGGTGGTTGAGCATGGACACGGCGCATGAGATTTCCTTTGACATGCGCGAGAAGACGGTAAAGTCGCCGTTTCCGAGGGTATGGTGGAGGAGAGCACCATTCTTTTGCGAGACGGTGGATGGGTAGCCAACAATGTGTACAATTGGCACGTACTCCGAGTAAGCACCAGCAATTGCATTGACGGCCGAGAGCTCTCCCACACCGAATGTCGTTACGAGAGCAGAAATGCCTTTTACTCGGGCGTAGCCATCAGCGGCATATCCAGCATTCAGCTCATTGCAGTTGCCGACCCATTTCAGGCCGACCTTTGGAATGTAGTCGAGAGCGACAAGGTTGTAGTCGCCAGGGACGCCGTGGATTGATTCGACGCCGACCTGCTGCAGGCGTCGGAAGAGGTACTGTGTGTTGCCGAATCAGCTAATTAGCGCCAATGTCATACGACCATGTCGCACTCACCTCGGCCACGTCAATGGGATTCTTGATTTCCTGGGAGCGCAGATCTTGAGCCATGATTGCCAAGGTGTCAATTGGGACGAAGCTTTGGCTAAAGGATTGGTTTTGGTGGAGGATGCTGTGTAGGGAGCTGTTGGGTGTGAGGCTACTTTTAAAGGTTTGCAAACAGTAGTCGCTGCAGCAATGAGGTCATGTCCGGTCCTTGCCGGCCAGGATTTGTTGGGCCTGGTACTATAGTGCGCGTGCATTGGCTAGAAATGCGAATACCGCACCACTGTGGTAACGCGACGTGTGGACTACGCGCTGTTTGTCAGCTCAGATGGCGTGAGCAGAGACTGTGTGCGTTGGAGTTGCATGGCCAGATGCGTGCAGTTGCAGTCGCTTGGGACAGAATGCTGGAGCGCATACGTACCCATAAGCGGCAAGCTCTCTGCACGTCGCCTGACTGGACAGGTGAGCGTCGACTTGGCCAGAAAGCATGGCGATATTATCTCACGACATGTCTACTTCATCACGACACAGCTTAGCAGGTGTCGAGACTACTATAAACAGTGACAATTCCTTAGCTGCTCTACACCCCGGTACATCTTATGGTAAGAATGTGCAATTGGCCTACGACAATACGGCACACTTTTACCACAAAAGAACCCTGATCCTACTCAACCCTAATTGCAAATACTCGGGTAGTTGTCGGATCCGCATGCGAAAACCCCGCACTTTGTAGCTCTATAGAGGAGAGCTGTAACCACTGACATAAAAGTTCGAGTAGACGAGCGCATAGATAGCTGTCGAACAGTTTAATGTGGGAAGGAGGTCTTTAGCATAGAAAGCCGCCTGATCCGACATTCCTTACTGTCCAAGGAGTCCCAGCATGTTCCGTCAATGTCCCAACCCGCAGTACTGCAATACAAACACTGGTTGAATTTTACTACGAACACACGGTATCAGAGCATATGATCCTCATGGTCCGACTGGCTTTCTTCAACACACAAGGTTTCCGTCAAGCAAGAATAAATCTTATGTATATGTAGCTAAGACCGTTCCAAGCTACTGTACATTCTTATGTAGGTAGAGCTTGGCGCTGTACATCGCACATGAAATAGCTGATATCTAATGTTCTGAGGACTGTATTTTCGAAAATATGTTTCTAAAAATACCTGTAATTCCAGTCAAAACCCAATTCATTCGGAGCTGTTGATTACAAGTACTTTTTAAAAGTGAATTTTGTGCGCTGAAGAGCTCAAAGTAGAAAGAGTATGAGAATTTAAATAACTACTACTTTAACTAGAACATACCTAGACTACTAAGTCCACCTGCCCTAATTGCCACTTCAATTCTATGTATCGACCAGCTTCTCGGTTGTGCTCTGCTCTCTCAATTCACTGCCAAGAGGGCGCCACGTGACCTGCAGATCTATGCAGAAAGAAAAAAATTGCAAAAACATACGACAGCGGGGATTCGCCAGTGGTCACCCACCTGACTACTAGTCCGCCGGTATCCAGCTTAAATATGAAAGATCGAACGGGTTTTCTTGCTGCCTGAGATCCTATGGCCGTATGTGCCAGAAAAGTAAAATTAACTGATTTCCATCTTTGAGTGTACTGATTGTTCGCGGACTTCAAAATCCGGGAGAGCTCACGTGATTCTATCGATATGCTCACGTGATCCTATCGATATCCCAAGCCTGACTTGGCACTGCCGCACCCTCTTGCCCACGCTATAGAGGGTTGGGTAGAGACAAAGGTAATGGAAGGAAGCAGCAATATTGATTTCTCAATTCGCGTAGCGCTTCATTGATCTAAGAGCGTAACTGTGGAGTTCTTTTCTTGTGAGTAGATGTAGGAGAGATACGAGAGTTTGTTGAGCCAGAAGCCAACAGAACACAGCCAAAGGTGAGTGCCACATGTGCCCATCTTGGCAAGGGACACCTTCTATTACCACTAGTACAGCAGGTTGTGTAAGTATATACTAATTCTCCACCATACATGAGTATTCTTGCTATATTACTATGGCCCCATTTCGCAAGCAGTAAGCATATGCCCCTGCCTCAACAGCGCCGGGTTACAGTTTCGCTCGTATGTCTGCTGCTTCTTTACCACCACGCCCGCGCCCACCCTCATTGAACCGATACACAACATCCCCGAACCCATCGGTAGCAAACGCATACAACCATACCAGATCCTCTGCTCCGACATTTCGCACCCCATGCTCGGCATCACCTGGTATCCACACCACGCTCCCTTTGGCTACTTGATGCTCGTCCCCATCAACCGTCACTATGCCCTTGCCAGCGGTGAAATGATAAATCTCGGCTTGTTTGTGACGGTGAGGCTTAAGATGGCCTTGGCACCCGGCTGAGACGCCTGGCGCGCATGTGGCAATGCCAACGGTAAAGGTGTTTGTGCGTGTCTTTGGTGCTGAGAACAATGTTCTCCATGAAACGTCGCCACCGGTGCTGGGATCTGGAAAGCGCTCGGAAGCAGTGCTGATGATGTCGTCTGCGTTCAAGACAATAGGCTTGTTTGGCTTGACTTCGCCCATAATAGCAAATTATGCAAAGGTTTGAGTTGTGTCATTTACTAGGAAAGCTGCATCTTTAAGCTAATAGGTCAAAAAAAGATCAATTTATAGGTACGTCATTTCAAGATTCGACACTGTGTATTCGGAATTTGTGTATTTGTTCAGGTGCTTGTTGAGATTATCGATAACAGAAGGGATCAAATGCCTATGTTAGATCTAGTATCAGGCTCTCATGCATAGCTCCGACATAATTCCGAGTCTTCAACTTAGCCACCAAGATGTATTCTAGTGCATGCGGTTATTGCTGCTGTAGCGGGTTGTATGAGGGGTTAATAAAGGAAGCACTGAAAATGACGCCATACGAGACTACGCCAGTCCAGCTCATAGTTTGGCCGACAGCTCGGATCGGGCCATGTACCTATGTGTGGTCGCCTTGTCGATCACTGCATGTCCGTTTTGCAAAAAAAGAAAACAAGAAAACAGAAGCTTGTTTTTTCTATACAAATGTAACACAAGGGGCTCAAGTGCAGCGACGGTCTGGGTAGACTTGACACATATGACGACGCTGTCAGTGGCGAGTTGGGTACTAGTGCCCTGCGACGCCTGAACACTGATGACATATCTTTCGACTATCACTGAGATGGGAGCTAAAAAGCACCAATACTAGTGTTGCAGTACTTGCAAAGCATACCCTGTCTGAGATGCTGTTTCGCAATGACATGTCTTGGAAATGAGCGTTTCTTATTGCTCAGGCCTTCTCGGCGGAGAGAGGGATGACTAGTAGCTGGGTCAGAGCTGACAGATTAAACGACAGCATACCGTAGAAGTACCGATGCTTGCCAAACCCGGAATACAAATGCGTGGGTGAGCTTTATGCTAATACCTAAGAGCTTCACTGATGCAGGAGCCTGCCGGAAGGCGGGTGTTGTGGTTCCCAGTTGGGGTAAGACAATTGCAAAGCTAGTCTTGTGCACAACTGGCTGGCAGGAAACAAGTTGCGGTAAAGTAGCATGTTAATGTTTGTCAGGTTGATTGCGCGGTCTCCTGGGCTTGCAGTCGAGCCTGGGCTTCCGAATGGTTGTGGACTCTAATGGACGTCTTGTGTCTCATGCCGTACTGGGTATAATAGCAATGGGATTTGCCGAACGCGCAGGCGACTAGACAGACCGGGGTGGATGCAAAACGAGCAGCTGGCGCGGTGAAGGGGTAATTGCATGTTCATGGCTAGAGAGACGAGGATAGGGCAGAGCAGGTGCGGAGGGATATTGTCGTGTGCATCCGATACGAGAAAAAAGTGGTCGCTGCAACGTTGTTCGGCGGCTCCGATGTGGGTGTGCATGCAGCAACAGCAACTAGAGCAGGCCGGTACCAGAGCAGCTACGTATCCGGACAATGGTGGTCGTAGAAGGATGCAAGTGCAAGTGGCTTTCCATATTTCATTTCGGTGACGTACCTGGGCCGTATGCTCTCCATTGCGGCTGGTAGAGGCGTTGCACCGCCACGTGCCCGCGTGATGTGAAACAGAGACGAATGGGCGTAGCGAGCTGGAGAAGATACAGTAAGCATGTCGGCTGTGTGCCTGTGCAGGCTAGGTGTATGCATGGGATTGCCGAGCTGACCAAGGCCATGTTCAGGAGCAGCCAGGGTAGAATGTAGTAGTACATAGGCCTTGGTGAGTACGTTGTAGGATGCTCGCTGAGCAAAGGCACAACGGCTGACAGGCCGGCTACGCGGTTGGCGGTAAATGGTGATCCGAGATTCACTGGTGATCCGTGCGTGCAGCGTGCGTGCAGCGTGCATGCCCCGTGCCCCCCGGCGCCGCCGTCGTGCTCACCCACGGCGGCTGGACTGGCAGACAGGCCTCCTCTCGTCGTCTGCCCCTCATCCTGCGCTGTGCTGCGCTGTGCCGTGCTGTGCTGCTCTGTTCTGGCTTCATCTTGCCCTGCCCAAGCCCACGCTGCCCGTCCTGCGCGCCCCATTGTCGTCGCGTCACTGCACCCGCCAATTCGGCCGTCCCGTCTTTGTTGCGACGGCCAAGCACACACAGGGTCATTCCCTCCTCGCGCCTCTGGACGACGCCCACCATCCCTACTACTCCAACACACTGCCTCCCGTGCTGCATCCCCGTCTCCATCCCCCCTTCCCCCGCCCGTCGGTGTGCATGTGTGCATGTATGTATGTATGTACAGAAGATACCAGCGACGATTCCGTACAGCGTATTGCATTGCAGCAAGCAGGCGACTAGCTGCGGCGGACCCACTCGCGCGTCGTGGATCGACAGCATACTTGAGAAAAGGTACCGACAAAGGAGCGTGCGAAACCCACGCCCCGTCGCCGACTCAGCAGCCCAAACCAAGGCTCGCGACTCCGTTACAGCTGCCAGCGGCATGTCATGATGTGACAGGCCCTCGCCCGCATCCTGCCCACCACTGCTCTGCCTCTGTTTGCTGCCCTCGAGACATGCCAACCCAGGCCTGCCAGCCAATCCCGCCCAACGACCTCTTCACCTCACACACCAACCTGCACGCCGCCTGAAACCCTCCCCGCCCACGCCTACCACGCCATTGAGGGACTAGCCAGCCTCGGCCTACGACATTCCTCACCACCACCACTACCGCCACCCTCGCTGTCGCCCTCACCCTCTCGTCGTCGTCGTCGCTACTGCTTCTGGCTACACATCGTGTGCTCCTCGTCTCTGCCATAGAGCGAGAGCGAGAGAAAGCCCGTCCGCCAGCGCGCGCGCGCAAGGGCGCATACCGCCGCTGATCTGCCCATCACCGCCAGGGTCCCGTCACCATGCATCAGTACATTCCTCCCCCGCCGCCCCAGCCCTCGAGCACGCCCGCCGGCCACATTGCGCTGCCTCCACCACCGCCACGGCCAACGGGCTACAACAACCTGGGCGGCATCCCCATTCCTCCTCCCCCGCACTCGACAAACTGGGGACCACCACGGCCCCAGTACCAGCAGCCGGGCTACGATCCAGGCCAGTACCGCATCTACCCCCACAACCTACCTCCTCCACCAGGCCCCCCGCCCCAGCAGATTCCCGTCGAGCGCGAACCTCCTCTGACCTCGGCCACCTACATCCCTGGCGGCGAGTCGTTTGGCCCTGGCGTTGGCATCCCCCCGCTGCACACCTCCAGAGGCTACTCGGAGCCCTACTACAGAGACGACTCCCACTCGGCCACCACCGATGCCCCGCCCCAGCCCTTTTCCAGCAACCTCCTCGACAGCGTCCAGAGCGTCCAGTATGGCTCCAATGGCTACAACATGCCCCCGACACCCAATGTCCGCAATAACCTCAACATACCCACCGACAGAACAAACGCCTATGATTCCCCCGGCCCTCCAACAGCAACCCTGCAAAACCCCATGGTCCAGAGCCACGGCAGCGTCTACTATCGCCCAGAGAGCAACGGCACCACGCCAATATCCCCCCACGATGCCTCCATGCAATGGCCCGCCGAGCGCGTTCAGCAGTGGCTGGCAAGCAACAACTTTTCTCGCGACTGGCAAGAGACGTTTAGGACCCTGGGCTTGGAAGGATCTAAATTTCTCGACATTGGCCGTGGCCACGGAAGCAAGGGAAATGTGGCCATGATGCACCAAGTCATCTTTCCCCAGCTAGCCAAGCAGTGCACTGCAAGCGGGACTGGGTGGGATCAGAACAGGGAGCGTGATGAAGGTCGCAAGCTCCGCAGACTCGTCCGTGGCATCGTGGAATCAGGCGCTTCAAATTCGTATCGGCCTCCGCCCCAACGGTCCGACACCGGCATGACGAGCGCAGGCACAGAAGGCACGCTGGAGAGTTCGCCCTATCTTGGATCCCGCGGCATGGATTTTGGTTCCACACCAACAACTGCAGGCAATGGCGAAGAGAGCCCCGGGCGCCAACTGCTCGTGCATTCACCTGGCGCGAGTATAAACCCGTCCAGGCGCATTTCCACACAACAGCGCAACTTCACCGTCCCCGGCCTCGGGCCCACGCCAGACTTTTCAGAAGGACCTGCGCGCAGTCCCTACTCGCGCGAGGTTCTCCAGGGTCTCGACGTCAAACAGGTACGACACAGCCCAAACACGTCTTCTGAATTCGGACCATCGTCACTGGGCGCTGGAAACCACCGCCAGTCAAGCCCGCAGCACAGTCCAGGTCTTCCATCTGCTCGCCTTGCTACAAACGGTGGACAGCTTAGCGCGGGCCTGACCACCCAAGGCTCCCGTTACTACTCGCCCCACAACCGTGTCAACAGTGCTGAATCGATCAATTCTACTTTTGCCAACACTGGCTCAGGGCCACCTTCTGGCAGATCCTTTGAGGGCCGTTCTGAAAGTCGTAGTGAGAATCGGAAGAATGGGTGGGAAGGCACGCGACCTAACGTGGGCCTCATGGATATTCCTACTAGCGCCAAGGACCACGAAAAGGGCTTCTTTAAGAAGATCATGGGCGGAAGAAAGAAGGACAGCCACCCGTCTGACGATGCTAGTTTAGATTCCCCGACCAGTCCGGCCAGCCATCGCACTCATCCCAGCGGGTCTCTTTTTGGAAAGTCGACTATGAACTCGAGTGAGACATCTCTAAACGAGCGTCCTCCGTCAAGACGCTCTGCACAGACGGATTCCGACAACCGTGCTGCTGGTCGTGGCCGCACTCACGGCAAGGAAGACCGGAAGTTTGCTTTTGTCACACCAGACGGCTGGAATTACCGCCTTCTCGACATCACCAACGTCGATTCAGCGACTTCTTTACGGACACTATGTTGTGAGGAGCTGATCCAAGGATTAAGCAAGGTACCCGGAGTTGAACTGCACCTGACTGTTCCTGGCCAGTATGAACATGATCGCCCGCTTTCCGACTCCAAGTTGCTCAAGGCTCGGTCGCAATACGGAAACCGGTTTGGTGAGCTAAAGATCTTTGTCAAAATACCTCCAGAAGGAGCAGTTGGGTCGTCAACCGGGCTTGGTGTCTCGCTCCCTCACACAGCTGCCCGGGCAGTTGACGACAATGCATACTCGCGTCTCAATGCCGACTCGCAGCTGGACTCGCCAGGCGCCAAATCAGAAGAATCCACGCTGGTTGCAGACAAGAGTGCAGCTCTACGCAAAATGGCCGACAAGAACGAGCTCTTACCCAGTGATGCAGCCGAAAGGTCGCATGGCGGCGGTAGCAGTAGTAGTAGCAGCAGGCCGCCCGAGTCCTGGGATTCGCGTGGCGACGTATCCGAAGAGGAACGCCGCAAGCTGCTTGAAGCAGCTGCAGAAGAGCACCGAAGGGAGATGAAGCGGAAACAAGAAGAATATCTCAAAACTCGATTCCCCAAGATGAACGGGCAAAGCCCTGATCTGAACTCGGCGACCAGCGACAGCATTAGTTACCGAAGCCAGCGGGTCATTGACTTTGACGAACCACGCGCTTCGCCTTACGAGGATCTGAAGAAGCCATTTGATGATCAACAGCGCAAGAGCAAGCAACTCGTACCCTTGAGGGAGCCGCCGCCTGTGCCGGCTGACACCAGTACACTTTTGAAAGCTAACTCGTTGACAAAGAACAAGAGTAGGTGTTCGTGGCCGGAGAGTGACGACGGCCAAACAAAAAGCCTTTCAGCAGAATCCCAGCCTGAGAAACGCAAAGCCATACCCCAGGGCGCAAGTGGGCTCGGCGGCATTGCCGCAGCCATCATTGGAGCAGGCAACCTAGGAGCCGGTATTGGAGCCGCCAACAGAGCACCTAACAAGGGTCCCCTTCCCCCGCCAAAGGACGAAAGCTCACCAGAAGGTATCCGGCCCTCGCAACAGGTACTCCAGGAGAACGGTTTCGGCGCCAGAACCGCTTCTGGTAGAAATAGTCCAGGTGGGTCGCCCCGCAGCCCTGGTGAATATACCATGAGCAAAGGCAACATACCATTCAGAATTCCTGACTATGAAGAAGCTTTCAGTAACGATTCCCCGACCGAGCGGCCAGACCTTAGCATTTTGGTGCCGGATTTCGCAGGCCCCAACCAAAGGGATGATCGATCTCGGTCGCCAGGCCGCAGCCCTCACACCGCACAATCTACTGAACCCAGCCTTAGCAGGGAGCCATCTAGGGCATCGGTATATGGCCCAACCCATGACTTTGAGGAAACCCGAGTCTCTTTTATCACAAAGTCGCCAAACCTTGATCCAATGGATGCGGACGACGATGATTCTGATGATGGGCTATTCCAGGCGCCACTCGCCGGACGAGCTGGTCCTCCTCCACCTGAAAAAGACGTACCCGTTACTAGAATCAACTCTCGTAGCCGGAGACCGAACCTCCGACTCAAAACCCAAAGATCAAAGAACTCACTAGCCCAGGTGACTGAAAAATCCGCAGAACCAAGCGCAATGGGCGATCATGAATCTCAGGCCAGCGATTGGCATCCTGAGTCGGCTGCATCAACAACATGGACCGACTCTCCAGACGACACAAACAAGTTTTCGCGCCGTGAATCATTCGCTAGTGATGTTTGGGCTAACCGTCCACCGGCCGAAACCCTCGTGGACCATCTCGACGAGCTCTTTCCCAACGTCAATCTCGATCAGCCTATGCTGGAGGAGGCCGAGACGGATGCATCTACAGAGTATATACCCGAGAACAAGCCTTTGCCAGCCGACCCTACTCCTGCGAACCCAGCTCTCCACAGGGGAGGTGCTGGACTGCAGTCGATTGCACAGCGCAACATGCGCAAATCAGGCGCTGGCTTGGGACGCACAAAGTCTATTCGTGAAGTCGTCAAGTCGCAGTATCAGCCACTAGAGAACCGACATTTGCCAGGCCATATACCCGCCGGACCAGGGCCATCACGCGTTGCTACGTTGCGCAATGGTGGTGACATTATCAGGAGGAAATCGACAAAGATGTTCAACGCCAGGACGGAACAAGTTCGACCGCAGCGCGGATCGCGTCTTGTTATGGAGACGATACCCCAAGACCATCTATCCAGCATGCCGTCGCGCCAGCCAACCTTCAAGTGGATGAAGGGACAGCTGATTGGCAAGGGCACATTTGGTCGTGTATACCTGGGTATGAACATTACGACTGGTGAGCTGATTGCTGTCAAGCAAGTCGAAGTCAATGCCAAAGCGGCCGGCTCGGACAAGGATAAGATTAAAGAACTGGTCAAGAGCCTGGATCAGGAAATTGACACTATGCAACACCTGGATCATCCAAACATTGTGCAGTATCTTGGTTGCGAACGCAAGGAATACAGCATTTCCATTTTCCTCGAGTACATTTCTGGTGGGTCGGTAGGATCGTGCATCCGCAAGCACGGCAAGTTTGAAGAAAGCGTTGTTTCCTCTCTTACCCGACAGACATTACTAGGTCTCTCATACCTACATCGCGAAGGTATTCTGCACCGCGACCTCAAAGCCGACAACATTCTCCTCGATCTCGACGGGACGTGCAAAATCTCCGACTTTGGCATCTCCAAGAAGACGGACAACATCTACGGCAACGACGTGACAAACAGCATGCAAGGCTCCGTCTTCTGGATGGCGCCCGAAGTAATTCGCTCGCAGGGCCAGGGCTACTCGGCCAAAGTCGACATCTGGTCTCTCGGCTGCGTGGTGCTCGAAATGTTTGCGGGTAAACGGCCCTGGTCCAAAGAAGAAGCCATTGGTGCTATTTACAAGCTCGGGAGCCTCAACCAGGCACCGCCCATCCCCGAAGATGTCAGCCGTGTGATTGGCGTCGAAGGACTGAGTTTCATGTACGATTGCTTTACGATTGATCCCATGGAACGCCCGACAGCGGAGACGTTGTTGCGGGCGCCGTTTTGCTTCTCGGATCCGAATTACAATTTCTTGGATACGGAGCTATATGCGAAGATTCGGGGCGCTTTTCAGTAGTAGATGTTGTTATCGTTTATTTTTGTGAAAGAGGGGGAGGGGAAGGGGAAATAAATGTATCGACACATGTTTATTATTTTTTGTGGTGGTTCTTGACGTTGTTGTGGTTGTGGTTGTGGTTGGTGTTCCATTGGTTATATACCCACTTTCTTTCTCCGCTTCTATTTTGTTTTGTTTTTTTCTCTCTCTCTAAAAAGACATCCTTCACTTGAACAAACTATTTTCCTTTGTTTGAAAAATTACTGGTGTGTGGGGACAAGGGGAGAGAGGGGTTGATGCTTCTGCATACCATTACATTCACTCTTTCTATCTAAATCTCATTTCTTTTTCCCTTTTATATGCGGCAAAGGAGGGAAAGATTGGTAGGGTTTAATCAATGACGAAGCTTCAAAGTCAACCTTTTTTTGGTCCTTCCCCCCCCCCCTTTTTCTTTTTTGCTCTCTTTTTATGTATCCGCTGGGAGCTGAGAGACAGAGACAGAGATTATACGTGTGTGTGTGCGTGTGTAATGTATATCTTTACGTAACATACGTACACGTCCGTATGTAGATTTTTTTTTCCTTTTCGAGAATAATTTTTTTTTCTTTGGAATAAATACATGGGGGAAATGTCACTTCATCTTGTTTTGCTCCAAGAGATGTATGTCACTCTTCGCTATTCTCGCTTGGCATCTCGTGCCGTGCTTGGCGGGAGTGGTGGGCTTGGGTCCCGGGAGCTTCCGGGTGAGAAGGGGGGGAAGGTGGCTATGGTTGTGCTGTGTGTAAGTACGTGGTGTGTATGTGTGTGTGTGTGTGTGTGTGTGTGTGTGTGTGTGTGTGTGTGGAGAGTGGGTTGGAGCTGGACGGTTGGTGGCGTGTGTGGGTGGATATATCGAGTACGTGGATATGGGTATATGTCGGATGTGTGTGCGCATGGAAGTTTAGCTTACAACCGGATTTTTTTTTAACAGGTGAAGCAGAATTGGGGATTGGAAATGAGCTCTTAGGAAAGGATTCAAGGTGTACCCTGGTTCCGTCGGATCTTTTTCGGAAGGTGGCGGAAAGAGAATTGATGGCAATAACAGGTTATGCTGGAGTTCAAGGGTATACCAGAGAACTACGTTTCCATGTGTAATTTTTTTTCCGGATCCATTATGTGGACATGAAGTACTCTCAGAATCTAGATTTTTATTGGCTTCGTCGGTCGAATGCGGAGGTTGTGTAGGAGCGCACATGTCTGGTTCATGGATGCGGCTAGACCACTCGACTATATACGCCGTACGCAGGAAGAAAGGGTGTGAACAAAGATCCATGTATTCGGCTTGACCCAGTAGCTAAGATGCTAAATAGGGAGCATGTCCAGGCCCCTTCCTGGACCAGTGATTCCATCCCGCGTTTAGGCGTATGACTTGCACAACGAGACTAGAGCACCTCGGCATTACTGGATTGGTAAACTTGGCGGTACGCTGGTATAGGAACAATTTACACAGAGGCGTTTTGGCTGGAATGGCATATTGAGCTGAGAGCTGCTTACGGGTTAGTGTGGTTCCAGGCTGGCCAACAGCTTGGGCGTAAGATGCAATCACACCACCCGCTTACTGCTAAAAGTACCAGCCGGCTTTACGAGGTGTTTCAGACCACCGAACGTAAGCTGATGCACATGTCAGCACTCAAAATGAAGTGCAGTAGCAAGTAAGCGGGTGAGGATTGGGAAGTATTTGCCGACGTGCTCGTATCCTAGGACGCGGGCTCGCATCACCAATGGGCTAAATAGATTGGCGTCGTACCCTGCGCATCCGACCGACCGGAAAAGCCGCTCCGTCGCTTAGCTGCACGCAATAGTATTGCTAGGTAGGAGGGCCGGGAGGCCTGTGGCATCAAAGTTTGGTCGTCAGAAGCTAAAATGAGCGACTTCCATGGTGAGCGTGGCGACTAGAGAATTAGTTTGTACAGTGTGAAACGCAAGCATTGGAGCTAGTTTAGGACGAGCCGAGGATGCATGGTCTTGAGCTGTGTCCATATTAGGACTAGATCGGACATCCACAAGAGTCGTAGCGACGCCGGGCAAAAAAAAAAGGTACCGTGCGTCTATATTGGATCTGTCAACTCCATGCCGGAAAGCCGACATGGGAGCACGGCAAAGTTGATGATAATGTCTGGGTTATCTATAGCATCATGGTAGAGAGTTTTCGCTTGAGCGAGATAGCCGTTGGGGTTGCACAAGGCTGAGGCTGAAATCTAGTGCTCAGAAAAGTCTCCGTTGAGGAGAGCCAAGGAGAGCGATGGCGGGAGTAATAGTAACGTTTTTCTCCTGCTCTTGGAGACTTGGCCAATAAATTCCAAGATTGGTCCAGCAGATCTAGACGAAATTGATTTTTGGCAACGGGAGAGCGTTCTAAGGGGGGGGGGTAGAAGTCGCAGTTTGTGGTTAGTATGGCGGTGGCTTGCAGACAGGTAGTTACGTTGAGGGAAACGAGCGTGGTTGGGTTTGGATATGTCCAGACAGTAGCGACCTGTCGCGGGAGAGGATGGTAAAATGAGGAATAGCACTGTAGGTGGGTGCCGCGTACATGGACGACGCAATACTTTATGTCACTGCATAGCGCAACGCGCGTTGAACGACCCGGCCAAGCACACCATACCCAGCAAACTGTAGTAAGCGGACCGAGATGGCCGGGTTTGGGACCACAGGCGTCATAGATGGAGCAGGGTTGGAGAGAACGTGTGTACGTGTGTGCGTGTGTGTACGTGTGTACTTAGTACATAGTACACAGATGGCATGTATCGAGACATGGGCACTATGCGGAAGGGCGGCGGCAGATGGGCATGGTTGTTGAGAAGGGCATGCAACTACCAAGTATATCGATAGAGACACTCGGCAGATGCAGAGGCGAAAAGCTTGAGCAAAACCAAGCCTCGATGATGTGCAAAAAATAGCACTGGTGAAACTGCAACAAGGGGCCCGAGGAGAGTTGGAATCGGGGGCGACGGGTGGAGGCAGATGGGAGAAACATGGTGAAACGCGGTGTGGGTCGTTTCTGGAAAAGACGGGCGCAACTAGCGACAGGTGGGTATGAGAGGAGTAAGTGGGAACGAGAAGAAGGGGGGTGGGCGTAAAGTAGTAGTAGAAGTAGTAGTAGCAGCAGATGGGTAGGCTGGCGGCGAGGGAAGAGCATGGTACAGCGGGCAGGCGTTCAGTATAGGAGGAAGTGCACAATGGTATGCATGGCGTGGACATGGCATGACATGTGCCTCTCATTCTGGGGGAGGCGCGCGGCGACTGCACTGACGAACGATTTTGATTCGGCGTGCATGACTAAGGCATGATTGGGACGGGCGTCGGGGGCTGCAATGGGAGCGTGCCTGATGGGTGAATGCCTGCGTGCTTGAGCCATTGCCATTCTCGTCGTGGCCGTCGTGCTGGCGTGGCTGTGCAGCCGCCCTGCCTGACTCGCCCCTCTCGCCGTCTTCTCTCCTCTCCTCTCCTTCACCTCGACCTCGACCCCCTCCATCAACGCCACCAAACCCATCTGACAAAACCTAACCTTGCCCTCTCACCATATCCCGCCATGCCGTCAGCTGCGTCTCGCCGAATCAGACGACGGGCGCTTGGGGCCACACGGTAGCGTGACAATAATACACATACACACACACACATACACACAACTCTCAGCACCACAACCCCTGCATCCCCAGTCGCCAGCAGCCAACGGCCTCCCATGGCCCTGGCGCGCGCCGCCTCGTCGCTTGCGGCCAAGTCAGGGGCAGCCCGTGCAGATCGGTCGTCGTGTGTCGTTTCGGGACCAACTGGGGCCATGCACCCAATCCACTCCATTCTCCGGCCTAGCCAATCACCGCCCGTGCCTTCAGTCATGACCCACGAATATGATGAATCCACCCTCCCCTCGAGCGCCTGGCGTCCAAATGGGCCACCAACAGCTGCGTCCCCTCGCCCTTTTAAGCATGGACTAAAAACAAGACTGCCCCGATATATCATGCTGCCACACGCCCGCCCCTTGTCCACCCTCCACGCCCCATCTCTGATTCCTCGTTGTTCTCGACATCGAGGTTTCTGACAAGCAACTTCCTTTTTTCCCTTTGACCTGTTGGCTTCGCTTCCAATCGGTCGTTACGCTCATTAGCTTCGTCCATTTTAATTCCTACTCCCGTTTCTTCGCCTCGCCGGGAAACCAGTCCCTCGTTCTGGCCCTCGGCCCTTTCCGTCGTTTACGTGTATCAGCACTCAAAAAGCACCCTCTTTCTTCTTACCATGGCAAACTTCAGCAAGCCCGCGGGCATCATGTCCATGGTCTTTGCCTTCTTGTCGCTTCTTCAGTTCACTGTTGCCCTCCAGCATGGCGCCCGCCACAACCATGCTTTCGCTGGCCACTCTTCCGAGGACCTTGTCAAGCGTCACCTCGACGAGATTGAGGGAGAACTCCAGAAACGCCAGTCCGGTCGCCCCATCCCCATCAAGGGTGTCTGCAGCAGCGGCTATTCTTCGAATGGAAACTGCAATGGCGGAAGCTCTGCTGCTCCCCGTCTCGAGATCCGCGACTTGGCCCGCGACTCTGAGGCCTGGAACCTGTACCTTCTCGGTATGGAGAGGTTCATGTCAAAGGACAAGCGTGATGTCCTCTCCTACTACCAGGTCTGCGGTGTCCACGGCCGTCCCTTTGTCACCTGGAACAACTTCCCCTCTCCTCTGGTCAACAACGCTGGTTTCTGCCCTCACGGCATGACCCTCTTTGGTTCATGGCACAGACCCTACCTTGCCGCTTACGAGGTACGTTTTCTTCACTGCTAGTCCAACTTGTCACAACTAATACTTTGTCCACAGCAAGCTTGGTACCTGTCAGTCCTTGAGGTGATTCAGGAGTTCCCTAGCAGCCAGCAGGGTCGTCTGCGCCAAGTCGCCTCTACTCTGCGTATGCCCTTCTTTGACTACGCCCGTGATCCAGGCAACGCTCCTGCTGTCCCAACCCTGATTCGTGACCAAACCGTCACTGTCAACAAGCCCCAAGGTTCCGTTAGAATTGCCAACCCTCTCTACAGCTACAGCTGGGGCAACTCGCTTCCCTCTGAGATGGGCGGAGGCCCATGGAACAGCTTCCCAGTCACGCTTCGCCGTCCTGTCGCCAATCCTACTCGCAGCAACAACAATGAGTTCAACGCTCGTATTGGCTCTGCCCGCCTCTCGATTCGTGACCGTATCTACGCCATCTTCTCCAGCAAGCCCAACTGGGGCGCCGCCAGCACCTCTGCTATTGGTGTCCGTACCGATCTGAGCGGTGGCGGCGTTGACAGCATTGAGTCTATCCACGATCTTATTCACAGTATTACTGGCGGTGAGAGCGGTGGCCACATGGCCTACCTTGATGTCGCTGCTTTCGACCCCATGTTCTGGCTTCACCACTGCAACATTGATCGTCTTCTCACCATGCTTCAGATCATCAGCCCCAACACCTACGTCGCCAACGGTAACGTTATGCGACCCATGGCCCAGTGGAACCAGGGCGAGCCTAAGAACGCATACACCCCTCTGAAGCCCTTCACCAAGGACGCTGCCGGCAACTACTACACCTCGCAAGACGTCTACGAGACCCGCACTCTTGGATACTACTACCCCGACACCAGCTCCAACTCGTACGACCAGGTTGTCCGTTCCATCAACTCGCTCTACGCTGCCAATGGCCGGTCCATGAGTAAGCGTGATGGCGATGTCTCCGAGACTGGTCAGTACGTTGGCCGTCCCATCAAGGAAGGCGAGTACCACACCATCTTTTCCGTCATCGCCGACAAGTACGCGCTTGAGGGATCCTATGTTGTTCACTGCTTCGTTGGCAAGCCTGGCAACAACTCGACTTCCAACTCGACTGCTCCTTACCCTATCAAGGCCAACTCGACCCTCTCTGCTAGCATCTCTCTTGGCACTGCTGGTGTCTCCGTCGGCGTCTCTATCGGCGGCGATGATGATGGCGATGCTGCTTACGACCCATCCACCGACTACACACAAGCCTCTAACTATGTTGGTTCATATGGTATCATCGGTGGTATGATGGCTGGTGGCTCCAACTCTTCTCAGCCCGTCATGACCGAAGGCTCTCTCCCCTTAACCACCTGTCTTCAAGGCAAGCAAGCTGCCGGCGAGCTTGAGTCTCTCACTCCTGATCACATTGAGGCTTACCTCAAGGAGAACATGTACTACAAGGTTGTCGGTGTCAACGGCGAGATCGACCCTGATACTCTCCCCAACTTTCACATCAGCGTCAAGTGCACCAAGGCCAAGCCTGCTGCCAATGAGAACGAGCTTCCTGACTTGAGCGCTCCTTACACTGTCCTCCCCAAGGCCACCGAGCACCTCCCCGCTGGCAAGCCCTTCACCTACACTCCCAGCCCTCTGGATATCCCAGTCATTAGCCAGCCAGGATACACCCAGCCTACCGGACCTGGATACGATTCTCCCAGCGCCCCAGGCAACAAGCCTACCGGACCTGGATCCAGCCATCCCAGCTACCCCAGCTCCGGTAGTTCCTACCCAACTATGCCATGGCAAGAGCCTGGCTACTGCTACAGCAAACAGACGATCGAGTATGTTGATGAAGCAGGCAACTTCCTGTACTCTCAAATGGTCTCTGGCCACTAAGCGGTCGGGTGAGGGTTTGATACGCTGAGGGGAAGGAATTGTATCAATACAGAATCAAGACGTTGGGCGTGCGTGTGAATGAAGGACTGTTTGCATTTCTCTTACTCTACATAATACCTTTTGAATGTGTATCGCCGCAACGAAAGATTTACATCTTGCTTTCTTTCATATGTATAAATTATCATTGATATCCACAAGGCTGTTTGGTTTTGTTGTCGCATTGTTCATGGTGGTAGGGACAACACTTATACCATTGCACGGCGTTATGTCGCAATTCAATCGCTCTTTTTTTTTAACAATTGCAGCTTATTTTTCCAACATGTGATGGCCTGGCGTGAATGACTCTATTCTATGCGTGTAGTGTACTCCATCCAGAGCTCTCTCTGCACCCAAGACGGCCCCGATTGGTTGGCCACATGGAGCGCTACTAGCGCAGTTCTGCCAGGCACTCGGCGCGAGCACCACATCACGGCAGTATCTCTCATCCTGCCCTTTGGTCGTCTTTAGGGCCCCTCGTCAGGCACTGCAAGGTAGGTAGGTCCTACACCATCAACGTCATTGAGTGGGTGTGGACATGTTTCTCCCTCAACATGGCCCCGACGTGCCCCTCACTCTGCTCATATAGCATCATACGATGCGACTGGCCCTACCACGTCGATTGGACTTGATTCTCTCACCTCCTCCCACAATGCTAATTGCGCGCGACAGGGAGCTCCAACGGCCCTCGCCCTCCATCCCGCTCGCCTGCCATGCCTGCGATGCTGGATGACCCCAGCGCACCAGTTGTATACCGCACCTCGGGCGACATACCATATCCGCCGCCAGGCAGCCCTCTGCCCGTAGGCATTGCGCCATGTCAAGTCATTCTGCGCGACCGTGTGACGACTGCGACAATCATACCTTTTTCTGCGCCCAACCAAGTGCCCCTCACACTACTCGCATACCTATGCGATCAGCTTGGCCGCGAGATTGAAAAAGGCGACACGTACCCCATGGTCGAGCCACTGCCTCTCGAAGGCTTCGGCCCTTACTGGTTCGGAGTCTTCGGTGCTATCATGCTCTTGGGCGAAATTCAGGACGGCCGTCAACTCCACGAAATGGCCCGCAGAGGATGTGATTGGGAACGGGAGTGTCTCGGAAGCTTTTACATCAAGCCAAACTACCCGGGCCGATCGAGCCACGTCTGCAACGGCGGTTTTCTTGTTACAGATGCGTCGCGAAATCGTGGGGTTGGTCGTCTGATGGGTGAGACGTATCTGGACTGGGCCCCGAAGTTGGTGTGTTTTGCGCAATTGCGCCGTCTGCATGCTGCGCTAACAACCGTAGGGCTACACTTATTCCGTCTTCAATCTTGTTTACGAGACCAACGTTGCCTCTTGTCGCATATGGGATGCCCTTGGCTTCAAGCGCATCGGTCGTGTAAAGGGGTGTGGCAATCTCAAGTCGTACCCTGGTGAGCTCGTCGACGCCATCATCTATGGACGAGACTTGGGTCAAGACGATGAGTTTGTGTCGGAAGAGCGGTTTGACAAGATACGTTTCTATCTCAAAAATGGGAAATACCCCAACGGCGCCGATCGCGCAGAGAAGAGCCGCTTACGCAGCGCAGCGACCCACTACAAGCTGACGCCGGCTAATGACGATGAACCGGAGAAACTGTGGCTCAAAGGCAAGGAGGTTATTGCGGATCCGAAACAGCAGTATGAAATTGCCCAGGAAATCCATCATAAGCAGCACGGCGGGATCAACAAGACGACTGCAGCCATTGCTGAACTCTATCATTGGGTCCGCATCAAGGAAACCGTCAGTCAGGTCATCAGGAACTGCCCTGAATGTAGCGAGATGAACAAAGGCCTATCAGCTATGCGACAAGGCCAGAATCAGGCACGCGCAGAAGCACGATCGGCCTCTGCTTTTAGTACTGCCCAAAAGACAATTACGCCTACACCGCCGACTATCTTTTCTCTTTCCCAAGCTCCTCCACCTGGTCCTGACTCGCCTTCTACTCAGGCACGACTTGCAAGCCCACAACACCCTGCTCATGTATATCAACAATTTGCTCAGCAACAACAGCAGCAACAGCAACAGCAACAGCAACAGCAACAACAGAATACGTTTGACATGCCAGTTGATCCTGCCTTGATGCAGGATGTCCAGCCCACGGGTAAACTAGCTGATCTTCCTCCCTCGCCTTTTCTCACTGCTCAGCCAAAGGGTGCGTCACGTGGGGGGATCAGCGAGAACTCACGGATAACAGGGGATGGAATGGGGTTGGATGACAGGGCAGCGATGGCAGGGGAGGAGATGCGGCGGCGGTTAAATAGAGCGAATGGGTATAAGTGAGTTGTGGTGGTTGGGCGCAAGGGGAATGCTTCTTGTAGTACTTGTTTTATACTAGATATCATGGCTTTCATGTAATGAACATTGGGGGTGGGGGAGGGGGAGCATGGATGGATAGGCGTATCTATGAAGAAAAAAAATGGGGATCTCTTAAGATGGATGGAAGGAATATAGTGCTATACCCATATGCCTCACTCTACTTTTCCTTGCTTGTTTTCTTTGTTTGAAAACGCAAACTTGCAAAAGTCTGGTTCAGTAGTATGCACCAATCAGTTTTCATGCGCATGTCATACCAAGGTGTCCTGGATAGTTAATGGCTTTTATTTTTATTCCTTGGATTCAATTCAAGCTATCTAAAACCCCCGCGTATGCCCATGACTTCTTTTTTTTCTTCATCTTTACCTTTTTTTCCCTTTTTCATTTCTCCCCCATACACCATCGGCAAGCTCGATCCATGCATGCCTCCCACATGAGTTCACTAATCCTCACCCTCGAACAAGCCCCAGTCCTTGATTGCAAAACTGTCCAGCACCTTCTCTTTGATCCGCTTTGCTTGCGTCATAAGCTGGGTTTCGCTGCTTGGCGAAGCAGCAGGCGAGTATTCGCCTGGGTAGTGAGGCGAGTTTATTGTTATCATGATCTTTTTTTGTTGTTGTTGTTTAGTATCAGGCAAACTTGCACTGAGACGGGGAAGGACATACGTCAGTAGCTTGTTCCTTGAGTCGCACAAGGATAAGCTGGATGAAAGTGTATTCTGGTGTTTTGCGGGCTGGTGGTGCTCCTGCAGCGGGAGAAGGGGGAGTTTGGATAAAGGTTAGGGTTAGGATTGGTGTTTGTGGTCTTGTTTGTCCGCAGTTAGCACTTCTTCTTCTTCTTCTTCTTCTTCTTCTAAACATTCAATGGTAATATTGTTTTCTTCAACAATGATATGGTGGAATAAATGGAAGGAGAAAAAAAACATACAAATTCTTCATCTCGCCTTTAGCCTGTGCAACCATCGTCGTAGCATCCCCCGTGCCATCTACCAAATCGGCAAAATGGTACTGCAGGGCTTCCTCGTCAGATGGCTTGTCGACATACTCGAGGATTTCGAGGACAATGCTGGTGTAGCCCGTGTTATGGAGATAGACTTCTTGGTGTGAGGGGATTTGGCGGATTAGGCTTTTGCGGAGAGTTTAGTTAGTTTTGTGAGGCATGGGGTGGGGAAGGACAGGGGGGAGCATACGAGGCGTCGGAGTAGTTGGAGGGTAGATCGACGGTTATTGCGCCGCCATAGAGGGGGGTGGCTTTGAAGTCCATGATAGTGGGCGAGTGGGGGGTTTTTTTTTTAGATGAGTCTTGTCTTTTTTATTTTTTCTAGAGGTGGGATTCTGGGATGCGTCGGAATCAACTGAAAGTTTTGTTAGCTGTAAAAGATTTGGGTCTGTATGTTGTGGATACAGCGTTGTGAGGTCTAGCTTTTTATGTCAAGGGTTTGGTGTTGGTTGATGGTGGTGGGAGCACAAGGCTGCTTTAGGTAACTAACCAGGCAGCTTTCAGGCACTACGCCGACATGGTTGCCTACCTGCCTACAGTCGATTGCGAAGTTTGCCTGGCCGTGGCGTTTTCACTCACGATGGGCTAACCATTGAGTTGCACGCTTTGAGCTTAGACATGGTGGGACTGAAATCAGGGAAAAGTTTGGACATGTGACTTGGCGTTTTGCAGGAACAAAATTCAAGTCAAACTTTCACGTGCACTACCACTACGACGGTCGCCATCACAAACACCCGCGCGAAACTTTGCGTGTTATTGAAACCTGGGGTATCGTGTAAATTTTTGACCCCCTCCATATTCCATTTCCCAATTTTGAACGCCGTGCAATGCATCCCATCTGCCTGGTATCCTGACATTTTATCGCTGGTATACCATCACCGTCACCACCACCACCACCACCACCTGCGTGCTTCAACCTCGCCCGTTTCCACGGCAAGCCAAATGCAACGATGGTCAAGCTGATGCGACGTGGTCGACCTCCATGGGGGCTGCCGGAGCGGTTGTGCGGGTTCCGTTGTTGGTGGTGAGGCCCACGGCAGCCTCTGCTTCTTTTTGCGAGTATGGTTCTTCGCGCAATTGCTTGACCCTGGGACTTGTCAGCGTGTGCACCGACATGTCCGGCAAAGTGCCCTCACCTCCGCTTGTGCACCTTGCCCTTCTGATGCGCACCGAGGTTGGCGTCGCTCTCGAAAAACTTTGCGCATTCCTTGCAGTAGTGCTGGCCCAGGCCGGGCAGGTCCTCTACGGGCTTCTCATTCTTGAAGGCGGCGAGGTGCTTTTCGTCGCGCAGGTCGGCGTGGATCTGGTCGAGGTCGCGGGTATGGCGGCGCGTCTTTTTCTTCGAGTCCTGTCCGCGTATGGCCGGCATGGTGGTGTATGGCGTACTGTCGAGAGCAGTGCTTATCCGCGGCCGTCGGTTATCCGTGAGCAGATGGGCGTCGGCTGTGGGCAGAGGTCGCAGGGTGGGGGCGTGTGCGGCGGCGGGGCCCGTGCGGCAGTCTGCAGGCCAGAAAGCCCTTTGGCGCCATGCCGGATGCGGGGCAGGCAAATGCTACCGTTGCGCCAGCCGCCGAATCTGCTGCGCGTGCACGCCTGGGCCTGCGACTGTTGGCCCGGAAATGTCGCGCTCCAGGCTGGCTGTGTGCCGTCGCCTCAGGTGGTCTTGTCCCACGCCGCCAATCAGCGCCGCCACAGTTGGGCGCGGGGTCGCTTTGCCGGCGCCCGGATATGACGTCTGGGTGAACGCCCACAGCTCGCCCTCTCCCGCACTCCCTGTCGCTGCAATTGTCGCCGTCGCCGCACCCAAGGGGCCCAATCAAGCACACAAGACGACGCTGACGGGCTCCATAATTCCCTCCTCGCCCTCCTCCACCCTTGCACGTGAAACGGCCCAGCGGGAAAGCAGCAGCCGTCCTGTTTTTGCGCTCCCTCTGGCGCCGAGGTATTCCGCACCCAGCGGGAGCTAAACGAGCCAATCACACGGCTCGTGATCGCTATTAGTTATCCCCCAACTTGCGCCAGCTTTCTGGCCTTCTTTTCCTCCACTCCCTCCATCACTCTTCCCTCCACATCCTCCTCTGCAACCCTCACCATGCAGAAGTTCTCGAGGCTCGGCCGCATGGGCCAGAGCCTTGCTTCGCGCAGGCAATTGGCCACCGTCAGCGATGCTGCCCTCTCCCGCAAGGTCGAGATGACCAACTGGGAAAAGGGCCACTACATCAACTACCAGAAGATGAGCGAGAACCTGGGCATTGTCCGCTCTCGTCTCAACCGCCCCCTCACCTTTGCCGAGAAGATTCTCTACTCGCACTTGGACGACCCTCACGGTCAGGACATTGAGCGTGGTGTCAGCTACCTCAAGCTCCGCCCCGACCGTGTAGCCTGCCAGGATGCCACTGCCCAGATGGCCATCCTCCAGTTCATGTCGGCTGGAATGCCCTCCGTTGCTACCCCGACCACCGTCCACTGCGACCATCTCATCGAGGCTCAGGTCGGCGGCGAGAAGGATTTGGCCCGCGCAAACGAGATCAACAAGGAGGTCTACAACTTCCTGTCCACCTCTTGCGCAAAGTACAACATTGGTTTCTGGAAGCCCGGCTCTGGCATCATCCACCAGATTGTGCTTGAGAACTACGCTTTCCCTGGTGCTCTTCTCATCGGTACCGACTCGCACACCCCCAACGCTGGTGGTCTCGGTATGGCCGCTATTGGTGTTGGTGGTGCTGACGCTGTCGACGTCATGGCCGGCCTTCCCTGGGAACTCAAGGCTCCCAAGGTGATTGGTGTCAAGCTGACTGGCAAGCTGTCTGGCTGGACTGCTCCCAAGGGTACGTACTCACAATTGTTAACTGCAGGTGGGGTAACACGCGGCTAACGTCAACCACAGACATTATCCTCAAGGTCGCCGGTATCCTGACTGTCAAGGGTGGAACTGGTGCCATTGTCGAATACCACGGACCCGGTACCGAGAGCCTGTCGTGCACTGGCATGGCCACCATCTGTAACATGGGTGCCGAGATTGGTGCTACCACCTCGGTCTTCCCCTTCAACGACCGCATGTACGACTACCTCGCCGCTACCAAGCGTAGCCAAATTGGTGACTTTGCCCGTGACTACGCCAAGGAGCTCCGCGAGGATGAGGGTGCCGAGTACGACCAGCTCATCGAGATCAACCTTTCCGAGCTCGAGCCTCACATCAACGGCCCCTTCACACCCGATCTAGCTACACCCATCAGCAAGTTCAAGGAGGCTGTCAAGGCTAACAAGTGGCCCGAAGAGCTCAAGGTCGGTCTCATCGGTTCTTGCACCAACTCTTCGTACGAGGACATGACCCGCGCTGCCTCCATTGCCGAGGATGCCATGTCCCACGGCCTCAAGGCCAAGTCTCTCTTCACCGTCACGCCTGGTTCCGAGCAGATTCGCGCCACCATTGAGCGCGATGGTCAGCTCAAGACCTTTGAGGAATTTGGTGGTATGGTTCTCGCAAACGCTTGCGGCCCTTGCATTGGTCAGGTAAGTTTACTCGCATGATTCTTCTCACCTCCATTTTCCGTTACCAGACACTTGCTAACCGTTACACAGTGGGACCGTAAGGATGTCAAGAAGGGTATGTATTACACACATTTTTTTGTACTGCACATCTGCTAACTTGCTTTAGGCGAGGCCAACTCCATCATCTCTTCGTACAACCGCAACTTCACTGGCCGCAACGACGCCAACCCCGCCACCCACTCCTTCGTCACCTCTCCTGACCTTGTTGTCGCCATGACCATTGCTGGAACCTTATCCTTCAACCCTCTTACAGACACGCTTAAGGGAGCTGACGGCAAGGAGTTCAAGCTCAAGGAGCCCACCGGCTTGGGTCTTCCCACCAGCGGTTACGACGCTGGCCGGGACACCTACCAGGCTCCTCCCGAGGACCGTGCTTCCGTCCAGGTTGCCGTATCTCCCACCTCCGACCGTCTCCAGCTCCTTTCTCCCTTCTCTGCTTGGGATGGAAAGGATGCCAAGAACCTCCCCATTCTCATCAAGTGCCAGGGCAAGACCACCACTGACCACATCTCCATGGCTGGTCCCTGGTTGAAGTACCGTGGGCACTTGGACAACATCTCCAACAACATGTTGATTGGTGCCATCAACGCTGAGAACGGCGAGGCCAACAAGGTCAAGAACGCCCTCACTGGCGAGTACGGCGCGGTCCCCGATGTTGCCCGTGACTACAAGAAGAACGGCATCCCATGGGTTGTCATTGGTGACTGGAACTACGGCGAGGGTTCTTCCCGTGAGCACGCTGCGCTTGAGCCCAGGCACTTGGGTGGTGCTGCCATCATCACCCGTTCCTTCGCTCGTATCCACGAGACCAACTTGAAGAAGCAGGGTATGCTTCCTCTTACCTTCTCTGACCCTGCCGACTATGACAAGATTGGCCCCAACGACCGTGTTGACTTGGCCTCCACCGAGCTCGCCCCTGGAAAGCCCCTCACCATGACTGTCCACCCTGCCGATGGCAGCAAGCCTTTTGAGATCAAGCTCTCTCACACCTTCAACGAGGGCCAGATTGAGTGGTTCAAGAACGGCAGCGCTCTTAACACCATGGCCAAGAACGCCCAGCAGTAAATACTCAGACGGAAATTAGGATTACCGCAAAATCACCACTGGGGATGTAAATACAGCAGGACGGAACAGCCCGCGAAAGCCTAACCAGCGGGACAGAAGAATTCCGCCTCTGAGGAAGATGGATAACCATGAGAGGGCTGAATGACTTGTACGAATGGCCGCATTGGGGGCTTTTGTTGTCGGGTTACTCGGCTCAATGAGGATAGGTTTTACTTGTACTTGTGACGGTTAGCATGCAATGTATGAATGATTTTTTGTTGTTACAACTGGTGTATGCAATTGTGATTTTAGTTGATGCTACAAAAATATCCAAGTATTTCATTGATTATAGCAAAAATGCTGCCACCAGGAATGAACGTGGTCTGGTGAGTTTTGTCGTTTTTTTTTCTTGAACATCCGTCTCAGCCCCTTCCGGGTCTGTGCCGCAAACGGGGGTCTGACGGTTGCGGCGTCCGTGTTCCCCGCTTAGTCGCCGGGACAACGGGCAATGACAAACATTGTCGACAAGAGTTCCAACGCTCGACCACCCATGTGACAACAACATTCTTGAGCCAATTGCAAACACAGCGCTTTGGATATCTCTATCAATATCGGTCACCTAAATACCGCAGATATGGCACGCCTACGCAAACCCAGTCCAAATGAACCCACCATATTTATGCCCCCAGCTGAGGCGAGCGCGACACGAATGAGTCCCCGGAAGGCTACCTTGAGGTACACTTCATTCGAGGAAGATGATAGCTCGATGCTCGTACCAAAAGCATCAAAGCGCGCATTGCGCGATGCCAGTCTTTCGCAAGATATCGAAAATTCGTTTCACACAGCAAAATCAACTCTACCCAAAGACATACTGTCCCCGCGCAAGCAGCGAGTCCTACGACCAGTCGAGAGCAACAGCCGCCTACTTCGCAAGCTGAGCGATGAGAGCTTAGCGAGTCCGGAACGAAAGCAAAGAGAGCGGAGAGAGCGCAGTGGCACAATAGATACAGATTTGGAGAAGAGGAACCGACTACGATATGCCACAAGCTTGGCGAGGAGTGTGGTGAACAAGCAAGGACAGAAGAGTAGGATTAATGTTCTTGGAGAGGCAGAAGTCCAGCAAGCTGCTCGGCGGCCAGGGAGCAAGAGTCCCGTAAAGAAAGCACAAGAGTTGGAAGCCGAAGCCGAAGCCGAAGAAGCAGAAGAAGAAGAGGAGGAGGAGGCTGAGACCAGCATTTTGTGCGGCGGAGACGACGTTGAAATGCAAGAAGAGGTCGCCGAACCAGTTATCGAAATCAGCGACGACGATGATGAAGACGAAGAACCCGTCATGACAGTTCAAACTAGGCGGCGACAACCACAGACCCGGCGGGTAGTCTCAGATAGCGAAGACGACGGAAGTGAAGCCAGCCCTCCACGGCCAGTCAGCGAGTTCCGTTCGCCAACTTTCAAGATCCCAGACCTGAAGCCAGCCACCGTACCTACCCAACAACCAGCTGACCTGGTCTCTATGCGACCCCCACATCGCAAAGGACACAGCACAATATCGAATTGGGCACAGGAGGTCATTGATATGGCAGACTCACCCGAGGCCCCGGATTCCTTCATTCTTCAACAGCCCACCCACGCACGGTCAAGTTCTTTCGCAGCATCATCCCGTCCCACGAGTTCTGCCTCAAACGGGGCCTTTGCAATCCTTACCTACTCACCTACACCTACGAAAAAGCGTTCACCTTGCAAAGCCCCGCCTATTGAACGTCCAGGAACACCACCCCTAGCGCCCGCGAGCCCTTCCAAACTTGTTTCTCCTTCGAAGAAGAAGCTCACGATTCCTAAGGCTGCGGATCTAGACGGAAGACCCAGTCTCGATGCATTTTGGAATCCTGCAGCAGTCAACGAATGGAACGATCGTCATTCACCAGCGAAGGCAATCGTTTCGCCCAAGAAGCAGAAATGGCGCGAAGATATTGTGAAGATGATGGAGGGAGTCGCACTGGATGACAGCAGCGACGAAAGCTACGAGAGTCCCATCGAAAGTCCTAAGAAGAAGCCTGCCAAACGTACCGCAGCCAAGTCAAAGACGCCCGACGTCGAAGCACCACCGACAGTGAAGCAAATCCGTGAACAGCGCAAAGCATTTTCCGAGATGAAGCATAGCATTGCCGAGGCATTCTTGGTAGAGCTCGACACCACCATCGCTTCAGGTCGCATTCAGGAACTGTCAAAATCTACAGGCGGCATAAAACTAGTCTGGTCCAAGACACTCAAGACAACAGCCGGCCGAGCGAATTGGCGTAGAGAGCAGATTCGCATCCGAACTGGCCCGCTATCGACAGACACTCGCACCGAGATCCGACACCACTGCTCTATCGAGCTTGCAGAGAAGGTCATTGACGACGAAGAACGTCTCTACAACGTACTAGCGCACGAATTTTGCCATTTGACCACCTTCATGATTAGCGAAGTGCGCAACAATCCTCATGGAGCGGAGTTCAAGTCATGGGGCCGCAAGGCAACCGCCGCATTTGGAGCGAGCAAGGGCGTACAAGTCACGACCAAGCACTCATACCAGATTGAATACAAGTATGTCTGGGAATGCATTGCGTGCGGGTACGAGTTCAAGCGCCACTCAAAGTCTGTAGACCCAACACGTCACTCGTGCGGAAAGTGCAAGGGAAGGCTTGCTCAGACAAAACCCAAGCCTCGTGGTACTGGCGCTGGTGCAGCAGCTGTAGGTCAAGACGGCAAGAGGGAGAAGAGCGAGTACCAAGTCTTTGTCAAGGCAAACTTTGCGAGGGTCAAAAAGGAGCTGGAGGCGGAGGGTAAGGATACGCAAATGGGCAAGGTCATGGAAGCTGTGGCGAAGGAGTATAGGGAGAGGAAAGGCACGAAAGCGAAAGAAGAGGTTGGTGAGCTGGAGGCAAAGCTTGATGAGTTGAAGATTTAGATGACGAGTTGAAGTTTTTTTTGATTCTTGATGTTAAATGATGATTACTATGATATTCTTGGCCTTTTCCAAAAGTACAAAACGTGTGTTGTGATTGGGATGGAGAAATGTATATATGTCTGTTTTTTAAACAAAAAAGAACGCGCGTCAAGTATGCGATGGGGGATATGCAACTGTTGTTTTTTCCTGAAATGGAAGGAGAGGATACTACCTAGAAAAGGGCCGTGCATACCTCAAGTGTCGTACCCAAGTGATTTTGAGGGTTTGGTGGCGATTTCAAAAGACGGACAAACTGACTGCTTTACTCCATCGTCTTCAGCTGTTGGACCTTGGGGGCTGAAGCGCTGATCAGGTGAGACAGACTGGGGTAGCCTAGCGCTTTCACTAGTAATGAGACCTCATCCTTCATTCCCCAGCCTTGCCGAGATTCTCACTCTCATAGATACACCTCCCTGCACCAACCACTATTATCTGTCCTCAGTGTTCGTCCGCATCGCTTACTGCTTAGTGGCAAGGCTCTGTCAGGGTGTAGTCCCTTAGGTTGATCATTGCCTGACTAACTGCTTTTGTGTCACGTGTGACGTTTACACATTCCTACCAAAGGCCGATCTTCCCACTAACATTTACGCTTCCTGCCCATCACTAGTAGCATACCCAAGCGACTGGATCTATAAGGTCCGCGCTTCTCTTTTCTTGATCCTGACAGCAAGGCTGCAGCGCAAGAATCACCACCATGGCCCACAACCATCAACAACGCCCATCCGGCCCGCCTCCTCCAGAACCACATGGAGGGCCTCCAGCTTTGCCATTAGAGTGCCCACCAGGCGACGACTACCCGATTGAGTTGTTCAGCCTCCTGGAATCTGAAGACACGATGAGAAAACACGGCTTCGTTATGGAGCCGCTTACAATGGCGGACATCAAAGGGAAGGCCAGATGTAAAGACTGCAACCAGTGTACGTGTTGGAAACCTCACTTATGTGCTACCGGAGGTAATGCATTGACGCTGCTAATCGAATGCCAGCAATGCTCAACCTCACAAAGGACCTAAAAAGGCAGCAAAAACTACGCCGCGCCAACCCATTTCCGCCCCCACCAAAGAGGTTCTGGGACCCATTTCCCACAATCCTGATACCAAAGGGAAAAGGCAGATATGATTCAACAGAATGCGCGGTAGAGTGCAGCTCCCACCCAGGGACAATGGACCGGGCTACGAGGGTAAAAGCAACATTGCCATAGAGATAAATCTCGCCACTAACTGCATTCAGTGCTTTACTTGTTGTCATGTCCCTGTAACTGAAGCCAAGCCATGCGTCAACAGCCACGTGCATGAATTACGCTATTATGCGCCTGGAGAACTCATCCGTATACATCAGTATCACTATACGCCAGCAGTCCATCCAGAAGGCCTGGCATTCCGCGCTGCTGTCGCCATTGACTGCGAGATGGGAACTGCCATCTCGGGAGACAGTGAACTCATTCGCCTGACCGCCATTGATTACCTGACTGGCGAAGTTCTCATCAACAACCTTGTTCAGCCCGACCAGCACATGTTGCACCTCAACACAAAATTTTCTGGGGTCACGTTTCTGCAGCTAAACGAAGCCAAGAGGAAAAAGACTTCTTTAAGAGGCAAGGCTGGCGCGAGAGAAGCACTATGGAGATTTGTCGGCCCACATACTGCGCTGGTGGGTCATGGTTTGAACAATGATCTGAGAGCACTGAAATGGATCCATCCAACTGTGGTTGACTCGTTCATGGTTGAACACAGGATTGTGCAAGCAAAGAAAAAGGCCGAAAAGGAGGCGGCGGAAGCCGCAGCCGCAGCCGCAACAAATACAGAAACCTTAGTAGAGGATCTAGCTGAACAGATTCTGGATCTAGAACTATCCCCACAAACACAATCTCAGCCAAAGCAGAAGAGAACTAAGGGAACTGGCGACTTGGCGCTCAAGACATTGATGAAGAAGTATATCAACAGGGATATTCAAACACAAGGCAACAAGGGTCATGATAGCTTTGAGGATGCGCTTGCGGCAAGGGATTTAGTGCACTGGATGGTTCTGAGGAGACTTGCGGAGAAGGAGGCGTTGGTAGTGTGAGCGAAGCGGTGAGTCGATACTGATGATTTTCATATAATCGTGTAATGGGGTTTTTTTTTTGGAATGGTTACATCGTGTGGGGGGAATTGGGTATTTGGTGGCAAAGGTATCAGGCTCGACAAGTCCTACACACACACACACACACACACATGATTTCGCTACTTTGAATCAAAAACTCCTGTGCACATGATCACTTCCTCAACCCACAAGTGTCTTTGAAGCGAAGAAAGAAAAGCAAACTCCAAGCACCCCCCCCCATCTAGCAATCACACTGGCTCAAATTTAAAATAGTATAGTCATTGACTAACCAAAAAAGAAAGAAAAAAGAATGACACACTCATACACCCCCCCGTCGTCGCCTCGTCCTCACCTCGACCTCGTCCAACAACCCCCGATAATCCTCGGGTCCATACCCTTCGAGCCACTCTCTCAGCGGCCCTCCCTTCCTCCTGGCCGCGAGCCGCAGATCGGCGAGCAAAACATCAAAATAAGGCAAAGTATCAAACACCAGATCGGGCAACCTATGGCCATAACTCATGGCGCCGCGATGTACGCCATACTGAGTATTGCGATAGACGTCGGTCAGCAGGCCGTGTTGCTCGGGTGATGCAGACGGGGTGGTGAGGGTGCCGTCGAGGAAGGATGATATCCAGAGGGATTGGATGTATGCGCAGGGAAAAGTGGCGAGGCAGTGGAGGGCGCCTGCGAAGGCGATGGTGGGATGGGCGAGGGAGCGGGGTGGAGCGATGAAGCGGTAGAGACGGTATGGTTGGTGGGTTGTTGCGCTACGGGGCTGCGAGGTCGCGCGCAGCAAGGGGTCTGGATGACCTGTGCGAGATACGTCTCGTTGGGCTAGGTATGGGAAGTCGTGGAAGAGACTGGTTTCGGAGGCGGTGATGAGAGCTTGGTCGGCGGGGGTGGGAGGACATGGTAGGCCGAGGGTGTGTTGGAGCGATGTAGGTTTGAAGCGGAATGTGTGGGCTTTTTGCCAGCCTGTGGCGCAGACGATGGCGTTGGCAGTGAGGATGGTGCCGGATTTGAGGTGCACGGTATCAGTGTCCTTGAGAGCAGCGATGTCGTCGAATACGATGCTGATTTTTCCGTTGCGGACGAGGTCGAAGAAATCGGTGGGGTAGTTGTGGATCGAGAGTGCGTTTCCGACTTCAAAGGCGCTTCTCCAGGGCCGCAGCTTCTTCGTCTCGGCATGGGCGTCGAGTTTATTCAGTGCAACTGCGTCTTCACTGAGAACGTACCAAAACCCGGCTACCATCTTCCGGCCCAGCCACGTCTTGTGCAAGAAATAGCGTAGCCAGCCTTCCACTCCTGTTGTCGTCGCCCATGGGCAAGGCGACATGAAGCCGAAGAACCGCGTGTGCACCAGTTTCTCCAACCACATCCCAAACGGTGTCACGTGGCTGGGTGTCATCCACACGGGGCCATTGCCATCTGGCCGGATCAAGAGCGTCGCTGAGGAAGAAGGCTGCGTCGCACACGCGTACGCGACATCCCAAGCTGATTTCCCGGACCCGACAACCACAGTGTGCGTCTGCGGTCTCACAATCTCCGTGTAGTGAGCTGGGAAATCCCGAGTGTGCAAGACGGGCGAGGAGAAAGTTGTCGATGTAGGGTATGCTGGGAGCAAAGACTTGTTTGTATTTCCCGTCGCTACAATGACTTTTTGGGCTCGTATCATTGTCTCCTTCTTTTCGGCCGAGGATGACGACGACGACGATGACGATACACAATGCAATATCCAACTCTTTTCTTCATCGCCCTGCTGCTCTTGCTCAAGTACCTCGACAATCGTGTTCAGACGAATAAACTGCTTGATATCCGCCCATTCTGCAAATGCACAGAGGTACTCGTACATTTTGGGTGCGTCGATATGCGTCCCTTGCTTGACCCCGAAGCGCTTTTGATCCATGGGAAAATCAGGATGTTCGAACATGCCCCATAGATTGTTAGTTTTTAGGCCTGGAAAGACACGCTCGGGGGCCCAGGGCCCGCCGATGGAGGGCGCAGAGTCGAGGATAAGAAGTTTGGCGGAGGGATGCAAGCGATGGTAGGTATGCGCGGCTGTGAGGCCGTTCACACTTGCGCCTATTACTACCACGTCTACTTCTTCCATTGTTGTGCTGTGGGATAGTGAAGAAGAAGATGGGTCAGACTTGGATTGGGCTGGAGAATTCCAATGCAAGCTCGGAAGAATTCAACCAATGAGTAAGACTGATAACGGGGCCATATTTAATAGATCTGCCTTATTCTTACTCCAAGCACACGTGCCTGCATGATATGAGTGGGTATGGTAGGTTGGTGGCCTGATTACAAGATAGTAAGCGAGATGGGGTAGCTCAATGGACAAGACACATCTTCCAGAGTCGTTAACATGATGCGAGTTCTGCGTATACATCCAAACCCATGAGACTGCCCCCAGAATTATGCGACCTGTGATAAAATGACATGTGGAATTTTGATCAGTTACGCTTTTCCCGTTTGGCTTGGGTAAGAAAATGAATCATTAGAGCCCGCGGGTAAAACATGATCCCTCATTACCGGTTAAAAAAAACACCATATCGACCGCCTGAATACATCACAACTTTGCTTTTACAGAACCGACGCCAGCCTGGACTTGTACGGTCCCAGCTGCATTGGTGTCGACAGTGACCACGACACCTTCTGTAGCGGTCTCGCCTTGCTTCAGCAATATCTCTTGGCAGTCTTCATTACCTACATCGTTGGCGAACTGTACGACTACAAAGTCGATTGGCCGGTCTCCAATGACCACCATAGGTGCGTGCCATGTCCCGGCGCCATAAGTCACAGCTTGAGCTCCAGTCGCAACAAAGGCGCGGACATTCTTGAGATCTGGAAGGCCGGGTCCTTTGGGTCGCGCCGACGGATGCAGATGCGAAAAGTGACTTTGTGCGGACGTTCCCTCGCCCGAGGGACTTGGTTTTGCTCGCCCGAATATGTCGAACACACTCCCATTTCCCTTCATAACTGGTGCAGGATATGGCGGGGCCCTATCTGTCCGATACTTCGACGTGCTCGCAGGCAGGGTTGGTGCGACTATGACAAGATATTGTGTGTGCTTGTCGTGTTGCGCCAGACCCATGGGTATAAACGTTTGCGTGGTAAAAGGGTGTCGCTCGAGAATAGAGACGTCCAACAGCTGCTTGAGGCAGTCGTTATTTCCGTCCTCGTCCTCATCCAGGTCCAAGTCTCCCCAGGAGCTCGGCATGCTCATGCTCGGCTCGTGTGGGCGCAGGTTGCGCGGTGAGCAAACAAACATGTTCATGACGGCTCGAGCCGGCTTTTTGCTGGGCGCAAGGGTATACAGATTTGACATGTGGGTGACATCGAGGTACTTTGTTGCAGAGCCCTGATTGGCGGACACTGCTTCGGGCGCCTGTACGCGGTTTGGAATGGGTAGCTTTGCTGACGGCGATGTTGACGGATTCTCGATGACAGAACCAAACTGTGCAAAAGCTGTAGGAGTGAGCAGCTCTATTGGTATGCGAATAGACGGGGCAGGCATTGAGGGAGGCATCTTGACGGCGGGGCGCCCAGAGAGCGGCAGACAGCAGCTGCGATGGGTCGGTGGAGTTGGGATGGAGATCGCGTGCGGGAGCTTGTCAAAGGGCGCTACTGATACGATAACGATAAGACCAGGTACCTCGACCTGGGGAGCGTCTGCATGTGATAATTGACAGTGCAGACGCCACGCTCACATGCTGCTTTTTGCTGTGGGCGTGAATCCGAGTGCCTGGTGATTTGCCGCTCGATCAATGTCGACATTCGTCAAGCAAGTTAATTCCATGCAGGAGTAGTGTGCTGGTATGGCAGTCTGGCCAGCCAGCTGTGAAGCTGGTCGCAAATCACGGCACCTCGCTTCTTTCGCTGCAGACACGGCGAAATGCAGTCCAAGGACAAAATAGTCTGTTGTCCTCTCATGTACTTGTGTTGCACAAGAAGCGCAGATAGACTCGCATCCATCAGTATCCTCAGCTTCAGCAGTGGCAAGGCGCAGCGAGGCTGATGTCACACAGCCAGGCAGGACGACCAACGGCCCGCATTTTCCCCGAGCACTAGCGCGCATGCCCACGGATTTCTTTCTCGACAACCGTCCGTCTCTCCAGCTACGCTCGTCACACGGTCACCCTTCAATTCTCTGGCGCGTGTTCCCTTTCTCCTTCTTGATCCACCCGTTGCCGCTGCGTGCGCCCAAAGTCTGCCCTTGGCCCCCAAGAGCCTCAGAAACTACGTCACCTTCTCAAACCCCCATACCCACACCCGACGTGTTCCTGTCTTAGTCTTACCAAACATCGCCAACACACCACACTCAGCTCAAGCCCTTGAGCCAGACTTCGCGACCACCAGCACCTTGCCCAACGCCCGCTTTTGGACGACTTCCTGTGACTTTGACTAGTTATCATGGCTGTTCCCACACAGTTGGCTTGTACGTGACCCCGATGAACAAGAGAAATACAGGGAGACTTTGTCTGTTGAAACACGCTAACACGTTCGGCTTACAGACCGTTCCGCCAAGGGCATCGGGCTCTTCAATGCTGCTCCAGTCTACGAGCCGCTTCCAGGATTCGTGCGCCCAGAAGGCAACCTTCGTTGCTGCGCCTACTCGCCAGACAGCAAGTACTTCGCATGGGCTACACCTGAGCAGTAAGCGCCACAAGACATTATATGCCTCACAGACGAGCACACTAGAATTGAGGATTGAAGATGGCATGATGGTAAAGCGATTGAGGAGTCCCTCGAGACGCCTACAATTCGTCATCCTTCAAATTCCACATCTGTGTGCGCTTGTGTGCGGATATCAGAATTGTACAGATGGGCTGACTTTCCCAGGGTTTCTGTGATTGACGCTTCCGTCGGCCATATTGTTACCACACTCCCCACACCGAACGTCTACGAGCTCGGCTTCTCTCCATTGGGCACCTACCTTATAACATGGCAGCGACCCTCCAAGGACGAGGACGGAAATGCGACAAAAAACCTCCGGGTCTGGAAGACGCTCTCCGACGAAGCCGAAGATGACGGATCGCGGGCAGTGATTGGCGAATACGTTCAGAAGAACCAGAACGGCTGGAACCTGCAATACACATCCGACGAGAAGTTTTGTGCCCGCGTTGTGACAAACGAGGTGCAGTTCTTCCAGTCGAGTGATCTACGCAACCCCTGGAACAAGCTCCGTGTAGAGGGAGTAACGGAAATGGCCCTGTCGCCCGGCAAGAACCATTCAGTTGCAGTTTTTGTGCCGGAGCGTAAGGGCATGCCCGCTGCCGTCAAGGTGTTTGCGGTACCTCAATTCAGCCAGCCCGTATCGCAAAAGACCTTCTTCAAGGGTGACAAGGTTCAGCTCAAGTGGAACGACCTCGGTACCAGCCTGATTGTCCTGGCCCAGACTGAGGTTGACAAGACCAACAAGAGCTACTACGGAGAGACGAACATGTATATTCTTAGCGCCAACGGCACGTTCGATTCGCGCATCCAATTGGATAAAGAGGGACCTATTCACGATGTCTCGTGGTCGCCCAACTCGAAAGAGTTTGGTGTTACCTACGGCTACATGCCTGCGAAGACGACTATCTTCAACCAGCGGGCAGTCCCCCAACACAGCTTTGATCTGGGCCCACGCAACACTATTCTTTTCAGCCCCCACGGTCGTTTTGTCATTGTTGCTGGTTTCGGCAATCTTGCTGGAGACATGGATATTTATGATTTGGAGAAGAATTTTGCCAAGGTGTGCCACGTCAAGACATCCAACTGCACATACTGCGAGTGGAGTCCGGACGGCCAGCATATCCTCACTGCAACGACTAGCCCGCGTCTGCGAGTTGATAATGGCATTCGCATTTACCATGTCAGCGGCGGCCTCATGTACAATGAGGATATGACGGAACTGTACCACGTTGTTTGGCGACCTCAGCCGACGTCGATGCACCCGCTGGCAGACCCCCTGACTGCTGTCCCGAAGCCGCACTCGTCAGCGCTGGCGTACCTCAGCACCCAAAAGACACCTTCGAAGCCCGCCGGTGCCTACCGTCCTCCTGGCGCGCGGGGAACAGCCACTCCATTGCACTTTAAGCGCGAGGACGAGGGAGGCGCAGCCTTCCACAACACTGGCGTTTCATCGACCAACGTTGGATTTGCCAATGGATTCGGCAAGCCGCGTCGTCGTGAGGTGCCTGGTGCAGACGCTGCTGAGTCTCTTCCTCCTGGTGCAGCCCCTGGTGGTGGTGTCAGTCTTACTGGTGCCCAAGATGGCGACGGGGAACTTTCCAAGGCTGCTTTGAAGAACAAGAAGAAGCGCGAAGCTAAAAAGGCGCGTGAAGCTGCTGACAAGGCTGCTGGTCTGGGTGTTGAGGGAGCCAATGGCTCTAATGGAGCCAATGACGGCCGTAGCCCAGAGCGTCGCCAACGCAGCCGCAGCAAGGGCGGATATGAGCAACACGGAAGGAGCGCTAGCCAAGCCCGCAATTATGGCAACAGCCCCAACCGTCAGGCCAGGCAAGAGGGCAATCGCCGACAGAACCCCGGCCAGCACGGCGCTGGCCAAGCTCCTCCAATCAAGACGGAAGGCCATGCTCCTCCGCCCGACCTTACTGTCACGAGCCCCGGAGATGGCGGCCCTCAGGACAAGAAGATTCGCGGCTTGCTCAAGAAGATGCGTGCCATTGAAGAGTTGAAGATGAGGCAAGCAGGCGGAGAGAAGCTCGAGGACACTCAGATCAAGAAGATTAGCACCGAGGTTCAGATCAAGAAGGAGCTGGATGCTCTTGGCTATTCTGGTTAGAGGAGAGGTGGAGTACAACATGGGGAGAGAGAGAGAGAGAGAGAGAGAGGTGGTTGAGCAGAGGGATCATGTGGAAGGTAATAGGCATGACGTGTGATGACAGAAAATGATGAAAGTATGCTGTTTTTGAATTTGGGCTTCCCAAGATGAAGGATATGAGGGTAGAGTGATGTAGTGCTCATGGCACTTGTTGTGAAGCAAAAAGCATGCAAGTTTTTGAGAGGTGGATTTGATTCATGCTATCATCGTAATTTCGTAGTCATTCATGCATTTGAGAGTCCGGGTAGATGCAGACCTTCAGTCATGCCGTCGAGTCGCAGAAGTCTAGTACTCTAATGCGAGGCATGTCCACCCTGGGCTCCCAACTCGGAGGCAAGCTCGCTGCCCTTCTTGAAGGTTCCATCGGGGTTGCGCTACGAGATGGTTAGTCAAGAAGCCCTCCAGCAGCGGTTCTGTCAACTTACACCAGCGTCCTTGTGAGCGTGGGAACCAGAGTCGTCGGAGCCATGAGAGGCATGGCCGCCCTGTGCACCCAACTCCTTGGCGACCTCGGAGCCCTTTGTGAAGGTGCCGTCGGGGTTGCGGCCAGGGTGGTCGTTGCTGGAGGACTGGAGGAGCAGTTAGTGAGTAGAAGTTGAGAGACGCGGATTCAAAGAAGCAGCATACGTCGTCGTGGCTGGAGCCGTGGGAAGCATGGCCGCCCTTTGCAGCAATCTCCCTAAGCTCATCCTTGGGCAGGTTGGCGAAGTTTGCGGGGTTGGAAGAGGCCATTGTTGAAGGTGTTGTGGAGTTGAAGTTGGAGGTTGAACTGACGGGTGGAAATGGTGTGAGAAGTGAGAGGGAGGGTTGGATGAGAGACAGCTGCTATATAGAAAGAGTGGTGCTTGTTTGCTCCTGTTGCTTTTGGCGCTTCAAACGCCCTTCTGATTGTTTTCCCCACATAGCATCACGTCACAATTGCGGGTAGCAGGTTAGCAGGTTTGCAGGTTCCAGGTGAGAGGACCCAAAGCGGCAGCCCTCCCCACCATTGGCTATTATAGAGCTCGCATGTGCTCGTTCCGAAACAGGCTCTCTATTTGCTTGCAGCCGTGGCTTGATGGCAGCCTGGCGTAGACTGACGCCTGTCCTATCACTATCCTTGTGGTGGTGAGCGAAGGTGTGATGTCATTGCTCTCTCTGCACAGCGACGCGTCTCGCGCACTCACGTGCCGACGTGTTTCGCGACGGCCAATCAGAGCCGCAGTCGAGTCTTCGACGTCACCCAGGGTTACGCGACTGCCTATCTGCGGCTGGGGAGTGAATTGATTGGGATGCTTACATGCCCAATCCACGCCCCTTTATTCTCGTGATACATTACACATAGCCCGAATCAAGGCATACACCAGCAATGAGTCTAAAACGCAAAGCCGCCGCTGCAGCTACCGACGCGTCTAAGAAGACCAAGCAGAACGGCAGCATTACTGCCTTCTTCGGCCCACCCAAGACGGACCCCAATGCACCTCCCAAGCAGACGGCTGCAGCTGCAAAGTTTGACAAAGATGCCTGGGTTGCCAAACTCACCGATGAGCAAAGGGATCTTCTGCAGCTCGAGCTCGATACCATGCACGAGAGCTGGCTGCCGCATCTCAAGGACGTACTTGTGACGCCCCAGTTTCTGCAACTGAAGCGTTTCCTGAAGCAGGAGCTGGCGAGCGGCAAGACAGTGTATCCGCCAATGAAAGACGTTTACTCATGGTGCGTCTACAAATCCTCTGATAACCCCAGTTTTCAAGTTCCACATACTGACAGGCAAGCATAGGTCGCGACACACACCGCTCAACACGGTCAAAGTAGTCATCACAGGCCAGGACCCTTATCATGGCCCCAACCAAGCCCACGGCCTCTGCTTCTCTATTCGTCCACCAAACCCCGCTCCTCCCTCTCTCCAGAACATCTACAAGGCCCTCAAGAAGGAATACCCAGACTACCAGCCACCGCCAAACAAGGGTGGACTGCTGATTCCCTGGGCTGAGCGGGGTGTGCTGCTCATCAATACCTGCTTGACTGTTCGCAGAGGTGAAGCAAACTCGCATTCTGGTAAAGGATGGGAATTGCTCATGCAAAAGGTGATTGATACCGTGGCAAAGGTGCGGACCAACGGCGTCGTCTTCTTGGCCTGGGGAACCCCGGCCCAACAGAGGACAAAGGGTATTCCAGTCGACAAGCATCTTGTTCTCAAGAGTGTGCACCCCAGCCCGCTGAGTGCAGCAAGGGGATTCGTAAGTCTTCCAAGTGGTGATGCATTGAGATGATTGTACTAATGACAAGTAGTTTGACTGTGGGCATTTCACCAAATGCAATGAATGGCTTGTACAGAGATATGGAAAGGACGGGGGCATTGATTGGGACCTCAACGTCGACAAGGAAAAGGAAAAAGAAAAGGAGAAGGAGAAGGAAAAAGAAGGGGAGAAAGAGAAAGAGGAAGAAAAATAATAGAACTGGATATCTGACTCACAATTCAGATGGGAACCCCAAAACACCGTGCCCTTGGATATACGGGTTTTTCTTCGGTAGCGTATAGTTTGGCGTTGCGACAAAATGTTTCTTGAAAGCGTATGAATGCGTTTGTAATTGGGCAAAAATTTCGATAGGTATGGACCTATGAAAGCAAACAAAGCCTCGTTGCATGCTTCCCTCAATACTCTTAGTTCTTCAAATCCCCTTCCCGCCTCGCAACCCAAAACAGCCCCCTCTCCACCATCCCACTAAACCACTCATCCTCGTACGCCTCATCAAAATGCCCCAACGCCGTGAAAAACACCCTCCCCCCTTCAAACTCCTGACACCACACCAACGGATGATCCTCCCCATGCATCCCTCCACCAAACGTCTTCGTATCCCCCCTCAGCAAAACAACCAACCCCTCATTCTCCCTCGGATGCTCATGAAAATTATACCACTCGTCTTTCCACCCTTGGCTGCCGCCACACCCACTTAATATAAAATGCTCCCCCACCTGTTCCGAATCCAGCACCAGAGATCCGATTTCCGGGTCTGGATGCGAGTGAAACTTTGCTCCGATCATCTTCTCCCACCAGCTGTCCTCGGGCATTCCGGCTGCTGCGCCATGGATCGCTACCACGCCACCGCCGCGCTGCACCCAGTCTCTGAACGCGGCGAGTTGCGGAGCGGAAAGCAAGGCCGGGCCGAGGGTTTGTAGGAGGATGATGGCGCGGTAGCGCGAGAGGGTTTGCGGGGTGAAGATGGAGGAGTCCTCGGTGGTGGTTAGGGAGAGGGAGGGGTGGTGCGTGGCGAGGCGCTGGAAGAGAGCGAGGCCTGAGGGGATGGAGGTGTGGCGGTAGGAGGTTGTTTTTGTGAAGACGAGAACGGGTAAGGGGGGTGGGGTTGGGGTGGTCATCTTGAGGGATGGGGAGGGAGTGGTGGTGGAGCGAAAGACATGGTTGTCGCTGTATTTGAGGAACTTGAGGGTTGTATTAGGCTGAACGGCTTTTGAGGAGGTTTTTGGTTGACGTCATTTATACAAGTGGGAGTCTGTAGTGATTCTGGTTGTAACACTAGGTGTTGAGATTGTTTAAACATTTTGTAGTTGGAAGTCAATGTTGTGCTGGCTTATGTTTTCGTGATTGTATGATGACGGATTGGGGCATTGAGTATGCTGTACTTACATCATTTGGTGCGTGAACGTAGGGTTGAATTTGGAAGAAGAATGTGTTAGTAGGTACTTGTACAAACCTTTTGATCTTAAATGTGCAAAGTACTTATTTATAGACTGAGAATAGAAAGGAATAACTTTCCGACAAAAAAAGCATGAAACAGGAGTGAAGATGCCGCTCTCTGCTCTGGATGAGATGAAGAGGAGAGCATAGAGCCCAACGCAACCTCCAGGCCTAGATGCACTCGATAGATTGTTCAAGCACCGTTAAAAATCTAGGTTTTACCCTACCATTGAACATTCTATACTCACAACCGCTGATAGCTGAGCTCAGCCACACCATCATCAATTCAGTGGGGGAACTGGAGGGGCTACTAGTGTGTACCGACTCTCAAGCTATACTCAATCAGATCGATAGCGTCATTACTCCGCACTGGGCCATCTATTCTCTGCGGGGAATATCTCTCCTCGCAGCAATTGTAAGACATTGCAAATCCTAAAAGCAATCACAAAATGACTTCGCCACTTCTTCAGGTTCCACGAGAGATTCGAGACCTCATTTATGAATATGTGCTTGTGCGCAACATCATACACGTCGAACGGGCCGCGGCTACTGTTCCCGAAACTACGGCAAAGCAAAGTCCTGAATTCTATAGACAACTCGCACAATCGTACCCTTTGACACACAGACGTTCCCATCGCCGAGTTTGGGCAATACCGCGATTTGATCTTGGTCTGCTGTCCTTTAAAGAGGATCCAGAACTCCCTCCAAGCCATGTTCAGATGACGTATCAAATTACGCGCCAATGCAATCTACCCTTCGGAGACCGAATCGGCATCCGTCTGCTGCAAACCTGTCAACAAATCTATCACGAAGCCAGAGAAATATTTTACAGCAAAAACGTATTCAGTTTCAGAACAGTAGAGTGCATCCCAACTGCATCCGCGTTCCTGTGCGATCGGCCTGCGGAGTCGCTCAAGCTCATCTCGTCCATGGAAATTACCTTGGGAGAGGGAACAAATTTGAGAGGCACAACTGAAGCCCATTATCCCGTAGTTGCCAGATCCACAGATTCGGTCGTACTGCGGTACACTTACAACCACTTTACCGACCTCTGTACCTTGCTCTCAACTTCGCGCATGCAGTTGCGTAAGCTCACCCTTGTTATCGACAGCTTACATCAGTTCTATAGACCCGCATTCCCTTCGCCTACAGATTGTATCAAATGGGAAGCGCAAAGGATGAGCGGTCCACGTCCATGGATGGCTCCATGGGTCGAACCGCTGCTCAAAGTGGAGAACCTCGAATGCTTAGAAGTACATTGGATTGTCGATCAACCCGAGATTTGCAGAATGGCAGACACGCTCTCTCTGATGAGGCAGCAAATGCTTCCACCAAAAAGCTCTCGGCGACACGGTCAGTCCGACTGTTTCTACGATCCCAAGTTTAACTTCCGGATCAACTATCAGGTCATCACGCAGGAAAGAACGTCCATCTGTTGCGAGCTGTCCCGGAACGACCTGCTTCATAACGATAAGGGCAATGGCGACGACAGCGAGCACAGTAGAAGGCTACAATCGAGTGAAGAAAGGCTGACTACGGCATGGCGGCAACATGTGCAACGTATTTTCGAGGCTTCCGGCTGTCTATAAAACTGTCAACATTCGACGTGTACATACGCATTGTGGTTGCCAGAAAATGTTAAGAATCATGCTCTTCTTCGGATAACCCTTCCCCTAATTTGTTAGAGGAAAACACCGATATGTTCTTACTAGCAATCTCACTGGAATCTATCACACTGTATTCATTATAGCTCTTATGTACTCTCTACCCAGCCCGCATCACACTCTTACTAGCAGCCCGCATATAAAACCTTGACCTACCACCACAGTATAACAATGAGGCACAGAAACTTATCATGATAACGGGACTTGATGCACACAAAGACAATCCGGAAAAGTACATGATGGTTTCTCTTTAATCCCCGATGATTGATGTGGGGCTAGGCCATCCCTGTTATCCGGAAGGATTCCCGAGACATACCAGAAAAGACCTCAAGACCGTTCTTGTGTAACACAGAATGAGCAAGGGGGGTTTGGAAAGTCCGATGCTGCGTTAGTGTCGCCATTTAGTGCAACGCCAACCCTGCGACTCGCAAGCGGCTACATGACCCACGCAGCAGCCACCGCCTCTCACCTAAACTGAACTGAATTCACCAGCTGCCCATCACGTTGTGTTTTCATACGCACCGGGGGCCTCATATACTCTGTCCTCCACTCCCTGCAGTCTGACAAACCTACAGGCGGATGACGACGATCCGGTGAAGACCATCTTGTACGTTTCCTTATTGTCTAAGACGTGGTTGGGCTTCCACTGTCTCCCCACAATCTTGGTCTCTCTCTCTCTCTATCACGATGACTGGGTCATCTGCTATCTCCGCTCTTGGAGAGCATCTCCGGAGCAAACCAGTCATTGCTTTCCTCGCGCTCGCCACACACTACGTTCTCCATACCTTTGAATGGGACACCAGGTTCCACCTGATCCTATACTCGTGGGCTCTAGGCTTCGGGGGTATTGCACTTATCACATTCATGACTGGTCAGCATGCCGGGGCAATAGCTGCCACAGTTCAGATGACGGCTACGGTAGCATCGCTTTATTTCAGCGTTCTGTTTACTAGCATCTTGCTGCATCGTGGATTCTTTCATCGTCTTCGAAAGGTATGTCGGCGCGCAAGAAATGATCCTTTGTTTCTTATTTCACCATTGCCTTTTTATCTTCATCGTCGTTGTTTGGACTAAAAGACCTAGTTCCCAGGGCCTATCGGGTCGCGGTTCTTCAAGGCACACGCAATCTACGCTGGAGTTTTCCCTACTCGCTTCCGACACTTTGAGTATCAGCAGCAACTACACGAAAAGTATGGATCAGACGTGATTCGGACTGGTCCAAGAGAGGTCACGGTTTACTGCGCTGATGCCATTCCACTCATTCATGGACCGGCGTCTAAATGCAGAAAGCCTCTCTCCATCTATGGAGTCTTCAGGGAAGCCACTGGTATCTCGCTCCAGACAACAACAGATAAGGAGAAACACCGTCAGCAGCGCAGGGTATGGGATCGCGCCTTCAACGCCAAAGCTCTGCGCGACTACGAGCCTCGCCTCAATCGACATGCGGTTACTCTTATATCAAGACTGAAAGAGCAATCATCAAAAGGTCCAGTAAGAATCAACAAATGGTTGAACTTTTACAGCTTCGATGTCATGGGAGACGTGGCATTCAGTCGTAGTTTTGGTTTGATCGAAAAGGGCGAAGAAACTGATTTTATCAAGTTACTTCATGAGGGTATGGATCCGCTCAGTGTGTTTGCTCATCTCCCTTGGTCCTTGAATCTTGCAGTGCGAGCAGGCGCCGGTGCTAAGGCACTAGTTGAGCACACGGAGTGGAGTCGTAAGGTACTCGAGGAACGAATCAAGGTAAAGAAGTGAAATTCCTTCCTAGTGCTTTTAGATGGCTGACAATGACTAGACTCCGCCAAAAGAAGATGATGTTTTCTCGTGGGTGCTGGACAAAGATGATGCTCGAGTCACACCAAACATGACTGCTAATTCTCACCTTCTGGTTGTAGCTGGCAGGTATGTGCAACCCAGATCCGATCCCACCAACTGGCATTAAAAGCCCCGCTGCACGCATGATACACTATGTTTGATTGAGAAGTAACTCTAGGTGTTTTGGTGCTAACATCATGACAGCGATACGGTAGCGGCAACACTATCCTTGCTCGTCTATGAACTATGTGCAAAGCCACACATTCAAAATAAACTTCGCCATGAAATCGATAAAGTCCATCCAGGGCAACCTTTCCTCGACTGTAGCGATGTTACAGACTGCGAATATCTCAATGGCGTCATCCACGAAGCACTGCGACTGCATCCCGCAGTCCCCTCTGGCGCTGCACGTGAAACACCCCCCGAAGGCCTTACCCTCCCCAACGGAACATACATACCCGGCAATGTAGTCATATGCACACCCGTCTACACAATCCAGCGCGACCCCCGTTACTGGGAGAAGCCGCTAACCTTTATGCCCGAGCGCTGGACGTCTGAAAACCCCAACGCCATCATCGACAAGCGCTCGTTTATGACTTTCCTTTCGGGACCGTACAGTTGCATAGGACAGAAGCTGGCTATGATTGAAATGCGCAGCGTCGTGGCCAACTTGGTGCGATCGTTTGAGATTACCTTTGCTGACGGCGAGGATGGAAGCGCGATTGCGAGTAGGAGCCGCGACTGCTTTACTATGAAGGTTGGCGATTTGGACGTCAAGCTTACGCCTAGGCAATCCTGAGGATGAAGATGAAAAGTGAGGCCTAAAGTTGAATGGGATTCCTTGAATCCCCCTTTCGCTACGCCTCCGTTTAATTATCTACTTGATTCTCTTTTTTGTTTGGAGCGAGGGGACACTTTTTTTTTTGGGGGGGGGGGGGGCATACTTATCATCGGCAAAGGCCCAGTTCAGAATGGCGACAAGTTCCTGATTTCAAGTAAAGTAAAGTAAAAATCTTATGTAGCAACTCCTCAAGTTTGATATCTTTTCCCCCTCCATCTTCAATATTGATATTTGGGGGGTTGAAAAAAAAAACGATACATGGCACTTTGGCAGAAAACATACTCTCAAATAAAAGTTTCCAGCGTATATAGTCTCTCTCTCTCTCTCTCTTATCTTGCTCACGTGCATTGCAAAACGAAGACAACCTCCTTCATTCTGATAGGACATAGCCTTTCAGTCTATGCTTCTTCTCATCCCTTGTTGCATGCGACAAGCGTAGTAAATAGCCCCATGATCCAAGGCCCATCATACGATATCGGGGATGCACAAAATGATGTTTTGAGGGAAGAGATGAAATACTGTTTATGCTGGGAGATATGGTTATCATCATGTTTGAGGACACGGCTACTTGTGCTTATGGGCAGTTGGCGGAGGTTCAAAGCGTAGGGTTGATCTATGAGTTTAGGGTGTTTGATGAATCATGGATGGATCCAGGTGGAGTTTTGACCAGCCATATCTGGTCATTGAATAGTGTTTGATGAGGCTTCGGGTGACTACTACTCATCTTCAGGAACTTTAGTCATGGAGGTGATGCTTTTTTTATCTCATTGAATCGGAGATCAAATGGCATACATTTTGAGCTTCGTAGCGAGGGGTATATCGAGCCTGGGCGCTTTCGTCTGCATTACCGATCGTACACACACACACACATACGGGCAGTATCGGATTCGTCTATAAGAAAACAATAAGTAATCCTGTCGGCCTAGAAAAGAATGCATGGCAAGCTGCATATAATGGGTTTCTTTTTTCGCGCCTTGAATAAACAAGAGTCCGGTGTTCTGTGCATGTAGGGCTTCCGACACAGGCCGGGACTGAATAGAGAAGAAATATGAAATAGGCGTCAGCCGTTTCGCTGCCAATATATCGATTGCCAGCCATTGTACGCATTAGTATTAGTATTGCCGTTGACAAAATCTGTTTGATATACCATGAGATACTTGCCACAATGTTGCAATTTCAAAATGAAGCGAGCAAAGACTGTTGTGGTATTGTACATATCCGCCGCATCCCGCTTGAACCCCCACGTTTTGTGATACCATCTGTCGGTCGCTGTCTCCCATGTGCATTCTCTCCCGATTGGATTTGACCAAATGTCCGTTGATCGCTCGGAATACCGAAAAAGGACGTATTTATCGCTTTTTGGCGTCGACCTTCTCTTCGAGGGTACGGACGTAGCCCTCTATCCGTTGTACGGCCGACTGGAGAGCCTGTTGCCATGTCAGCCACTTTCCAATTGCTTTGTCTCATTCCCAGAGACCCGCGACCTGAAAGACTGCGCATTTGTAGGACACCAAAGGGAGGGCGGACGTACGTAAATGTCTTCGGTGAGGAGCTGGTTGGAAACGCGGTATTCGTCAATGACATAGTAGTACATGCCTGCGCCAGATGTGGTCGCACCAAGGAGGAAGCCGAAGAGTCTGTATCGTGTTAGTAGTGTCTCTTGCTTTTCGCCATGCCGCCCAATGTCTCCGAATTGTTACTTCCCCCCCCACTCCCCACGGCGGCCAGCATTTTGTTTGCCAGACCCGCCCGGAATCTATCAATGAAGCAACTCACCCTCCGCGAAAAGCACCGACGGGCTTCTTGACTGGCGCAGCGACTGCATCCTGCCTGAGGACAGCACTGGTCTGGAATGCGCGCGAGACAGTGGCCATGGGAGGTCGGCATCCCGCTCCAGCGCGGGCCGCCTGCCTCAAGAGCTGAGCAGCCATTGTGTTCCTTTTGTGCTCTTTTCGGTTGTGTTGTGGCTGGCCTTGGAATTGGCTGGTATGTGGATATATGGCGACAGTGTAGAGGGCGGAGTGGATGGTGGTGGATGTCGCTCGTGTGCCCGGTTGGTGACGTTTGGCTGAGCTCTCCGCACCCTCCAAACAAGCAAGCTCTCTCTCATCGCTCGCCTGACATGGAACCCTTGCTTGGCTGCTGATTGGCTGACTCAGCAACACACCCCACCAGTCTCAATTGAGTGGACTATGCCTGCTGCTGCAATTGATAAAATTCCATGGTGTCTTGTCCAAGATTTGAGTATGTATTCTGGAAGCCAAGCCTGATGCAACCCATAAGGAAAGCTGCGCTGATCGCTGTGGCGCATCTGCTGCACTGCCTCAGTTTAGGCGCCTTGCTTCTGACTGCTTTTTGAGCGCACGGCCATCATGCTGGAGGCTGTTCGCAGTGGAGAATGAAGATCAGGAGTAAGACTTATAAGCCGGTCACAATGGCTGCCTCAGGTTCGGACACTAGTCACTTGACGAGAGAAAAAGAACTTGTACAAGAGCCCCTGAGCGTAGGGATTATACACCAATCCCGAGGGAGCCCACACAGGCCAGATTATATTATGAACAGTATCAAAGACTATACATGCTGAGGGTATTACAAATTCATATAAGCGCACCTGAAGCCCATCTAAGGGAAGATGTCTCGGCTACGAGGCAGCGTCTGGGTACAGTCCACCATCTTGGCCAACTGCTCCTGCTTGACCCCGAAAAGGCTCACCTTGATGTAAGCTCGGGCATAGTCTGCATTCCACCCGCCCTGGTTTCCAACAAACCTGCGCCAGTCGCCACTAGTTTTGGGGTGTTGGGATAGTGCTTTGTCGCTGGGAAGGACAAAGACCTTTTGCTCGGCCGTAGCACCAACAGGGTTGTTGAGCGTATCATTGTAGAACTCCACATCCCACACACCGGGAGTAGAGTCGAGGGGCTTATTGACCGCTGCTGCCGACGTGTCGACGAAGCGCTGACGCGCTGTCGCGTGAGCACCCACCAGAGCTGCCAGCTCGCGTTCAGAAATGCCCTTTCTCTTGAACAAAGCAATCAGGTTGTCAGGATTGTCATGAGTGTCTGGCAAAAGGCCCTTCGGATTGGCCTTGGTGGCATCCAACCGTCCGATAAAGGTACGCACACGCGGTCCTTTCGGACACGAGACGGTTGCGTGGTTGTGGGCGTATTGCACAAGATCGGCAGCTCCCACCTTGTACTTGTCTCGCACCCCGCGTAGCAGTGTACGTACATTTTGAAGACCGTTGTTTTCGCGACGGTCATGCTCGCCAAAATCCATAATTAGCGATCCGTCCGCACCGCCGTGGCTGGAACTCTGGTCCCAGGACCCTGCATCATGGAAACCCATGCGGACGGCTGCTCGAGCATTGTCGTTACACTCCTTGTCTTTCCCAACAAATAGCTTGGTAAGCTCTGCGGAAACGTCGTACCCTGGTGTCTGTCAGTTTGTAATGCACCAAAGACATACGTTGGTCAACTTACACACGCAGCATTTATCTTTGCTCTGATCACATTTGGAAGGTTTCGGTGTCTGATTGTTGTCGGTGGCAGGCTTGTTGCCGCCAATGATGTCTTGGACAAGCTGCCCAATTTCGTTGAAGCTACCACCAAGCTCGGCTTCAAGTATATCAAATAGAGCTTCCCGTTGTTGCAAGGGCCCTGCTGATGCAAAAAGGGAAAGCCCAAGAAGGGAAAACGTCAGAGCTGCCTTGAAAACCATGTGGACGGAAGAACAATGTATGTAATATAGAGATGTGTATATGTAATAACGGATAAACAAATGAATGACAGGACAGACAAGCAATCAAAGATGAGATCGGCGGGCTAGGGAACAGATACGAGACCGCATGTAGGGGAGACCCTTATATGTCTCTCTGGTGTGCCAACGGGGGGTGAAGTGCCATTGCTTTGAAGGCGTCATTGTATCTGGTCAGGCTTAACACGGCAGCAAAAACCAAAGGCGTTCCTGAAATGGCAAAAATAGTCACCAAATAGGAGTGATCCCTGCATACGCGAGACAAGTCACTCAGTCCGGCAAAAGAATATCGGGAAAAGACAGTCAACAGAATCCTAGCTGCAAGCCCTTGCAGGTGTGCAGGTCCGAGCGCAGCCTCGACACGTTTGGACATATTCGGATCCGGACTGCTGGCAAGAGGCTGTAGCGGACTAACAAACGAGCATGTAGAACTAGAGGCGGTATGCCAAATCTGTCGAATGATAGCCTGGCGATATGGAGAGCCCCCAAATGCTGAATTTTGGTACAGAGAATAGCAATCAGACGTATTCCCAGAACAGAAATGTGATTCCTACCGTGCAATGCATACATGAGTTGTATGTAGGGACGCTGTCAACCAAACACCAGCATGAACAAGTGATCATTGCTGGGTTTGCTAGCGGCTGGCTGGCCGGTTCTTGGCTCCCTGATACGCAGGGTAGATCTACACTGTCGAGGGTCCAGAGCCTACATTAGTTTCGTGTGTTGTCGCGACATTGCATGGTGGCGTCCATCGACATACCTGGACTGGCGGCCAGGCAGGCATCTTGTTTGGCATGTCAGAACTCAATACAGTCGGCATGCAGATCTGGTACCTGAGGCAGAAGGCCGACAGACAAAGCCTGGTGCCAAACGCGCACGGACGGGGGGGGTATGGTCTGGCGATGGCAATCGAGCAACTGGTTTGTTCTTCGGACGCGGTGATGCTGAAACTATGGACGCATGTCCCGACTGTCACCAAGAGCTAGCTAGCTAGCCCCACGGGGTTGGGGATAGCTCGAATGATTTGGCTGTGTGCTGCGCGATGGTCTTGTTTGAGACGCGCGCATGGTGTTGAGGGCATTCTGCCAACCTGGAAACGCAGCCGGCCTGTGGATTGGTGGAGAGCCGGAGCGGTATGCTTATTAGTAGATAGGAGGAACACTTGCTTTGCCTTGGCCCCTTTGATGCCAAATCGGAACTTTTCTTTGGCGAGGGCCCAGGATCGGCGGCCAGCATTTCTAGTCGCTTTGCTCTGCCTAAGCATGGTCCAATGGGCACGTGCTGTCACGTGCTATCACGTGCAAGTCGCCAGCGGAGTCCTAAAAGGGCAAGAGAGACAAGGCATGAGGCTTGCCGTACAATATCGTGGCATGCGGCCAAAGCCCTTAGCGTAGTAGATGCGCAGTGAGTGTGAGCAGACGTCTTTGGGGTCCCGTTGTGCAGT